ATGAAAATCAGTAGTTCCTGGCCTTAATGCATCACGCCACCACACCTCGCTTACAAATATATATAGGATAGGTGCGTGGGTACGGTGCGGCGGTGCTATACCGGTATTAGTAAAACACAAAAAAGTGATTAACGGTCATCGTCTTTTACAATATTCTGGTTTTCGTGTGACAAAATTTTCTAAGAGATTCGTCCTACACAAATGCTACTAATAATTTGATAACCATGACAACCTACGTATCTGCCAGTTCAAGACACTATATGCTGTCACACGATGAGTTTAACAAAACAGTCAAGCAGTAGCGCGACCCGTGCCCGCAAACGGTCCAGCGAGAAAAAATCGCTGATCGAGTTATTCGGCGAAGAAACAGTCGAAAAGGTGGCAACGTCCTCATCTTTAGATGTCAAAGACGTAAAACCTACCAATTACCAAGACGAGCTGGTATTTCTTTTTTTCACAAGTATGTTAGACATAGTGGTCGACCGTTGGGAGTCGATACCCTCGGAGAATCCCTGTCCGTGTAAACCACCCGAATGCAAAGAACGCAAAGAGGCTTCCAGTACCAGCACGCTAAGTCTGCGGAGAGAAAGTGACGAAAGCCACAAATCGGGTAGGTTATTTCCTCGATAACAATTCATTATTTCGACCTGGTGCAGGTAGGCGTGATTCTCCAAAACGCAAGCTGTCGATAATCAGCGAAAAGTCGCAAGCTTCGAGTAATAACAGCCGATCTAGTATGAGAAGAAATTCAAAAAAGGTATCTCGCTTTCCTTTGCATTTAAACCATGGCGTTTTTAGAGTGCGTCGCGTGACAGTTTGGCTAAAAATCCCGTTGATTCCCTTAGCGTACAATGGATTGTTAACGTGCCCGATGAGAGTGCTGTAATCAGGTTTAGAAATGGCGATTGTTACGAGGGAGGTACGAGTAAACGTGTAATGCACGGTCGCGGGAAGTACAAATGGGCCGATGGTTCGATTTATGAGGTATGCGGACTGGCTGTATGTGAGATTTGAAGCCGTTTCGTAGGGAGATTTCGTTTGCGGGTTCGCAACCGGCCACGGCACGTTACAGTACCCCGATTTGACCATGTACACTGGAGAGTTTTGTAACAGTCTTCTACACGGTTATGGAGTTATCAATGTTAGCGCGAGTACGTTACGTTATTCGGGCAATTGGAAGGGTGGCAAAAAGCACGGTCAGGGCTGGCTGCTTTACGAGACCGATGACTGGTATGACGGCGAATGGTTTGAAGATCAAAGGCAAGGCGTGGGCGTGCGCAGTTACAAGTCGGGTGAAATATATCAAGGTCATTGGAGTGGGGGAAGCCAGGATGGTAGTGGTGTTTTTGTATGGTGCAGCAATGATGTAAATGTTTTTAATTTTCTTTCTTGATGTCTGCATAAAAAAAACAGGTGTACAAAGGGAGATGGACGAATGGAAAAATGAACGGTTACGGTGAGTACACGTGGAATACATTCATCAACAGATCCTTTACCTTCCCCGTGGAAAATGTATACAAAGGGAATTGGACGGATGGTACCAGAGAAGGGACCGGTGAGTAGGAATACCACCAATTTGATTGCGTTCAATTTCCTAAACTTTAGGCACTATGCATTTCGGCTATGACAATGGTTTGAGCTTTGATGGGGAATGGGTACATGACGAAAAACATGGGAGCGGCACCCTTACTTGCGGAAACGGAACAGTGGTGCATCAAGATCCCCTATTTCAAAATGACAAATTAATCATCGAACCAGGCGAATTGCACAAGAACTGTTCGGCACCACACTCCAGTGCGCTAATCTCGAGTCGTAGGAATCTTTTAGAGTCGAAAAGTGACAAGCAATTTGCCGCGCATTTACCGGCGGAAACTACCGATTTTTCCTACTATTATAGTTTGGCCGTGGAAAGATACACAACGGAATTGTACAAGATTCAATTATCAACTGATTATCAGTAAGTGTCCGAGAGTACCTGCATCAGTTTTTAATTCAACCTTAACAGACACTGCGAAGACGAAAGTCAAACGCTCATTTCCAACTTCCAAAGTCACCAGTCTGAGGTGGAGAGGAGAGAAATGCAGAACGCCATACTCGCCAACCTTCCAAAGCTGTACAGGGTGTATAATAAGTACGCGACAATCGCGACGAATCACACTACAGATTTTAAGCCAACGCTAATACGTTACTTCCTGTGGCAAATGTTACGAGACTTCGACTACATCACTTCTGATTACTCACTCGTCGAGATTGATTTGATTTTATTACAAAATCCAAACAGCGGATTGAAATGGTGCCATGATCCGTTCGAGGAGGTCTTTTTTTGGCAATTTCTGCAACTCCTAGTGTGTTTGGCGTGGAAATTTCACGCGGCCGAGACGGTTACGGGAGACTGCAAAAATGACGGCGTGCTCGCGACGATCTTTGCAAGGTTTTTGACTGATGTGGTTTATGCCAGGCCTTACTTTACAAGTGGTAGTGGTAAAGGTGGCAGTGGCACGAAGTACAATTAAGTTTTTAGCATGCTCGCTGTTTGAGTATCGTGATGTGCTGCCTTTTAAACAGGTGTATTCACTCTACAAGAGTTTAGGCGAGCCGCACTCTGCCCGAGATTTTTTGAGTAAAATCTGTACGTCACCCGGCTTTCCCATCCCGTGTGAGAATAGGGGCAATTTTTCTCCGCAACAAGGAGTTAATGCAATCGCGATTGGTGGAAATTTAATGTACCTAACAGGTGTGGTATTCTCTAGATTCTTAAAATGAATAGTTTAACACCATAAGCAAATGTAACCGTCGTAACAATAATTTGAATGTACTCCAGATTCAGTGATTAATTAATTATTCGTTATCTGGAGTCCCTCAGGGCTCCAATTTGGGTCCACTACTGTTTTTGTTATTCATATGATTATACCATAGGGTCTCATTTACCAACGTCAATGCTCTAACTTCTTTGTACTTTGCATACGTTCGCTCTAAGATGAAATACTGTGCATTACTTTGGAATCCTTAAACTAAAAGTGCTAGGCTAGAAGGCGTCTAGCGTAAGTTTTTAAAATTTTTGTTTTATAAAGTTGAAGGTATATATGCTGAGAGGGGATACCCTTATTCGTTACTGTTAGCTAAATTTGACTTCCGTTTGTTCGACAAAAAGGAGGGTTAGGAACAGTGTGACTTTTCCGTATAAATTAATTCATAATAAGGTCGATTCCTAGGTACTTTTAAGTTTATTGAATTTTCGTATTCCTACTTATAACTCGCGTACTGGAATTACTTTTTATGAGGTATGCAATTCGTGCGATATTTACCATTTTGATCTTAGCGCAACACTAAATTCAATTTGAAGACAATTTGTATTATTTCACGCGAGCATTAGTTACATATTATCAATATTAATTTTAATATTTTGATTATAGAATTATTCCTTTGTGTAACTTTATCTTTTTTTTTGCTAAAACTTTTCAATTAGATAGGTATATTATATACACGGTGTCATTTTTCGAGTGCCACTATGGGGATCTCACTTATCTTAAGTGATAGAAAGTTGGTTAAATGGGGGCAAAGTTGCAAATTTCCGTGCTGAATAAGAATCTGAAATCTGAAATTTGAAATATCTTCAATACTTTTGAAGATATCACAAAAAAACGAAAATTTTTGATTTTCGTATTTAATTTTTTTATGATAAATTAGTCGTAGTAGACATTAGCACATTATTCGGACACTTTTTAATGGAGATTTCAGAAATGGCATCCTGTTTTTAATTACGTTCAAGATGACGGAGAAACACGTGGCAACTTTAGTTTTTCGTATGGGCGCCAGAATTTTGACATTTTGGGATTACGTCTTTTTTTTTCTATACAACGATATATCACACATAGTGGTTCAGTATCACATTTTTCCTAAAATAGTTATTTGTTTCATTAGTACAAAAAATGTCAGTTTTCGGGACGAGGAAGATAGTTGCTGGACGACGCGTTAGCGGAGTCCAGCAACCTTCCGAGTCCCGAAAACGCATTTTTTGTACGAATAAAACATAAAATTTTTTCTCCAACCCGCTTTACTTCAAATTATATTCGAATTTAGATTCAGTCACAGTTTCACTACTAGTATAAGAACTTCTGCTTTCTTGTCCTCACGTGTCATGCCACTCTAGTTTTTAGGTTAACTTATAACATATTCGTTCTGACTTCTTACTTCTCACCTCTCGCGACTTTGTAGGGAGCAAATCTTGAGGTAGCATGTTCTGCCGTTTCTATAATCTCTGGCGGAGTGCAATCCATGTCGCTATCAGTTTCAGTCATTTTATTGTATACACAATTAATATTGTTATATTTTGTATTGAAATAAAAAACTTACCGTACAGTTTTTTAATTAAAATTAATTGCAATTAACTTTTTCAAATTTTGAATTCAAAATGACAGATAATAGTGCAAGGGGTCTGAAGTAGATGGCGTTACGCGCGACGGCGGGTTGTAGGTATACGTATTAAAATTACGTTCATCGAATATGTAAATTACGTTACACATGGTTTAAATAAAAATAGCGAGCGTAAATCATTTTCAATACATGTACATACGTATAGGTGACATCATTATTTGCATTTATATGCAAAAAGATTTGATTTGTATGTATAGAAATATCTTATAACCTGCAATGTAAAACGATGTCAATGTGACATATCTCCGTGATTGTAATTTTTTAATTGGTCAACTTTCAAGGTCAATTTCTTTTTGGTACTAGGACCAAAAGTATCTACTTTTTGTACAGTTGCCATGGTGAAAACGATTAATCCGCAAAACGTCAATTTTACGTACCGAACACTGTCACAAAATAGCGTCTTATTCAGGTGGTTGGAGAAAAATACAATTTTTCATTTTTTCAGAAGAGTGCTTTGGAAAAACAAAACGTTCTTTTGTTGTCAACAAAAGTTTGACAGTTTGATCCATCTGTCTGTCTGGTTGCAGCGTTGTCAGAGAAATTTGATTTTCATTTCAACCGTTTGCAAAATTGCCTGCTCATATTAATTGGGTCTATCACCGCATATTGCTGTCTACATCTTTTAAAAGAACCATATTCGCCCAAGTTTTTATGCAGCAAAGAAAAATACCTTAAACTAGGTTGCTGCCCCTCTGGATAACGCTGCAAGTATGTTACAGCAGTCATGTGGGCATTTCGATGAGAAGTGTAGTAAATTTGGATCATATCTATTTGATCTGCACTTAAAAAAGGCATTTTCGCATTACAACTAGCATAAACCTAAATGACACTACATGAAATAAGTCAACCTTTTGTTCACAACAAAAGAACGTTTTGTTTTTCCAAAGCACTCTTCTCAAAAAATTAAAAATTGTATTTTTAGGAAAAATGTGATACTGAACCACCATGTGTGATATATCTTTGTAAAGAGAAAAAAAGACGTAATCCCAAAATGTGAAAATTCAAAATGGCGCCCATAAGAAAAACTAAAGTTGCCACGTGTTTCTCCGTCATCTTGAAAGTTATTAAAAACAGGATGCCATATTTGAAATCTCCATTAAAAAGTGTCCGAATAATGTGTTAATTAGAAATGTCTACTACGATTAGTTTATCATAAAAAAAATAAAAACGAAAATCAGAAATTTTTGTTTTTGAGATATCTTCAAAACTATTGAAGATATTTGAAATGTCTTTTCAGATCAGCACGAAAATTGGCAACCTTGCCCCCACTTCACCCACTTTCTATCTCTTAAGATAAGTGAGATCCCCATAGTGGCACTCGAAAAATGGACACCATGTATAGTATTTCTTAGTTTTACAATTTTTATAATTTGTCTTTCTTTTAATGTATAATGATTCAGGGGCAGTTATTTACTGTTTTTTTTCTTTTGTTTTTGGAAAATTCAATTTTATTTTTTTCTCAATTTTCTTTTGTTATATGCTTTATATATTCTATATATACATAAGTTGACCTGTAAATAGATGCGTTCTGTTGGTCAATAAACTATTATGATTATTATTATTATAAGACAGGTAGCTTGATGATTTTCATATAAATCTGCTCTTCATATAGTGGAGGGTATTGACTTCCAAGGGGAGAAGAGTTAGATCTTAAATAAACAATGAAGAGGTTTTCGGCCTAACGCCGACCCTAGACTTTTACAACCCCTCATACTCCAAACCCTATAAATGGGCAGGGGTGGTCATCATCCCACAACCCTTTATCACCTTTAACAAGTCATGGTTGAGTTCGATTTCTCGAAACTCTATTCCTGTATCGGCAAGTGACAACCTTTTACCAGAGAAGTTTGGAATCTACCGCACGCCTCAGGAGTGAAAAATGTGCTACTCATGTCAATATAGTTTTCTATATTACGTTTATGAGCAAAAGTCGAGAACCCTTTCGGGTTTTCCATGAAACATTTGAATGATACCTTGAACCTGGAATCGGGTAGCACGGATCAGACTTTACGGGTCTAGCAATTACCCGCCTCGGATGCTTAGCTTCGCCACAGAAAATTGTGACTACTAAGCCCCACCACCACGACAAGGTGCATCCCATGGTGGGGGTATTCAGAAGGGTTCGGGAGAAGCTTCTGGAACGGTTGTTGTTTGCTATATAAGCGAACGGAATTGTGTTTAGAGTCAGTTGCAGCATCGACGCCGAATTGATGACTAGTGATTTCAGGGATACACCCATTATTAATTATTTGTAAGTAAATAAATCACGTAATTAACATTACCACATAAAATATACCATTTAAAATTCCTAAGGGGGTTGCTGTCACACTAACAGGGGTGGAGTTTCGGAGTGTTTTACAATAATTCTTCCTCTTTAAAACAAATTTGAGCTTGTGGTAACATACCCCTATGGTTAGGCAACGCATCTCACAACTGAAAGAATGGCAGTATGGGGGAAAATACGAACCAGTTAGCAGGGCCGTGGCATCCAGTAGGGCAACCGGGCAAGTGTCCTAGGCGCCAAATTTTGCTAGGCGCCAAAAAGTCATAAGATTTTTAAAATAAAAATTATACAAAAGTATTTTACAAAGTTTTTATTTTGCAATTTTAAGTGCACTTGAGTCAGGATTGATCGTAAATAAGTTATATATAATTGTAAAATAAGTATAGTGAATAAGAGAAATAAATAAAAGCAAGCTAAGCAACAGCCGTACAGCGTACAGGCTGGAGGGTCAACGATTTGTAATTGTATTTATATATTTAAGAAGTGCAGTATTATTTATAATAAAAAATATGCAAAGACCACATTATTATTATTAAAAAAGGCGGCGCTTCGGACAAACTTTGCACTATACTATACATTCATTATAAGAAGGTAGTAGATGGCGCTGTGTTTGAAGATAAACACACACAGGAAAAATATAAAACGGCACCAAATTATTGTAAAGTAGAAATATTCAGCACTGCGAACAGAAATAAGCCTTTGACAATAACAGCTAATGACACTTCGGCAGTTTAGTTGGCAACATAGACTACCACCTTACAAAATTCACCAGTCGTTTTATGTTTCATTGTAATACTGACTCATGTTTTAACCAATCACAGTGAAGGTCAAAGCTTCCCTATGCTTTTTACCGCTACCTTCTTAAAATGAATACAGTATAGGCGCAATTTTACCTTGCCACGCCCCTGCCAGTTAGTTCGAATCCGAGCCTAGCCTAGCGTCAGAGCTGGGCAGAATACTTTCAAAAAGTATTTGAATACTAAATAGTAAATACTTTAGACAAATCAAAAGTATTTGAATACTAAATACTTTTACGTCCAGCACAACCAAATATTAAATACAAATACTTTGAAAAGTATTCAAATACTTTCAAAAATAAGTATTCAAATACTTTAGAATGTATTCGAATACTTTCCAAAGTATTCGAATACTTTCAGAAGTTATTGAAAACTTTCAAAGGTAAACGAATACTATAAAAAGTATTCGAATACTTTGAAAAGTATTTGAATACTTGTCACTCAAATACATAAAAAATTTAAAATAGTACTAGATAAAAGTCTTAATACTACTTAAAAAAGGTCAAGTTATATTTTGTATGGGGGCTACATGGAAGAATAGCGTTTTGTGCGCTGAATGTAGTCCCTTTCTCTGAAGTTAGATTTTTTTATATTTCTATTGTTATATACAAATTTAAGGGGAGTAACCGCGTATTATTATTATATAGGATAGGAGGTACCAGGACCTTTCTTATATCAGTTATATTATATCCTTAAAAATACGTGTACCAGTTTTCAAAGCGATCGTAGGTCGTGCACATGACACCTGACATGACATGTACACCTTTCTGAAATTATTATTTTTTATTTTGCCTTTATTTTTGAGTGGGCGGGGTTTCAGCCAAGGCTGCTCTACCAACCCAACCCACTATACATTTACAAATATCCATGCCCGAACCCGGATTCGAACCAGGGGACCTTAGTACCACAGTCCAGCTTTAACTGAACTGCGCCACACGGACCGGCAAATTAATCCTAGCGATCCTTTTTTATCCGTCCGTCTGTCCGTGTGCATGATAACTTGTTTAGAAACGTGCGATCGCTTTGAAAATTGGTACACGCATGGTCTTAAGGATATGAGAAAGGTAGGTACCTATTGTTTTAAGTTAAGTAGCCTATCGGGTCAAAAAAGTTTCACTCCAGGATCGTTCGGTATTCAGTTGTATCGGATTTTTATATTTGATTTTGTGATAATGGAAACTTCCCCTAAATATTTCTAAATAGTTCTCAAATATTTGAATAACTTAAAAGTATTCACATACTATGCGAAGTATTCGAATACTTTACGAAGTATTCAATTACTAAATATTTGCGAAAGTATTTGAGTTACAAATACAAATACTGCTTCCATAAAAGTATTTAATTACAAAGTATTTGAATAGGTACTTTAAAGGATTTGAATACTAAAAAGTATTTACAAAATCGAATACTGCTCAGCTCTGAATGGCGTATTTCAATATGCATTCGGATCGTATAATGTCACATATAAAATTATATTTGACAATTTTTCCGTATCTCGCCAAATACAAGATATATTGATGTGACTCTCTTATCCGGAACGCACTGTAGGTATACTACCTAGGAAGTACTATGCGATCAAAAATGAGTTGCTGTGGAGTCACCTTTGGAATTTTTGTTTCTGAACTTCCAAAGGCGACTCGACAGCAACTTTTTTTTAATCGCCCGTTACTGTTGCTTATTCATGTAGGTACCATACATCAATATCCCCTGTACTGGCTAGCGAGACTTAGAAGGTAGACAGTAGTAGCACAGATCTAGAGTGTTTAGATCTGTGGTAGTAGTGTAGAAAACTTAATGCCATTTAAACAGTCCTTTTAAGCAGTACCATTGAATTTAATGGCAGTACTAGACTAGGTACATGGTACTAGCTTCCAAATAAGTAACAATTTTTTTACTCAAACTGTACTACAGAGTACTGATGTACTGGCTACCTTTACGCACGCTTGTACATGGAAGCGTCAAATATGGAGTTCTTATATAATTTCTTTCTAATTGAACTTGTTGCAAACTCTCCATCGTTTCTTTTTTAGCGAATTTTTTAAGAATAAAAAAATGTGTTATTGTTTGTCCGTCCGTCCGGACCCACTTCTGCCGTTTCGAACTACTTCTAGGGGAACTAAAGTCCTGGAATTTTTTGCAATAGGAAAGGGGGGGGGGGTAAACACACGTTCTATCCTTCATGGTATTCTAATGAAAGGTCTCATCGAAATAAATTGGTTTGTACAAACTATAACTTTCTCGTACGACTCTTTTTCAAGATCAGTGAGCGACGGGGTCTTGGGGGGGGGGGGGTTAAAAATGAATTGTATCTCTCATTGTATTCTAATTAAAGGTCTCAACGAAAGGAACCGTTTTCTACCAACTACTACCCTTCTTTCTGTCCTTTTATAAAAGTACGAGGGGGAGGGGGGGGAGTGGAACTAGTTTTATCCTTCATGGTACTCTAATGAAAGGTTTCAACGAATTAATTTCTACCAACCATAGCCCTCCTCCTCGGTCTCTTATCGTGATCGGGTACATTCCCTTATACCTCAAGAACGGATTGTCCGGAAGAGGGTACTCACAAAGGACGATTGAGACGTCTTCATGCATTGGTGATGTCAAAACAAAACTAGTTAACAAAAATGCGCTTTATCTGCACAAGAGTTGTGCACAATTTATACTTGTTTTTTCTGTTTTTCATTGGGCTTAATTAATATAGCGGAAATGAAAACCGACAAGCGTATGGAAGAAAATGTATTGTGTGTCTACGCAATCCTAGGAAAAGTAACTAACAATAAATTATCTAGTGCATCTCAATGTTAAAAAAAAACCTCTTTGAAATACCAAAAATGCTTCGAAATTCCTACGAAGTGTACATCTAAAATAGCCTCGTTCTTGTAAAAGGGCTCAATAATCATTTTAATAGTAATACTGAAGCACTAGGTCTCTTAGCCACTGAACGTCGTGCACATGTTTTTCAGCCACCATTGGCTAGTATTTCTACCAATAACGTCTAGTGCTTCAGCTTACGGCAGGGAAGGGATTTTGAGATGTACTCGAGCGCGCCAGATTAAAGTAAGGTGGGTTGACTAGGTGTTGAAAAGTGTGCATTTCAATAATCTGACGATTTGAGCGCGACGTGAGGTCACAAAATGGTTTTAGACACGTTGATCTTCGCCTTTATCTCTGGTTCTGGTAGTAAGATATTGATGGCTGTAATTTTTTTGACTTACAAGTCAACAACTTAGCATAGCTAATAAAATCAAGTCACATGACTTGACTTTCAATTTTCAGACTACTTATTACACCCCTAGTGTACTTATGGGTTTAAGCTATTCACTTTAAGAAGTTTTTCCGTATGTTTACTAGCAAAACCTTTTAGATGAATCTGGCCCCTTTGTTGAAACAGCTCGGAACCCAAGCGGAGCCCCTTGTCAAATTGAACTATCTGTACTACAGTCCCTGCGTTCCAAGAGGATAGTGCAATGCTTATGTGACGCCTGTCCGCAGATGAAAAAGAACGGCGTGATCATCAACATCGAATATCAGCTGACTTTTCTGGAATTTTACGACACCTTGCTCAAGTGCGGGTTTGCCGTCGTCGAATTGAAGAGGAAAAATGAAGAGAGACTTCGCAATAAAGCCGAGTTGCTAAAAAGTATGGAGTCGATCAAATCGGGCTGCATTAAATCTAGTACCAAACTCAAAAAGTCTGTAAAATAATCGATGTATTTGCGTTACAAGTACAAATCTATTTAGTTTTGAGCGCCTCAGTCTCCCTCCACAACCACTGCTTGGCCTCGATCTGGTTTTGTCGGTCGAGAACCTCGCCGATCACCTCCCTGCATTTCTGATGGTACGAGTTAAGCTGCAAGATTTCTTCTTCGGTCAGCAAGCTCACGTCGATCATTTTCGTCTGTTTGGGCACCAAGGATAGAGTTTCAAACGTTAAAAACTCGGTGTGATGGGTGTAGATTGGTGTCGCGGGTACGACGACCACGAGGTCTTCGATTCGTATACCGAACTTGCCATCTTCGTAATATCCGGGCTCGTTTGAGAGGATCATGCCCTCCTCCATGCCGGGGTCGTCCGGGAACGGTTTGTACGAAATTCCGATGGGACCCTCGTGCACGTTTAGGTAGGAACCGACACCGTGGCCGGTACCGTGCCGGTAGTCGAGACCGACGCCCCACAGGAATTCACGTGCAAACGAGTCCAGGTAATTGCCCTTGATCTTTTTGGGAAAGATGCTTCGTGCAAGTTTCAGTTGGCCCTTCAAGATTCTCGTGAAGCATTCCTTTTGGTATTCGGTCGGAGTTCCCATATGAACGGTGCGTGTAATGTCGGTCGTTCCGTCCTTAAACTGGGCGCCGGAGTCGCATAGGTACAGAGTGTCCTTAGTGATTGGCACGTCGCTTTTCGGTTCCGGTTTATAATGCATGATTGCTCCATGCGCCCCGACACCGCTTATCGTTTCAAAGCTGAGCGACATGATAGACTCCTGTTGAGCCCTGAACTGCGCCAACTTATTGGCCCCCGATATTTCTGTGACGGTTCCCGTTTCTACCGCCTTCTCTAACCACGCGAAATAGCAACAGACTGCTGCCGCGTCCTTAATGTGCGCATTTCTCATACCTTGAATCTCGGTGTTATTCTTGATAGTTTTCAGTAGGGCGCAAGGAGTTATTTCCGTTTTTAGTCGCTTGGGGGGGACTATGCTGGTTAGCGAGTAATTGGCATGATCCGAAAACCAGATAAACCCATCAGTGACCTCTTCAACTGCCGTTTTTACAACGTGCCAAGCCGAGCTGTATAAGCCTACTGTGATCTCAATTCCTGGCGCTTCCGCCTTGAAATGCTCGTGAAGGATGGGCGTGTCCTGACTGGGATCTATCAGTACGGCGACTGATTGCGGCAAAATGATTACAAACGAGAAGAAGACTGGATTAAAATCCACGTCGCTTCCACGCAGATTTAGGAGCCACGCAATTTCGTCTAGTGCTGTGAGAACAAGCACGCTGGCGTGCTTTTTCTTCATTTGATCACGGACTTCGCTCAATTTTGTTTTAATCGGTTTACCACTGTACTTCAATTCCAGTGGTACAATGGGATTTCGTACCATCGAAGGTCGGTCCCGTTCATTCCACACCAAGTCGACCAAATTCGTTTCGACCGGCACTAATTTGTGGCCGTGAGCTTCGAGCTCGTCTTGGAGATGCATCCATGTATTGTGACCGATTACCTTTGAGTCGACACCGATGCACGACTTAGGTGGAAGTGCGCTAATCAGCCATTCAGCTGAAAGTATTTTGTTTTATTGCAAAATAAAGAGGTAGGTGCCTAATACCTTGAGTAGGAGTGGAAGGTAGCCCTTCCTTCATTAGGGTCCAGTTGGCGTCCATTTCTTGGGACGCTTGCAGAAAGTAACGTCCGTCCGTCCACATACGGGCATCGTTATCGGTAATAATGGCGCTTCCTACGCTACCAATAAATCCGCTTATAAATCCTCTGCGTTTGTCACATTCCGCAGGATACTCGCTGTTGTGCGAGTCGGTCGAGGGTACAATATACGCGTTCAAAATTTCCGAGCAGTACCTCCCTTCGCTCATAATTGAACGCAGATGTTTCAGGAGATACGTCGTATCCTTCGGGGACATGATTGTCTAAAGAAATATACAAATAGTACCATAAGTTAACACTCCGCTTCCCACTTACGTTTATGTTTAGTGCACTGATTTAATTGAAGTAGATAGGTGATGGCTTTCAATTTTAAATATGTCAGAGACGCTATCAATCAAGTGGTTATATTCGTTCATTCACATTACGTGACACTTGACTCTGTACACATATAGGTGGTAACAAGATAAGAGGATAAGATAGCATTGCATTTTGCTATACATTTACAAAAAAAATAACGTTAAATTATCTCCTTGAAAATCCTCTTGGGGATGCTCTTCTCATGCTATACCTACCACTTATGAATTCGTTTGGCATGAATTCGAAGATTTTATGGCATAAAAGTGAGATGCGCGTAGACTGAAAGATCATCATTTCTCATTGATAACCGCATATTAATGAAGATGACCTTTTAGTCAACCGAGGATAGAAGTAATAAACGAAAAACCGATTTTTAAAAGAAGCAAGGATTGTAGTCTTTGCCTTTACAATCGAGCTACCGGAAAAGACGACCGGTGCAGTGAAAGCTACCCTTAATTAAAGAGTCTCGATTTAATGATGCACTACTTTCAATAAAAATAAATGAAGTGTTTGTTTAAAATATTTTAAAAAAATGTTCTGTCGCACGAGGTGCGTCGCCTATCATTGTATTTCAGCACTTTCATGCTACGACAAAAAATGATAAATTCATTGTAAAACACTTCAATTAAAACAGAATTTTTTAACAACCTAACATCAACCCCAATTAGAGAAACGTGTTAATCATTTTGAGCCCGGAAAAAAATTTTATCATGGAATGTGGCCTGTAGAATCCATAATTTCAAACAGTTCCAAGATTGGGCTACTAGTTCAAAAGTTACAGCCCTTTGAATTTTTTTTCGAAATTGGTTTCTAGTCTATAATTTTTGATTGAGAAGTCTGATCGAAAAAGTACGAATTGTTTTGGATTCTACGCACCAAAATTAATAAGAAAAAGTGTTTTCCCGAGAAATTTTGGTGTTGTCGATTTTTGGTAAAAAAAAAGGAAGGTTATACACTGCCTTTTTTTGAGGCCCGCAACAAAAATTGTCTCAGATCGACCCGGAAAAAAAATTTTCTTATAGAATGTGGCCTGTAGAATCCATAATTTCAAACAGTTCCAAGATTGGGCTACTAGTTCAAAAGTTACAGCCCTTCGAATTTTTTTTCGAAATTGGTTTCTAGTCTATAACTTTTGATTGAGAAGTCTGATCGAAAAAGTACGAATTGATTTGGATTCTACGCACCAAAATTAATAAAAAAAAGTGTTTTCCCGAGAAATTTTGGTGCAGTCGATTTTTGGTAAAAAAGGAAGGTTATACACTGCCTTTTTTTGAAGCCCGCAAAAAAAATTGTCTCAGATCGACCAGGAAAAAAATGTTTCTTATAGAATGTGGCCTGTAGAATCCATAATTTCAAACAGTTCCAAGATTGGGCTACTAGTTCAAAAGTTACAGCCCTTTGAATTTTTTTTCGAAATTGGTTTCTAGTCTATAAATTTTGATTGAGAAGTCTGATCGAAAAAGTACGAATTGATTTGGATTCTACGCACCTAAACTAATAAGAAAAAGTGTTTTCCCGAGAAATTTTGGTGTTGTCGATTTTTGGTAAAAAAGGAAGGTTATACCTACGTTCCTTTTATGTCTAAGAACTGTGTACCAAATTTGGTTTAAATCGCGGTTCAATTGTTTAGCCGGAAATGAGAGTACCGACAGACAGACAGATCGATCGACATCTTCGAAATTTTATTTGTTCGGATTCCTGGTACTTCAAAATATGTATTTTCGTCAAAAAAGTGGAGGGTCATTTTTTACCTCACTGCACCACCTCCCTTACTAACTTGCAGGTAGTAAAAACGGATCGAATGCATGAAATACACGGTGTCCATCTTTCGAGTACCACTATGGGGATCTCACTTATCTTAAAAGATAGAAAGTAGGTTAAATGGGGACAAAGTTGCCAATTTTCGTGCTGAATAAGAATCTGAATAGAAATTTGAAATATCTTCAATAGTTTTGAAGATATCGCAAAAAACGACAATTTCTGATTTTCGTTTTTAATTTCTTTATGATAAACTAATCGTAGTAGACACTTCTAATTAACACATTAGACGGACACTTTTTAATTGAGATTTCAAATATGGCATCCTGTTTTTAATAACTTTCAATATAACGGAGAAACACGTGGCAACGTTAGTTTTTCTCACAGAGTTGTATATAAGTAACAACTCTGTGGTTTTTATTATTGGCGCCATTTTGAATTTTCACATTTTGAGATTACGTCTTTTTTTCTCTTTACAACGATATATCACACACATGGTGGTTCAGTATCATATTTTTCCTAAGAATACCATTTTTAATTTTTTGAGAAGAGCTTGAGAGTGCTTCTCTGACAATGCTGCAACCAGACAGATGGATCAAACTGTCAAACTTTTGTTTACAACAAAAGAACGTTTTGTTTTTCCAAAGCACTCTTCTCAAAAAATTAACAATTGTATTTTTAGAAAAAAATGTGATACTGAACCACCATGTGTGAGATATCGTTGTAAAGAGGAAAAAAAACGTAATCCCAAAATGTCAAAATTCAATATGGCGCCCATAAGAAAAACTAACGTTGCCACGTGTTTCTCCGTCATCTTGAAAGTAATTAAGAACAAGATGCCATATTTGAAATCTCCATTAAAAAGTGCCCGAATAATGTGTCAATTAGAAATGTCTACTACGATTAGTTTATCCAAAAAAAATTAAAAACGAAAATCAGACATTTTCATTTTTTTGCGATATCTTTTAAACTATTGAAGATATTTCAAATTTCTTTTGAGATTTTTATTCAGCACGGAAATTTGCAATTTTGCCCCAATTTAACCAACTTTCTATCTCTTAAGATAAGGGAGATCCCCATAGTGGCACTCGAAAAATGGACACCGTGTAGGTATATTGCTATGATAGGCAACCAACTCTACACGATTTTGTTTTAAATAATAATCTGAGTCTGCTATGGAAACAGTAGGTAACTTGATTATTTAATGTCAAATTGGGGTTAGCCATCGAGGGTTACCTACAGCAATCTATTCCATGCCGTGATACCTTCATGCGTTTGATCCATTTTTACCACGCGGACGTTATAGTAAGGGAGGTATTGCATTAGGGTAAAAAAATGACCCCCCTCCACACTTTTGGACGGAAGTACACGTTTTGAAGCGCCAGGAGTTCAAATCAACCAAAATCTCGATGATGTCGGTCTGTCTGTCGCAGCAAATTTTTTTAAAGTATAGGTACATTAGTCCATGCCCCATCAGTCCAGGCAAATTGGACTCTACAAAAGAAAATTAGTAATGGAACTTTGTCAAGTGGATGTGTTAAAATGGTAAAAAAAATAAATACGTGAGCAGGGTAGGGGGACTAAGTTTGGGGAGGGTGAAAAGGGGCGAAAGTCATATGACGGCCTTTCCGGCAAAAGTTGAGATCAGAGACAAAAGTGTTCAATGGAAAAGTTGTAGATGGTGAAAAACTCTACAATTTTCTTTCTCAGATAAACCTCAAAATAACTGAAAAAATCAAAGAAAACAGTGTTTTTTGTTTTTTATTGTTCGTTTCCGCAAAAACAATTTTCTTTTAACGAGACTTTGTTGAAATATACTTTTTTATGATTCAAATAACTACACATTTTTTCAATATAAAAATTAAGAGGTCAAAAAAAGAAAAAACTCCGAAAACGACTTCAGTAAATTGAATTTTTGAGTATATGTTGATTTGTTCAAAGTTTCGAAATTTGTCAAAAAATGATTTTAGCATTCGATTCTACGCGAAAAAATACAAAGAAAAGTAATTACAATTTGATTGCATCGAAAACCAGTAGGTAAACATTATATGTCAAGGAGTTTTAAACTACAAATCGCAGCGGGCTTTTCGAGCTGAAGAAGGGCGCTTTCTGCCAATATGAGATAGGAAGACAAACAAACAAGACGGGTAGTGAATAGCGCTGCCCATAATATATCCAACATCTGACACGGCGGTAATCGGATATTAAATCTGTAACTAATACTAAAAAAGAATCAATAATTCAAATAACCTTACACTAAAAAAATCCAAAATTTTGATCAACCACGGGTTACCTTTACAACATCTATATAATATAAGCATAAACTAGACGTTAAATTCAAGAAAAGTACTTTACGATGCTGAATAACTAAACTTTTATTGATCTAATCAATTCAAAAAGAAGGGATAACATTAAGTGCAGAAAAGTAGAAAGCGTGTACTCTAGTAACAAGACAAAGAAGTACCATAAGAAACGTATAACACCAGGATAGCCTCTAACGGCAAAACAAAGAACATCGTAAAAGAAACCTATACTAATATAATAACAAATTTACTACAGGAATTAACTTACGCCCAGTGCCCGAAGAGTTTATGATGGGTTTAAAGAAATAAATCTTTCCTCCAGCGTGAATTTGAAGGTAGGTACCTGTACCGACTGAAAATTTTGAATACCTCCGTTACGGCTTGAAGTATATTTGACATAATTGAAAATTAATCTTGATTCCTCCCGTCCATTTTCAATTTAATCTTACTATCTGGCTTAGTATTTTAAAAGAGGACAGACAGACAAAGTAACATCGTTAGTGCTAATAAATTCAAGACCACCAACTATGCAAATGAATTAAACTATGGAAGCGCCATATTGAGGTAGAGGTTATAGTCCAGGCGAGGAGGAGACCTTCCTCCTTTGAGACCTGAAGTTGAAATTGATCTCTTCTTGTTTCTTTCGTTCGACAGTTTTTTTTGAATATCCAACGAAGAATGCAAAATGGGAGATAGGTACAAAAAAGGGCCCAACTGTGGTGTTCAAATTTGGATACTCGAAACCAAAACAAAATAAAACGTCGTGGTAGCCGGAGTATTAAAAAATCAGAGACCAAGAGTTAGCGTGTTTTAGATAACAACGTCTTGGTATTCCTAGCTGTATAAATACCGACAATTTTGGCATTCTGTCAAAGCGGTCGTCTAATATTAGATTTAGCGTGGCCATAGTCATCAAAAGATCGCCGATCGTTGCTCTGGTTGCAAGATAGTGCTCGAAACGATTTTGATGTGCATTTTGGTGTAACCGCTTGCTTTCTCTACCGATCATAAGGATTATATAAATACACACCCGGCAGCAAATGAACGTAAGTTTTTCCCCTCGTGCATATTTTTACGTTTCGGTCGGTCGTAAATTGCGATTGTAAAAATTGGCCAAAATTTTAAAATCCGCGTTAGATCAATATTTACACAAGTGATCACCGACCTCATTACTTAAAGTGCCGTTTTACGACACTTTAAACAAGCATTGGCAAAAAATCAAAATAAAGCGGAAGTAGGTACCCCCCGTAGGCGCAAATGTACCTGATGGTCATATCATGGACCCGAAGGGGGATAGAAGCGCGTGGGCTTAATTTTCAAGGCACAAATTTTAAAACATTTAATAAATGTAAAATAATCATTATATTTAGATACCCAAATATACATTTTTGTGCGGAAGAACTATTTATATACTTACATCAACTACTCTATAAATAACCGGCTTGTAAAACTAATTTAGTTTTAAAATTACGCACTTGAGTTTTTGGAATTTAATTGCAGTTTTTGAAATGCTCTACGTGAGGGCGTCTGGTCTATGTTGACCCAATCAGCATAAGAACTTTCATCTACTCGCTGCTCTTAAGTTGCTGAAACGTTATATTTGATCTAGATTACTTCCTTTCAATATCTATTCCACTCAATAATTTATGAATTCTAAGCTTCTTTGAGAAGGGCTACAAATTAACTACAGTGAGACTCTTTCAGAATTTTTGCACATACTAAACCATTAGGGAAAGCAGAACTAGAGAGACTTGCTACAATGAGTGGCACAAAAGACTCGGAAGCTAGGGAAACGCGAAAAAATAGGTAACGTTTTAGGAAAAATCCTTGCTAAACCCCAGAACTGGACGTGAATTGAATTCATCATTTATAATTTAAAAAAAAGTTCAGTTAATTATTATAAATAGCTGTTTCAGTTCATAATCAAAATAAAAAGCTTAACCTTTTTTGTGTCTGCAACCGAATATGTTTAAAGGATCTACAAGCAAGTCTCGCAATACAATACAAAATCAAGTCTATCTCTTCAACAAATTACATTATATTGAAAACAAAAGAACAGTGATGTTTCTTAATACGTGAAATATTTACAGAAGATGCTCTGTGTGCCCTCCTTCCACTTAAACACAGGCAGTTCAGCTACTTCAGTCAAATGCAGGAAAACAAAAATATTCAAATAAGACACAAAATCAACTCTATCTCTGAAACACTTAGTTTACGGACCTATGATTATTAAGACTTTTTTGTTTCTTTTCATGAGTACTATGCGTGGATAAAATATTGGACTTTTTTTGAAACACCCAGTACCTATACAATTTGACCCCGAATAGCGAATGCCCTAAAAAATGACAGACCACCCAGCAGACACTTTACGTTTAAAAACAGTTGGCGCTTTAAAAGGATAAATTCGGTATTGGTAGTTTGGTATACGTTTTTGTGTAGACCGATTTTATACCTATGCTTAAAATACGATTTTTCTACGTTGATAATACGTATAATCGTTTTTTAGCACTCGTTTTATAAACGTATATAACACCACTTTAATACACGCATATAAATCGTATATTAATGTGAATAGTGCGGGGGTTATAGGTTTCAACCTTGCATTTTGTGATAACTTTATGAAACTTGCTGTGTACGGTATACATTGCAAAACTTTCAGAGGATGTTCTAGACACCCTAAGGTTCAATTTCAGCTATGCCGCCACCCCCCGCAACCCCGGACGGCACTTGCTATAGCGGGTTTCTTAAGTGCAAGGTAGCATTTCAATACCCGCTCATAAAATGGGTCAAAAATGTATATCCAGGGTTTGTTTTGTACTTTCTTACATCTAGGAAGGTTGAAGGGAATTGTCAAATCCCCAGGGAGAATTTATGTAGGGTATTTTAGGTGGTTTACCTATTTTTAAGGCGCTTTTAACAGTGCAAGATAGGGCTCAATAATTTTAGCGCCGTAGATATTGTTAACTTTCCTTTCAGCATTGTAATGTCTCAATAAATACTTTAGAGCATAGTTAACTATATAATATTCAATAGAGCAGCCAAAAGAGGTCTCCGTCACGATTTTACTGTCCGCACTAGCAAAGATCTAGTATGATCTTTGGCACTAGGGAATGCAATACCGGGATTGCGGGATCCCGCAGCATTTTTGCGAGATTAATCCCGCACATAAATCGAGGGATATGCGAGACTGAGGAATTTGTCGACCAAGGTGACGACTCTGTTTACTTTGTTAATGAAACTGATAACGGCGAATTATTTTTTAAATAATTGTTAAACTTTTTTCGTTAAAAATGATTTTTGAGGCACTTTAGAAGACTTTTTGTGCTTTACAGGCAAGGTTTTTTTGAGTTCTAAGTTAGGCCGAAGGTACTTTTTTGTTAAATATTGTGATAATTAGCGATTTATTTTAATACAGAAGTTAACCGCACAGAATTGCTTATTTGCCAATTTATTTAAAGTTTTGCGAGATCCCGCAAATTCCGGGATCCCGCGGGATTAACATCTAACAATCCCGCAAATACCGGGATTGAGATTTTGCTGCGGGATTGCATTCCCTACTAGAAACCAATTTCGAAAGAAAATTCAAAGGGCTGTAACTTTTGAACTAGTAGCCCAATCTAGGAACTGTTTGAAATTATGGATTCTAAGGCCACATTCTATAAGAAAAATTTTTTTCCGGGTCGATTTGAGACAATTTTTTTTTTCGGGCTCAAAAAAAAGGCAGTAAATAAATTCTCCCTGGGTATTTGACAATTCCCTTCAACCTTCCTAGATGTAAGAAAATACAAAACAAACCCTGGACATACATTTTTGACCCATTGTATGGGTGGGTATTGAAATGCTACCCTGCGCTTAAGAAACCCGCTATAGCAAGTGCCGTTCGGGGTTGCGGGGGTGGCGGCATAGCTGAAATTGAACCTTCGGGTGTCTAGAACATCCTCTGAAAATTTCATAAAGTTATCACAAAATGCAAGGTTGAAACCTATTTTGGCTCTTAACCCCTGCACTAGAAATAATAAACGCATAATATTCCTACAAGAATACAGCGAACATTATTATGCGTATTATATACGTAGGGTTTTAAGTCTACAATAAACGCTTTTTATACGGAACTGTGTTGCTAGGGCAACGGCAAATTTGAAGACATCTTTTATCAACAGGCTGTGGGGCAGAATTACATAACACATTGAACTTTTTCTGGCATACAGGCAAAAGAGCAGTAGATAAATTTAAAACTTTGTGGTGCACCAACAATGGGGTGTCTGATCATGGAGTAGTGAATATAGTAGCATGATAATTTTGTAGGTACCTACTTCCACATTATTTTCTAAGCTCTTACTAGACGCATTGTCAGTTTTAATAAATATAATAATAATACAATCTATTTGTGCTTGTTTATATCAATACTTTTAATAGCAATAGATGGCGTCACATGTAACGATATTGTAGAGTCACAGTATATCCTGTGGTAGAGTGGTAATATAAATAAAATGAAATTGTAAACAGAAAGTTCATCTGGCCATAAGATGAAACTAATTAATATGATATAACTACTTTCAATAAATGCACTTCTATTATTTATAATTAAATCAGTTTTGATAAATTACCGGGCCCCAGCGGCGGGCGGGGGAGTTATGCAACAGTCTAACACCACGCTAATGATTAAACCGGAGGGTATCCAGGTATCTTTGGGCCTGTTTTATTCAAATATACCCTATGATTATCTAAATGGCCCACGCCAAGATTGTCAGATGACCTTTATATTGTTTGATCTGCGCCGTTTCATAGAGTGCGCATGCGAAAGAAACATAATGTGATGGACTAAGAACGCATTTTCCGTCATCGCCACAGTCCTCTAAATTTAGCTAGTAGTTTTGTTGGTGCGCCCTGTATAAACACTAATTATCTGACGTCATAAGTCTGTTCATGGATTCTCCGCTTGTTTGAAATATTGAATTTGTTTTGATTGTTCCTGTTCTACTTGGTCACATTGTATTTGTACACGATTTTTCTCACTGTGACCAAAGATCATATACTACACTCTTTGACTGACTCAAAACGTCACTAGACTAAATAAAAATAAATTTGTTTATAGCCGAAATGACGATAATTTATGAAAAAAGTTTGTAAAAATATTTAATATACTAAATATCAAAGACAGTGTATATAAATGAAATTCTAACATCTTGAATTACAGAATAAGGGCGATAACAAGTGGCGCCCAATGGCGATATCGAACCCCTCCACAAAGCTGAGACTTGCGCGCAACATGCCCCAGTGGGTGGTAAGTAAATAAAATTAAATAATACATAAATAATTATTGCGACATCTTTAAATAGAATATATAAATTCATCTTTAATTTACGATTGCTTTCTTGCAAGGAACAGTCGAAAATAATATATATTATACAAAATACTTTACACTATAAAATTTATACTCCTTTAATCACAAACGGTTAGCTCTCGTAATTTAAATTACGGCGATGTATATAATAGCGGTCTAGAGATAAAGATTTGTGATGCTAGAGAGTGTAGGAAAGAACGATAACATAATACTTTTGAGGTTACGATCTAACATGTGTATTATTTACACAATATTAATACAAAACGAAAGCTCTTCTGTAAAATATCTGCATGTCTTATTCTAAATGTTTGTATAAATAAAAATATGGGTATAAAAAAAGTACAAAAGAAGATCTGTGTAAAAAAGCAAGTGTGTTCAAAGAAAGTGTCATGAAAATTTTTTGTAGCATTTTTTGAGGTATATACAGTAATATATCTGTTTTGCCCTGAGGTACGTTACAAAGATTTTGAACACACTACATTTGCAGGTATAAGAACAAATTAATAAATATCTTTGCTATTCTATGTACATCTCGTTTGTCAGTACGTACAAATTCTACGGTGACAATTAAAATAAAATCACCTTCGTTATTTAAAGCTCTAAATTAGTCAGTCCGTACAAGTATTTCATGATGTGCTTGATGTGATGTAAAGATAATGTAATGTCATGGATTCAGTGGTGCAATTTGACCCTTATGATGTAATACTGAATTAAACAATAGCTATAAGTTCAAATAAACAAAATTTTCCAAGACCTGCTTAAGGAAAAAAACATTGATCACCTCTGTGATTAATTACATAAATCGATCATAAATAAGAATACTGTTTCCCATAGTCTCTTTCAATTAGTCACAGCCAATTTGATCTACTTAGCTTGTAAACAATCGAAAGTCGACAATTGCAAATTTGTATGTACTGACTTCATAACCTACTAAGCGGACTTAGAATCTACTTCTACCATTGCATTTAACACTTCTGCGTTTTTGCTCGAATGCGTCTTTCTAATGTGTGCCATTAAATATCGTTTCTTTTTAAATTTGCTAGGGCAAAGCTCGCACGTGTACTTTCGTTCGTTTGCCGGATCCTCCGAATGGCATTTGCTGTGATTATTTAACTCCTGCTCCGCGGAAAACGTCGTATGGCAAATGTTACACGCGTACATGCCGCTGTGCTCGACTAGATGCCTCGAGAGATCGCGCGATTCCTTAAACTCCTCGGGACACAGATGGCACCTGTATGTAATGGTCTTGTCGTGCTCGTGCATGTGCTCGCGCAAATATCGAATTCTTTGAAACGACAGGCCGCAACTGCCGCACTGGGAGAACGCGTTGTTGTCGTGCGCCGCGGTTATGTGAAGTTTCAGGTCGCGGATAATACTGTACTCCTTTAGGCAGGTGCCGCATCGTACGAAGCCGTTGTGCTGTCGCAAGTGTCGCGTTAGTTGGAACGCTTCGTAAAAGGGCGTCTGGCAGAGGTGGCAAACGTACTGGATTGCCTTTAAGTGGATGTTGTTCAGGTGTCTCTTCAGGTCGTGCTTTCTTCTGTATAGCTTGAGACAAAAGACGCACTGCTGCTTTCCGTTCACCAGTTCCGGTTTTATAGGCGGCGGCGGAATCTGAGGCAAAGCCTCACCTGTAATTGATTAATTCTGTGTAGAATATAATTTGAAAGTGAAGAAATAAATGTCATTTCAATGGTACAACCCAGAACATGAGATTAAGTTATTCCGCCCCTAACACATCTTTCATTTTTTTAAACCGGTGAGTTACGATCTTTTGTTTCATGGCTGCTGAGAGCAAAATAAAATTAAAAGAGACACATTTTGAAGCTTGGGGGGGGGGAGGTAACACCCATACTTTTTTATTTGGAAAGCATTTGGTGTCATCTACCTCTCAATTCCATTCTTGCATGTTGCACCCTGTATAATATGTAGGTATCATTTGTCACAAGTCATCAGATGTCGATGTTTTAGATCATGTTAAGAAACTTTTAAAGAATAAAATTGTTTTCCGTTTGTATGTACAGGGTGGTCCAACTTGGGCACTTTCTTTATTTTGAGACCTCAATTTTGAAACAATCGCTGGCGCAAACAGAATTCAGCTATCTTTAATTGTTTGGCCGCTAGAGGGCGTTTTTTCGAAATTTGTCGATTTCTTTAACACCCCATAACTTTCTTACTAAAAATAATTGATTTTGGCAAATTCTTTCCTAGAAGACTTTTATGTAGAATCAATCGCGATACACAGTTTTTATACAGGGTGTTTAGTTTTTTTATACGACCCTAAACTACATTTTTCAGATGGACCGCCCTATATATTTTGGCGTTTTTGAAAAGAGCGTAAAATTATGATATATCACTTGTGATAATTAAATATTATTTGGAATATTGCATTTTATACATTGAAATATGTTTATTGCAGACATCTAGGTTTCCATGGCGAACAAAAGATGGCAGGATTTTTTAAAACCACAATGTCTTGGGCTCTCTGGAAATTTTTATTAGTTCCAAATATTGTTCATTTCAAATAACACATAAACAAAGAACGTGAAAACTTATATGCATAAAACAAATAAGTAATATAATATACAGGGTCGTTATTAAAGATGGAACCAAAGCTCTCACATTCAAACCGTTTGAGACATAAACATGAAAATTAGAATGCTACCATTTGAACCATTTTTTTAACCTTGAAATATTTGAAATAATTTCAAATATTTCAAGGTTAAAAAAATGTTTTGGACGTGGTTTTTGAGTGCGACCGCCATCTTGAATTTTTTTTAATGGCAATATAGGTCATGAGATAAGTCATTAGAAAGCTAATTTTTCTCTTTTTCATACTATCTTAAACATGTATGCTGTTAAATTAGAAAATACTGCATAAAAAATTGACCTTGCCATACGATTAGCTAATGCATTGCAGTTTAAATAAACAGAACGTCAAAAATTAACAAAAAAAAAGCAATCAGTAAGTGACAGAAACACAATATATATGGTTTGCTTCCTTATTACATCAGAAATAAATCTTAATTTTGTAAAATATGAAACATTTGACAGTTTTTCTCCATTATTTCTAATTTAACACCACTCATGATTAAGGTAGTAAGAAAGAAAAAAAATAAGCTTTCTAACCACATGACCTATGTTGCTATTTAAAAAAAATCAAAATGGCTATCGCACTCAAAAACCATGTGGCAAAAAAATTTATAACCTCAAAATATGATAAATAATCTCAAATGGAAGCTTTCTAGAGACTCCCCTCTTTAAAATTCATTTATTAAGATCGGTTCACACGTTTGGTAGATTTGTTCATTCCCATATAGTTGCGATTTCACCTACCACTACTAGACGCTCCCCTTAATCGACGTTGTATCTCTTCCGAGATCCTAATGGGCACTATATGCTTAAATCCAAATTGCTATCACATGTATAGGGTGAGTCAACAATTGCGCGGAGTAACTTGAAGATAAGATTTTTCGATAGTGGTTTTGTATTATGATATGGTTGATTACTCTCCACATTTTAAAATATTTGGAATTATACAGGGTGCGCCTACATAGTAGGGCGCCAAAATGGTACATTTTTTTTAAATGGAACCCTCTGTATTTGAATGCATTTTTGAATTCTACGTGTACGTATTTTTTATTATAATTATGGTTAATATCCGAAAAGCCAGTAGTTTTAAAGATAATTCGGTTTTTAAGAAAAATTGGGCATTTGCAAGCGTTAGTATATTGTCAAAATTATCACTTAAATTTTGATTCCAGGTTTTATATCTTTTATCCTGGATTAAGTAAAAGTACTATAAAACGTTAAAAAAAATAGCTTAAAGAGTGTTTTTGTCTAGATCCAAAGTTACAAAACTTCATATTAAAAATCTCACTGTTTTTAAATGGAACACCCTGTATATTGTTCTGTCATCTTCTAGCTCCTCCAAAAACCTTCAACTTTTGATAATAATGTCCTATACCAGGGGTCGGCAACCTAATGAAACGGACGAGCCAAAAATTACAATTTACAAAATTTCCTAGTTTTGAAAGAGCCACAAAAATTTTTTGATTCAATATTATAGTATTTGGCTATATACAGGGTACCTGGTAAAAAATATTGGTGGTTGCGGATCTACAGAAATTATTTTTGAATGTACAGCGTGTCCCATTTTTACGATGTCAATAAATAACTGATCTTTTTAAATAGAACATCACAAAAGTACCTACTCATTAATTAGTTACGTGTTTATACATCGGAGTAGGCTGCTATAATAAAAAAACATAAGAATGCCAGAAAGTAAACAAGTGTCACGAATTAGATTTCCAAAATTTCCTATATACTTTCAAGATTTCCCCCACACTTCCATGTTTTAGATAACATAATAGAAAAACATACTGTGCAGCGACGTCGGAAGTATGGGTCAGACGCCCCCTCAGTTTTTACACAGGGGGGGCCGCGCCCCCTCTAAGAATGAGTAGATAAATCACTCAAAAGCGACTAACACGTCTTCTACTGCATGATGTGCATGCAGAAATTACAAAAAGTGTAGAAGTAGAGGATATACAGGGTGTTTACGGTCTTCTCTGTATCCTTTTAAGGGGCAGCAGTACAGCTCAAAAGGAATCGACAAACCCCAAAACACCTTAGTAAAAAATAATTTAAGTGGACAATGCTGATTGAGTAGTAAGATTGCTAGATTTGTACGCAGTTGTACAATGTTGTTAATGTAAAATGTTAATGTGAAAAATAAAACAAATATTATCTCGCTTATTAAATAACTTTTACGTACTCTTTGCTTTTACTAAGGTGTGGGGTTTGTCGACTCCTTTTGAGCTGTACTGCCGCCCCTTAAAATGATACAGAGAAGACCGTAAACACCCTGTATTGAAAAGATTTGACAGCAAAACTGCGGAAAAGCGGAAAGTTTTTGGATATATTTAATTTTGTATACTTGCTTTTCTTTACAATGCTCAATAGTGCAATAAATAGAAACAACATTTTTGTAACTTTTCTAGTTCTTCATTATTTTTTAAATAAAATATTAATGATCTATGGCTATGGTTTTCTCAATCGAGTCAAGTGTCTCTAAGTTGCTCATTTGCATATAACTATAGACATCCTCCGACACTTTTTTAAATTTTTTTTAAAACTTTTCCTTCAAAAATACATTATTTGATTGATTAAATAAGCAGGTTTCAGGGTCACTTAAAAAACCCACTGCTTTGCATTAATTCGTACACAACTTTGCATGGGAGGGACCTTTCAGACTCCATGGTCGCTGATTTTTGCCCCCCCCCCTTCCGTTATTCACTTCCGACGTCGCTGATACTGTGTGGTACGTACAGTCATTGACAAACGTAATGATCGCCTAATAGATAAACTCCGCATAAGTAACCAATATGCCTATCAGATCAGGCTCAGTCGGTTTATTCAAGTATTAGCATTATGCGGGTCACTTTGTAATTGGGCAAAAGCCTGTTGAGGGCCCAGAACAAGAGAGGGACAATAAATAAATAAAATTAAAAAAAAATAAATATTGGAAAGACAAGTAGGAATCGTTGTCTATTTAATGTGATTTATTTAGTTTAATTCTCTTTTTTTATGTTATATCATGTTGTTATATTGAGGAATAAAATATATTATTATTATTAAATACCTTAATTTGTTGGGTTGCATTCCCAAGTGGCCCATTGCATTCAAATGGTTGGGTGCGTATGGTGCAGGATTTACATTCGGCGATCATTACTTTTGTCAATGACTGTACATCATTTTAAACATAAAAAATAAATCCTGCTATCCAATTAATTTACAGTCATGCATACTTGTATATCTACGATTGATTCTTAAAATCGCATGGGTCACCCTGTTTCCCCCTTTTAATAACACAATCAATAATTAAATTTGGGAATATTTATTGAATCTTTTTATCCTTGTGTGGATGACTATACGATTTTGGGCGTCTCCTAAGGAGTGGGGGGGGGGGGGTTTTTGAATTGTTTACACGCAACGCTACCTACCTTTCACGCTATCATCACCTGACCCCTGAACTTCCGGTTCACACTCCATATTTACGTCGGTTAAAATATCGCTTTTGCTCGAATCCGCGTCGGACTTGCTTCCGCCTAACTTCAAGTCGGCAACGTCTTCGTCCACTTCCATCGACGTTTCACTAACTACCGGCTCTGAAACCTCTTCGGCCTCCCCTATTTTTTCCACAATCTCGTGCGAATTTTTCAAATTTCTTAAATTAATTTTGATTTTCAATCCCTGTCCTTGGGACGACTTCGCCTCGTCCACGACTTCCTCCACGATTTCATTCGACTCGCCCGACTTATCACAATTTGGGTTGGTTTCCGTTGACTCGTCCTCGTCCGGCTGCGTCTCGGATTGCTCCTGGTTTTTCTCCCCTCCGTCCTCCTGCTTCTCCGTAATGTACTTGTCTTTATTAAACACCTTTAGTCTGTAGTCGTTTTTTCGAAAATGCAACTTGATATGTAACTGTAGATAGGATTGCGTGGAGAATTCTCGATTGCAAATATCACATTTGGCGTTCTTCATCCCCTTAACGAAGTACTTCCTTCGCTGCGGCTGATGTCGTTTAAACTTGTGCCTCGAGAGACCGTGCGAATTGTGAAAGCTTCTCGGGCAGATATCGCACTTGAATTCGAGATTTAAGTTCGGTTCCCCTTCGTCGTCGCTCGCCTCGTGGTTGTTCGGCGACGCCTCGACCGACGCAGGGAATAAAATCGCCTCGTTATGCACCGAGAGATCCTCGAGCGTAATCATATCCTTCGAGAAGGCGTTGCTTTTGTGCGACGCGTGTCGTTTCATATGCGTTTCGTATTGGTTCTGCAACGCGTAGACGGTCGAGCAGTGTTTGCATCTGTACGGAAATTCGCCCGAGTGTATTTGTCGTATGTGAGCGTATAAGGATTTAATCGTGTCGCACATTTGTCCGCAAAGTTCACAGATAACCGATTTCACTTGGGTTTTGTCCGCCATGAAGTGGTCGAGATTTAAAAAGTCGAGATCCGGTAGCATGTAGTTCTTCTTCGGGCGGATGGGTACAAACGTATTTGTTGGAATTACAGGTGGTACAAAGGTCTTCTCGACCTTTACGGAGCTGTCCAGTTTCGTGTCGGGGAGAGGTGCAAATGTCTCAATGGTATCAGTCAGTTTCGCTAGCGAAGGTATCGCTTTCAGTTCAGAATCGGCGTTTACCTCATCACACTCCTTTGGAGTTTTACAGTCGTCTTCACAGTCGAAACACGTCGGATCAATTTCCACACTCAACTCTTCGGTTTTACTGTTCGTTAACAGATTAGATATGTTGACGTCCTCCTGTGTTCTTAGCGGTAATTGCGGAATTGACAGTTTCACATCATTTGTTGGCGATACAATGGGAAGAATCTTATGAAGCGTATTGTTGATATTTACAAACATATTCTGATTTAAATCGTTGGGTGGCAGTTTAGCATTCTTCGTGAAGGGCTTCGCAGCGGGAGGAGGAACTATATTTAAATAAACATTCTGGAATGGATTTGCTTGTGCTACATTCGCTATCTGAGGGTAAAACTGTTGGTACGACTTAACATTTAAAAAAAGTTGCTGTTGAAACTGTTCCAATTCTTTTTGGCGTGATATGTAATCTTCGACGTGTTCCTCGTTTACTTCAAACCCGTCAGATTCCTTTTCAGACTGTTTCAGCTCCTCTATGTAGTTTTCGAACAACTTCGTCGCTTGTAAACACTGGGTTTTGAATTCGTACGCTAAGTTTAAGTTTTGTACACAAACCGGGCACATTAGAATACTGCTGTTTGTTGGCCATTCCTGAAATCTCAGTGACAAAATCTGGGTACGATCTCAAATGCTACATACCACTTCGGACACACATAGCTTGAGTTTATTTATCAGGGGGTCTGATTCTGTGTCGTTCTTGGTGATATCTACGAGAGGATTTTCGTTTTTTAGGCATACTCGACAAAATTCGCTTATATAATACATATTATAATTCAAGTATCGCCTTAAATCCTCATCCATGAGTTAAATTTCATTTTAACCGATGCTATTTTTGTAAAGATTAGTTCTGACATTTTTCTCGTCAAATACCTAACCCAAAAATAAAGATCAATGACCTAACATTGACACCAACCGCTCACTGCTGCCAAATACGAATAAAATGAAATCCCTGCAAAAATTTGAATTTATTTTGGGAAAAAGTGCTATTATTAAAAATCGCTCATAAAAATATTATTTCGCATTCTTTACCAGAACGGTCATTTTTCTTGTTCAATGAATATGCGTGGAGGTATTTAACAACCTTTGGTGCAATTCGAGAGGGTAGCCCCTATGGCCATATACATGAACCTACCATTTATAGTACCATTGATTGTTGTGTGTATAATCAATGATAGTACTAATAGAAATATTCTTACCGATTGTTAACGAAACTCCCCCACAAAAATGATAACAAATTCAAAAATTTGTATAATTTCTACTGCTGTTTGTCACTACAGTTCAATCATTCCCTTTTAATGAACACATATTTTTCTTTTCTTTTTATATCAGAATTTTCAACTGGAGCACACCTGATGTACAGTTCTGTTTTATAGAGACGATGTTCTATATTCTCAGTATTTCGTGTTCTATGCCATTCCTTGCTCTTCGTTTTCGTTATGAGTTCTCTGATGTATACCTAATAAATGGGGTAGCTTGTTGAACAAGTGTTGTGAAGTCCTGAACTGCAGCATCCAATCGTCTGAATTTTTAATGCTTATCCTTAGGTTGACATTTCTTTCCATACCTACATGCACGAAAGGTGCCCTACTGAGTATTTCTTGATGTGGGGAAGTGATTTTTTGCATATCACGAGAGCTAGGGTTGCTAGAGGATTGGTGTATGATCTGAAGAAAGGTCAAAGTTAGATTCAATTTGGATATGATTAAGCCACACACTTTTTAAGGTGGTAAGTCAGGTATCTTGTTGGGCTCGCCTGGCCAATAAGATGGCTCTCCAATCACCGTCTGCGATGAACTTGTATCCTCGTAAGATATAGGGTGTCGTAGAGGACTAATACAGGGATATTCATGTAGAAGTAGACATAGGGATTTCCTATGTCTGCATTTAAACGATAAAGTCTTCTGAAGGACGCCTAATTTTATGCAACCAAAATAACTACCTGCAACAAATGAAGATCTGCCTGTCATATTAATTAATTTGAATATTTTCGCTTTGACTTCCGCATTCTAATTTTCGTTCGTGTGCGATATACACGGTGTCCATTTTTCGAGTGCCACTATGGGGATCTCACTTATCTTAAAAGATAGAAAGTTGGTTAAATGGGGGCAAAGTTGCAAATTTCCGTGATGAATAAGAATCTGAGAAGAAATTTGAAATATCTTCAATAGGTTTGAAGATATCGCAAAAACAGGATGCCATATTTGAAATCTCCATTAAAAAGTGTCCGAATAATGTGTTAATTAGAAATGTCTACTACGATTAGTTTATCATACAAAAATTTCTGATTTTCGTTTTTTTGCGATGTCTTCAAAACTATTGAAGATATTTCAAATTTCAGATTCTTATTCAGTACGAAAATTGGTAACTTTGTCCCCATTTAACCAACTTTCTATCTTTTAAGATAAGTGAGATCCCCATAGTGGCACTCGAAAAATGGACATCCTGTATTCAACTAAAGAAAAGGTTGATATTTCCAATTGGTATAGTGCCGGTAACAGTTAAAGGAGCTTAAGAGATTTATTTTCTGTGAAGCCAAAGCAACAATATTCAAATTAATAATAAAGATGACAGCGAGATATTTATTTGTTTCAAGAAGTTATTTTGGTTGCATAAAATTAGGCGTCCTTTAAAAGTAGGAATTTTAATGTAAAATTCATAACATGCGATTATTGGCTCCCCAAATTATTTTAGAGCAAAAATGTATTAAGGTTTTTTGTAGAAAAAAATTGTTTACGTCAATCAACCGTATTAGTTATCAATTTTTTGCATAATAAAGACGGAAATTGGAAAAATAAGCCCCGCATCTTTTTCAATAATACAAAAACTTCGCCAATATCCGTCATGCCATGGAATGTCTGCTACAAAACAAATTAAATTCTATCAAAAAGTATTATATTATTAGAACAGCAAATTCAACATATAGAAAGACCAAATTACTAAAAACGGTTTCCTAATATAACAATTTACAATAAATGTTCGAATAAGTCACCATTAACTGCAAGACAGTAACCAAGTCGATCATAAAATCCATTTTGAACTGCTGCTAATTGATAACTGGATCTTTTTGTTTTAGAAAATTCCATGGCATCGCAGATTATTGAAAAAGATGCGGGTTTTATTTTTCCAATTTTCCGTCTTTATTATGCAAAAAATTGAAAACTAATACGGTTGATTGACGTAGAAAATTTTTTTCTACAAAAAATCTGAATACATTTTTGCTCTAAAATAATTTGGGGAGCCAATAATCGCATGTTATGAATTTTACATTGTAATCCCTATGATGCGTTACACAAGTCACCACCCTGTATATTTATTTCCTATTATTTTTAAGTGGATGGCGTGTGTTTCTTGAACACGATGGGAATATTTTGAACAACCATTCGAAAAAGGTGGTTAAAAACAAGACTGGTAAATGCCATAAACTTTTCCAAATTGTTTATTGTTCGACCCCCCCCCCCTCTCCAATGTACTGTATTGTATGATACACAATGATATTAATATTCATGTACAGTGATTGAGTAATGATCGTAGAATAGGTAAATCACGCAGGGTACGCAATCAGCATTTGAATACCTTGTGCAGCTTGAAAATGTGAACCAAAAAATTAAGGTATCTCTTCCTTGAATAAACCGATTTGATAGGCATGTTGGTTACTTGTTAGGCAATCATTACTTTTGTTAATGATAGTACGTGCAGTACTATAGGTACATTACAGTGGCAAAATTACATAGAAATTCATGTTGTAAATGAATATGGTGAGAGTAACCTTAGCAATTCCCTTAAAAATGACCTCAGGGTTTCCGCAACCTATCGCCATGTATTAGACATATAGTAGTGAAGGGGAAAGCATAGAACCATAGAGCAACGAGCAGCGTAGAATAAAAGGAAATTAATATATGGCTGCATGCAGAATCCAATTTTGGTCTCGATGCCGGGTATTTTTGTACAGATCGATCGCGTTCGTTTTTTAAAAAAATAGGTACTAGCAAACCCCGGGAACCTCGTACCGCCTTTGGGAAATCACGTTTTTTGGGATAAGACATACACACCCGACGAACAATGGTAAGAAACTACCCACTAAATATACAAAAAAATTTCATAAAAATTGGTCGAGCCGTTTCGGAGTGTCTGTGCCACGAGATTTTTATATACACAGTGTCCATTTTTCGAGTGGCACTATGGGGATATCGCTTATCTTAAGAGATAAAAATTTAGTTAAATTAGGGCAAAGTTGCGCATTTTCGCGCTGAATAATAATCTGAAAAGAAATTTAAAATATCACCATAAACATTTCTTCATGGTAAACTAATCGTACTAGACATTGCTAAATAATACATTATTCAGAGACTTTTTAATGGATATTTCGAATATGGCATCCCGTTTTAAATATCTTTTAAGATGACGGAGACACACGTGGCAACTTTAGTTTTTCTTATGGGCGCCTTCTTGGATTTTGACATTTTGAGATTACGTTTTTTTTCTCTTTACAACGATATATCACACATGGTGGTTCAGTACCCATCACCTTTTTCCTAAAAATACAATTTTCATTTTCTGCGAAGAGTGCTTTGCAAAAACAAAATGTTCTATTGTTGTGAACAAAAGGTTGACTTATTTCAAGTAGTGTCATTAACGTTTGTGCTTCTTTTATTGTGCAAATATTATTTATTCTTATGTATTTTGTTCTAATTTGAATTATAATTGTCTTGCAAAACGATGGTTCAATTCTGTTCAAATGAAAATCGAATTCTCTCAACACAACTAGTTCCCTGTTACCCCGCCCACTCAAAAATAAAGGCAGCTAAATAAATAAATAAATAGCGCTGCAACCAGACAAATGGAAACTGTCAAACCTTTGTTCACAATAAATGAACGTTTTGTTTTTCCAAAGCACTCTTCTCGAAAACCTAAAAATTGTATTTTTAGGAAAAATGTGATACTGAACCACCATGTGTGATAATATATCATTGTAAAGAGAAAAAAAGACGTTATCTCAAAATGTCAAAATTCAAAATGGCTCGCATAAGAAAAACTAAAGTTGGCAGGTGTTTCTCCATCACCTTAAAAGTTATTAAAAACGGGATATCATATTCGAAATCTCCATTAAAAGGTGTCACAAGAAAGTTGGCATTGCGCATGCGCAAAACAACATTTTGAAAATGTTAATTTTACTTATTTACATATTTACATATAAAGTTTCATTTAAATATCTTCATAAATAAAAAAGTTAGCACTGCACATACGCAAAACCAAAAAATATGGGTATGCACGGAATCCCTAGACCAAGCCGTTTCAAATGAGCCCCATATCGCACAAATCGGTTCAGTGGTGTACAAGGAGTACGTGTGACGGACGGACGGACGACAAAATGCAATCAATAGCTATTTTTCACTTTGAGGAAAATACGCTACAAATAGAAAACACTTTCTTATTGCCACTTTTTGACAAGATACCGCTGAGAGATTTTCAATACAAAATTTCATTTCGGAAAAATTATCAACTTTATTTTTTATATGGATCGTAAAAAGTACATACTGCACCTATATTGAGTAGCATTTTTTATTACGAATCCAACGATAAAGGTATGTCATACACAAAAAAACAAAAGTTGGAAATTGTTGGTTTCAACAGGATGGTGCACTCGCGCACAAAGCTCTAATCGTGCAACAATACCCACCTATCGGACAAATTTCCTGCAAAATGAAAAAGTTATCCGATAGGTATTTTGGCACGATTAGAGCGTTATGCGCGGGTGCACCATCCTGTTGAAACCAACAATTTCCAACTTCGAATCCGTCTTTTCTTTAAAAAGTACAAACCCAAATCAAAGAATATGTTATTTATTGGATGAAAATGCTACTTTCTGATTATTCATTCTCATTAGCACTAGAATAAATGTATACAAAACGTTCACCAGGTGCACGAGTTGTCGATTTCATCTTATTCCAATTTGTTTTCAGAACAAAAGCGGTGGTGGTCCAGCGCCGCCGCCGATACCAGTCGATGAAAACAAAATGCACCAGAAATCGCACGATCCAGACTACGAAGTAATCGATTTTCAAAATCAGCAATACTCGAACACGCCGCCTTTACCAACAAAAAATCCACCAAAAGGTAACTGTATGGTTTCACATTAACCAATTAATAGTTGTTAGCCGCAGGTGGAGGACGCCATTGCGAATTGTGCGGCTCGTCGTCGGCCGCAGTCTCCTGCGACCAGTGCCGCCAGATCTTCTGCCCGTCGTGCGACGACATGTACCATCGACATCCGAAACGGCAAACCCACATTCGCAAGGCCGTGAGCATAGCAGATCCCATTCGCCCTCCGCTACCCCCAAAAGGAATACCTTGCCCCCCCGTACCGCCCCCTCGTCGTCATCGTCGCGCCGGTTCCGTCGGTCCCTCCCCATGTCCCAGCCCGATACCGTTTGGTAACAATCAGGTACCGACTTACGCAGTTTGTTTGTTTTCAAAGTGTTCAATGTTGTGAACACAACTACCCCAAATAATTTATTAATGCTTCAAAGCCTTATATAGTATGGTTGTCGAAAGCCCTCGTAAGTGGGCCAAAATCAATAACAATATTTACCCAACTAAAATTTTATCTGTGCCAAAAAGCATCTCGAGAAGTGAAGCGTTAGATTATTTCTCATTGCAGATGCCGACATCGTCGAGGAAGGACACTATTTTTTCGATCAAAGATCGATTTGGTAGTCTTAAGAAGATGATGGGAACCAGACCACTTCCACCGACCCCCAACAATTGTACGTTGACTTTCCGATAGCCAATTTATAATTGTTACCATTGCAGTTTATCCGTCAAATCCTCCACCTACAAGTGATCGATACCGTACACTTGCCAGTCCAAATCTCCAGCAACGATACAGGCAGCACCAAGCCGTTATGAGAGGGATGACTCCGTGTGATATGTCCGATCAGGTAGTTACGGTCATTACGTTGAGAAATCAAAGTCAGTGTGCGTTCTAGGCACTAAGTAGAGATAGTGGGTATCCCGACTGGGAGCAAGAGCGGTGGGGCAATCTGGGTCGGTCAGGAAGTACGTCGGGGTCCGAGGCTGGCCATCCGCGTTTGCAACGCAGAACCAGTCAATTATCTACTGGATCCAGTAGGGGGCATAGCGCGTCAGTCTTCGACTTGAATTCGCCAATGGATCGCCATCGACATTCACACGGGCCCCATATGCAGCAGGTAAAAGTTCATCGGCGAATCTTCCACTGTACAAATAATTATAGGCTCAATCTATGGCACATTTGAATTGCCCATCGTGCATGCAAGGAGCCTGGATGGATCAGTGGGGGAACATGTGCGACTCATCCTGTTCGGGCAGCAACCTCAGCTTGAATATGCCTCCGGGCGGTTACCCGATGTGGATGGGTCCCTGGCATGGTCATCCGCCAGCGGGAATGTATCCGTACCCCGTAGCCATGATGCCGCCTCCGGTGCCCAGAGCGGATTCCCCCCCTCACAGTGTTAAATCTCGCAAGTCGTACAACAGGCGCAAATATCGAGACGAAGACGAAGATACGGACGATGACTTCGACGAGAGAAGATCAATTCGTAGCGACAGGAAGTCACGAGGAAGGCCGCCCAGGGATACCAATTCGATACCGCGCGAGGTAAGACGAAGAGCGCCCGTCGAGAGAGGAGACCGCGTTTCTCTACCACCCAGGGGGAGGCGTAGCGTTCGCGAAACATCCAGCTCCGAGGAGTTTCCGGTTGACAGCCGAAAAGATACAACACCAATGGAAGAGGACGAAGAGGACCCGATCCGCGTGGAGGATTTTTCAGAGCCTGATATTGTCGAAATACCAGTCGATAGATGGGAATGTGAGCACTGCACTTACGTTAACGATGCAGGTACGCGCGTTTGTTCGATCTGTTGCAAAACGCCCACCTCTGCCGACATTAAAATTATACAAAGTAGCCCCAAAGGCAGAAGGAAGCCAATCATTGTAGAGGAAGAGGAGACGGAAGTGAAGACGCTTCAGCGTACCAGATCATGCGACGACCAAATGAAAGATTGTAGCGAAACCGAGTCGGTCTTGAACAAATTTAGCAAACAAGTGAGTTTGGTTGATAAACTCGAGGATATCGACATGATCGAAACGATAGACAGAAAAAAAGGTAGGCTTAATAAAAAGATATCATTTTGGCCGGGAACGAAATAACCGAATGCTTTTGTTCAGTTAATAGTGTCTTAAAATTTACTAAAAATTTGTGTGTGTTATTGGTGTGCGAATAACAAAATAACAAAGTCCTGTTGTTACAGGAAGTGAAACGGAACAGTTTGGAGCTAATTTAACTGTTAACTCACAAAGTGATAAAGTCGAAAGTGAACGCGAAACTGTGATTAATAATCAAAAAGTGTCTACTGCCACCGGGCCTTCTCCTCCTAGAGAAATTGAGCCGATTAAACCAGAAGTTGCGCTATTAACTACTATGTCCACAGGAACTTCACCTCCACCACAAACAATTTCTACTCAAGTAGGTTGTTTGCTGTGGAACGTTATTTTATAGTTTTGCTTTGTAGACGTACGACGTACTACCACTACCCGAAGCGAGGCGAGCTTCGTCACGCTCATCAAAAGTTAGAGCACGATCTTGCAGCCGAAACAGCAGAAGGCAGGAGTTTGTGCGATCTCATTCTTTGCACGCCGGTGGGAATCACGACTGGGGTTCAACCGAGTCGTTAGGTCGACAGTCGTTCTCGAGCGATTCTCAGGTACTCGTCTTGTTGTTGGTGAGACACTCGCTTTGAAGTCAGTTCCAGAGCCTGCCGGGTACTCCACCGAGGGTACTAACACCAGGTCGTTTCGATTACACCACCCACTTTGACCGAGGTTTTACAAAGGAAAAGCCCTACCACTTGGATTACCACAAACCCGACATCAACCGAAGAGCAAGTTACAGTGACCTTCGACACAAGGATTATAGGGTTTGACTATAATTCTTGTTCCATCATCTTCATTTTTTATTTTTTATTTTACATACTATGTAAGGCTTTGGTTTCTCATCACATACCATTAACAAACATCATCCGTTGCACTCTTTGGAAGGATCTAAACTAAAATCTTTTATAGAATGAGTATCACAATCGCATGGATTTTAATCACGACAACCTACAAAGACAAGGGTTCGAGCTGGTGAAACTACTGAGAGTAAGCGAACAATCCCATTTTTTGCTTTGATTAACATTGGAAACATAGGAAGCCGAACACTACAAGTACACAGCCGACGAGCTTCAGGCCGCTCTACTGCATTGCGGTGAACAAAATCCAGTCGACTGGCTTTGCCAAAATTGGCACGCAAAGATAGCGAGCGTTCAAACCCTGTCGACGCAATTAGGTCGCGAAGGTCCGATGAACGTTGTCGGTACGGTTTCTGAAGTTGAAGCCCGAGACGCCCTTTGTTTGCATAAGGGGAGTGTGTGGCCTGCTGTCACCGAGTGCGTCGAGCAAAGGCAAAGGAAGGTAATTATTTAATAACTTTAAATGTACCAATTTGTGTATCTCCCTTTTGTTTTAGTATACCGAGTTGGCTTCCAGAGGAGATTTTAGTCGTGAGGACATTGTGACAGTATTAACGGCACACCATGGCAACGTGGAGGAGGCTTTTTCTGAATTGAGCAAAACTCAAATAAAACCGTTCTTAATGCGAATTTGGGGACCGCCGGTTGGTACAGAGAATGAAGCTGGTAATGAGGGGGCCACCTTGCAACATATACGGGGGGAAGGTACGAAATTTGCTTATAGTAATATTAGTAATAACATCTGCTATTAAAAGAGTTTTTTTAATGCCTTTACTGCAATGGGCATTGTTTATTAATAATGACTTTAATACAGGGTGTTTTTTTGGGAGCTTTAGGTAAATATTTCTGGGAAAGTAAAATAGGTAGGTTTTTGAAAATTTGTACTTAGGAGCTCTGAAGGCCGAATTGATGTAAAATATTTTCAAAATGGCCGCACTTCCTGAAACACCGGAGGTATATGGTAACTTCGTTATTTTAAATGGCAACACCTATTTTTTATTGCATTTTTGGATTCTACGTGAAATTTCAGGTTTTGATACCAACATGTCGATATCTGCCATTTGTGGTTTTTAAGTTATTTTGACTTTAAGAAAAAAAATGGCGGATGCAGATGGTACCTTGATAATTGATTACTTGAAAACGGTTGTAGTCATGGCAACATGTTTTTAGCAGTGCATAGAGAATGAATAGGGCTTTCTCTTAGTGTACTTAAAAAAAAGTTAAGTTGCTTACACCTATGGAGATCCAAATTTAAGGAACTACAAAGACTAAAAACTCAGTTTTTCAAAGTGGAATGACCATGTTCTTACTATTGCATGAGATAGAGAATCTTTAACAGTTTCTGATTTATTTCCATTTCATTGAATTGATCTCGGAATTGATGCCATCTTTTTCGCATTTTCTTTTTAGTAGTTGGCCATGATTTTATAACAATCGAATTTTAAACAAATCAAGGAATGGATTCTTTAGTATCATTGATTCTAGTCTAAATAATTCATTAATAAATAACTAACTTGTTAAGGATATAGGACGGAAAATTTTTGAAAAATCTAGACAGAGTCGTTCAACTGAATTTCTCAAACAACGTATTTGTAAGTCTGGAAATTAAGAGAGGTAATCTGTTCTAGCAACAATTCCATACCAAAAATGTTTCAACGAAGTTTTTTATATTTTGCATTGAATTTATTTTGTTAATCTTGCATTTGCAATTCAATTCATTTTCTAAATATTCTCTTGTAGAGCTTTGTATCACTTGTGCTTCAACGGTTTGTAGTGCATTTGGGGGTACAACATTTCCAAAATTCATACAATTTCGTTACAGTGTTCGAATGAATGTACGGCAAGCACGTGCCGCGATTCTGTCCATTTCACCAAAAATAACAAGTCCAAAATAGGTGAAACCACTGCGAGTCATTTTTCGATTTTTGAAGAACTTATGTTAACCTATAACAGTAGGTGACGGATTAGTGTCACTAGATTTGTTTAAAATTCAATTGTTATAGAATCATGGCCGACTACTAAAAAGAAAATCCGAAAAAAATAGTGTCAATTCAATAAAATGGGAATAAGTCAGAAACTGTTAAAGATAGCTATAGGAACATGTATTGTCAAAATATGCCCATTTCGATTCTCTATCTCATCCAATAGTAATAAAATGGTCATTCCATTTTTAAAAAACTGAGTTTTTAGTCTTTAAAGTTTCATAAATTTGGATCTCCATAGGGATCGTACGCAACTTAACTTTTTTTAAAGTGCACTGAAAGAAAGCCCTATTCATTCTCTATGCACTGCTAAAAATAGGTTGCCATGACTACAACCGTTTTCAAGTAATCAATTATCAAGGTACCATCTGCATCCGCCATTTTTTTTCTTAAAGTCAAAATAACTTAAAAACCACAAATGGCAGATATCGACATGTTGGTATCAAAACAACTGAAATTTCACGTTGAATCCAAAAATGCAATAAAAAATAGGGGTTGCTATTTAAAACAACGAAGTTACTATCTACTTCCGGTGTTTCCGGAAGGGCGGCCATTTTGAAAATGTTTTAGATCGATTCGCTCTTCAGAGTAACTCCTAAGTACAAATTTTTAAAAACCTACCTATTTTACTTTCTCAGAAACGTTTAACTACAGCTCCCAAAAAAACACCCTGTATAGTCGACTACACGCTTTTATAAAGTAGTGGGTGTGTCGGTTTATTTTTACGCTCCTATTTATTTAATAGGTCATATACGCATCATACCAATGCTGATTTAGCACATAGGAATAGATAGGATCCGATAGGGAATACTCCCACACGCTTACCCTTTACCCTATGTATCGACCATACTTGATCAACTTCATGACGTTGCATTTGTTTCCACTACTCATGCTATCTACCTCCCTTAGTGAATTCCGTACGTAGGGTGCACAATTAGCCAGGGGCGGACTGGGTAACTGCGGGCCAGGTGGAATTGCGTAGGGGGGAGGGGAGGGGGGGGTTAGCTCTGAGGTGCACCACAAAAACATTTTAAAGTACTCCTTTCTCGAAAATAAATATACCATACATTTTTTTTTAAATTGCAGCTGATAATTACAAGTAACAAAATATACAATCCACACGAGGTGCGTCGCCTATCATTGTATTTCAGCACTTTCAAAATACCACGACAAAAAATGATAAATTCATTGTAAAACACTTCAATTAAAACAGATTTTTTTAACAACCTATATCAACCCCAATTAGAGAAACGTGTTAATACGAGTAATTCATTAATAGTGCGAGAAACTAAATACAGCACATACTTATAAATTTCCAACGGGCCATTATGATCTACAGGCTAGGTGGCAATCGCCACCCGCCCCACCGTGCCAGTCCGCCCCTGTGTAAGCAACTTAACTTTTTTTTAAGTACACTAAGAGAAAGCCCTATTCTTTCTCTATGCACTGCTAAAAATGGGTTGCCATGACTACAACCGTTTTCAAGTAATCAAAAGGTACCATCTGCATCCGCCATTTTTTTTCTTAAAGTCAAAACAACTTAAAAATCATAAATGGCAGATATTGGGTATCAAAAGAACTGAAATTTCACGTAGAATCCAAAAATGCAATAAAAAAATAGGGGTTGCTATTTAAAATAACGAGGTTACTATCTACTTCCGGTGTTTCCGGAAAATATTTTACATCGATTCGGCCTTCAGAGTAACTCCTAAGTACAAATTTTCAAAAACCTACCTATTTTACTTTCCCAGAAACGTTTAACTAAAGCTCCCAAAAAAACACCCTGTATAGTCGACTACACGCTTTTATAACGTAGTGGGCGTGGCGGTTTATTTTTACGCTCCTATTGATTTAATAGGCATATACGCATCATACCAATGCTAGTCATACCTAATTTAGCACATACCCTCATCTTAGGAATACTCCCAGACGCTTACCCTTTACCCTCTATATCGACCATACTTGATCAACTTCATGACGTTGCATTTGTTTCCACTACTCATGCTATCTACCTCTCTTAGTGAATTCCGTAAGCAGGGTGCACAATTAGCAACAAGTCCCAAATTAACTTGCTAGAATTGCCAGGTAATGGGTCATAATATTTATAATGGGGTCATCCCGCCTTCATTTTTTATTTCTAATCTACAAAGTACATTAAAAATAAAAAGACCCGTGTGTCCTCAATTTTTATTTGCGAGTAAAATAAACCCAAAATAAATTATTGAAAAGCTGTGTTTTTAGTCCGAATTTGAAACGCTTCAGTCTAAATACGTCACAAACCTACAACCAATCACGTAGAAGTGAGCCGGCAACCTTACGCGAGGGTCTGACGTTTGTCAGATTTGACGTTTTAAGAGGGATGTTTAACTGCATCTAACACGAAAGTGAACGACAAGTGACAAGTGCCTGTGACAGATGACGCAAGTTACAAATGACATTCTCCTGCAATATTGCCAAGTCGTTATGTCATCTGAATGGTTCTAGGAGCTGATTGGTTGGGCTTATTACGTCACAGAGCCCGCCACAATCATATCGTTTTGAATAAACCCTTAAAACCGCACATGTTCATTATTTTTTTGCTAATCGGTCTCTATTTTTAAATAAACTTTTACGGTCCAAAAAAATGTTTTATGGTTTCAGGTACACGCTTATTAAATTAGAACTGCGGAATTCAACTATACTGTAAAGTCCCCATCCGAGGAAATTGTTGCGTTATCGCTGCGGAAAAAGCGACTATACTGTCAGAACGTGCTCAAATTGCAATAATCCACTCTATGAGTCTTCAAACTTCAATCACCAGGGAAACGGGACTCGAAGTGTCGCCAGTCGTCTTCTCCCATTATGTCGACGACTTCTTCTTATGAAGGCAGTTCTCGAATTTTGTGACTTCTCATGCCCATGGTGATTAACGACCATATCTAAAAATCTCGATATTGGGCCGTTCTATTTTAGGACCGTTAGATTCTGGTGCAATATAAACGCTTGCTTGCATCCTGAAACTATAATCTGTACTGTAGCTAATGAAACCACCAGTAACAGTACTGGTTGTGTTGATGTTGTCATATAACAATGGAAATAGTGCCCGATGAGGCGAGATGTGGGGCATTTCTCAACAAGTTCAACGCCTATTACTACCCAGTTTCGCCGCAGCATTATTGAACCTTGTCCATGGTCCTCAGTATGCCTAGTTAAAAAAAGACCGACAGCGAAATGCGGAACAAAAAAAGACGCTTACCCTTTACCATATGTATCGACTATATTTGATCAACTTCGGGATGCTAAGTATCTTAGCTCGATCAATATAAAATACGCTTACTGGCAGGTGCCGAACCTTCCCGAGATTATACAGCCTTCACGGTAGAGGTTTGTACAGGTTTTGTAGAATGCTGTTTGGGTTAACCAATGCGCCAGTCAGATGGCAACCCTTATTGATAATGTGTTAGGTGCCGATTTTCAACATTCGGTACTCGTGTATTTAGACGACATTATGATTGTTTCCTCGGAATAAAGTCAGAAAAGGTTTTTTATCGTCTTCGAACAGTCGGCTTAATGGTCAACCAAGACCAACCTATTGCTTAGCGCAATAAAAATATCTGGGTTACCTGGTAAGCAAAGACGGGTTGCGTCCAGATCTCGAAAAGCTATTTTGAAAATTCTTTCACCTCAGAATGTTGCGAAAATTAGACGTTTTGTTGGAATTGCGAGTTGCAGCCAGATTTTAATAATAACCCTTTCATCCTGCAAACAGACGCTTCTGCTTATGGATCAGGTGCAGTTCTTTCCAGGGTGAACGCGTTATTTGTTGCCTTTGGGAAAATCCACTACCGAACGCGAGAGTTAGGGCAGTTATTTGGTCCGTAGAGAAATTACAACACTACTTAGAAGGTGTAGAGTTAACCGTAGTTACAGATCACCATTACCTTCTGTGCTTACAAGATTCTCAACGTCTCGATTAGCAGGGTGGGCACTTCGATTGCCACCACACTAATTTAAGATGACATCCCGTTTGGTCCCCGTTTCTGCCGATTCAATCACACCCCACAAATAGAAAATTCCAGGACATAGGCGGTCGGGCACTGGCGAGTAATCTAAATCAGAATTACGGCACAGGAAAACGGTAGGGATTTCCCAAAGCGGGAACGGAAGCACAAATTATCTAACGAGAGACAAAACAAAGGAAAACAAATCCCTCTTATAATTAACGAAATGAAAATATCGAGGAAAATATCAAACGCTTACCTTTAAAAGTAAGCGGTTCGGTAACATAAATCAAAATTCTTTTGAATACCGACCAATCGGTAAAAATGCAAAATTGACCACTACGACAATATCCAAAAAGATCGAAAGATCCCCTCTAAACCAAGCTCATACCTTTTATAGGAATCCCCAAATACTAGAAGGGAGCTCTTCTCGTCCAAAAACTAAAACTTCTTTATTAATTTCTCGGCTTCAGATCATCATAAAAATCCGGGACCAGCCCCAAAATTCATTCTAATTAAGCGCGCTTCGTTTGACACCAACCACGACTTATTTTGATAACGTTTGCTGCAACACTACGGTTAATTATACTCGCTTAAATAGCCGGACTGAAATTCCGAAACGCGGTAGTTCAGTTAATACCGATTGCGTCCTGGAATTTTGGAATTTTTTGAACATTATTACATAAAGTTTTCATTATTTGTCACACAAACCAAACTACATCTAACATTCAACTTATCATGTATTACAGGTAACGACAAAAATAAGGAAATACATCCACAAGTGATGGAAAATGCTAAAGCGGTGAGTTCACCTATTACTATTAATTTAGGACCGACGGAAGGCAAACAGGACGTACAACTTAATCAAATTTCTATAGATTTAGAAAACGGTGTGCCTCGATTAGATGTAAGTGACAATACAAGTACACCCTTACAAAAATTTCACCAATTAGAAAATGAACTAATAACATCCGTTGCAAATATCGAACTAATCGATAAAACAAATTCTAGTCAAAGTGAAGCGCGACAGGAAAGTGTAGAGGTGCCCGTGAATGAGAAAGAGAATAAAATTATCGTTGAAAAAAGTGGCACGGTTATACACATTATTGAAAATTCAAATAACTCCAATTCCCCCGTTACCGTGGTGAACAAATCGTTTGAGGAGGATACGGAATCGGAGTCGTCGAGTAGCAATGAGGAGTTTATTGACGCTGAGTATACAAACGAAGGTGTAATGATCGCAGAGTCGGCTAGCAAAAATTTAGTTAGCACACTAAATATCGTACTGAGCACAAATAGGGATGATGACGTAATTGTATCCGATGCAAACCCGATCATTAGTGATGATCAACAGTTGATAGTAACCACTAGTGAAGCCGTGCAGGAAAGTTCAACACAACATTCAGTAGATGATGAGATTGAAAGTGGAATTCCAAGTGAAGAGGTTGAAGTAGTTTTAGACAGTGGGACTTCATCCACAAATCCGCCTCCGGTAAACCAGACTGAAATTGCAATCACACCCGAAGAACAGGTTCCAAATTTTTCCCTTGAGACACTCGCCCCCAATGAATTTCACACTGAAAATGAACCGGAAGGATCTCGTAGCTTATCTCTAGAAGTCAATTTGTCCCCAAACCTAACCCCAGTAGAAGTGATTCCGAATCCATTAGAAGAGTTAACACTCGAGAGAAACGACGAGACTCGCAATACTCAGAAGCACTCAGAGAACGAGGAAATCATTCCGAGACGGAAAACGAGAAAGAAAAGACGTCGAGGTTTGTCGAAGACGTTAACAAAAACGGACACGGATCAATTAAAGACCCAACCTTCAAAGGGGGAGGAACAGCCGAAAACCTCCACAAAAATTCAACTGGCCCAAAATTCGCAAATGACCATAACGGCGCGACCGTCGAAAATTCCAATTTCTCGCCAAAGATCGATATCGAAAAACGATTCGAGTAAGTACAGCAAAATTCCGATAAGAACAAAAAGAAACTCGGAGCGAGTCGGGTCTTCGTCCGAGGACGAAAAGCCGAACGAGCAGCGCATCGAGGCGATAGCCGCCGAAATGACTCACGCCGCGAACGCAGTCAAAGAGCTCACCCGGCAACTGAGCAATCCCACCGTTGCGACTAGGAAAGCGAACTTTGTCGCGACAAAAGGCAGCTCGATTGAGTCGACCACAAGCTCCAAGCAGTGCTCGTACACTAAATCCTTGGGAAACGATAGTGAGTCGTCGGTTTCGGACAGTAACATTGAGGATTTACTGTCGGGGAGCAATGAGGACTTCGATGACTACGAAGAAGAGCGAACCCATCACTTTATCGAGGAAACCTGCGAGACCGATCTCATATCGGAAGAGGAAGAGCAACCACCGCCCGTGGCTAATAATGACCCTCAAGTGCATACCGAAATTTTAACCCGTGACTTGCATGTCGAAGTAAAAACTCCAACGGCCCTTGAAGTTATGGAGGTAAGCATTAACTTCCAACGGGGATTACGCTAACCACTTCTTCGTCTAATTTCTGTTTATTATCCCATAAAACAGAGACAGGCCCGAAGACTTCTAGCCGAAGGACAGGTGGCGTCGTACCAACAAGCCGAGCTCGCTGTCTCCTTAATGACGTCGAAATTTTCCACTGAAGAAGCGGTGGAAGCTGTTAGGGAGTGCAACTCGTTGGATTCGGCGATTGCGTACTTGCAGCAAGACTGTGAGCTGTGCACTGGGCGGTACTCAGTGAATCAGGTTCGGACTCTCATTCAACTGGCATTGTTCCCTAAAATTGTATTGCAGATGGTTTCGTTACTCAAGTGCACTCACCGTTGCTGTCGTGACTGTGCCAAAAACTACTTTACAATTCAAGTGACTGATAAAAACGTGATGGATTTGGCCTGTCCATTCTGTAACATGCCCGATTTAAACGGAGACAATGTCACCGAAGATGAGGTCTCCGAGTATTTTTCCAACTTAGATATTTTGCTTAAGGGAATATTAGATTCGAATGTACACGAGCTGTTCCAACGCAAACTGAGAGATAGGACTCTTATGCAGGATCCCAATTTTAAATGGTGCGTTCAGGTGAGTTCAAAATAAACAACGCGCGCTTTTAAGATTTTCTTTCGTGTTGCAGTGTTCGTCGGGTTTTATAGCGAATCCTCGTCAAAAACGTCTTATTTGTCCCGACTGTCGTAGTGTAACCTGTGCTAGTTGTAGACGTCCCGTAAGTATACTTTTGGTGGTGCATTAACTTAGGTATTTGTTTCTCCTGGACAGTGGGAGAAACAGCACGAAGGTATCTCCTGTGAGAAGTTCGCCGAATGGAAAGACGCGAATGACCCGGAATATCAGGCGTCGGCGGTAGCCAAACATTTGGCCGAAAATGGAATTGACTGCCCCAAATGCAAATTTCGATACTCACTGGCGAGGGGCGGTTGTATGCATTTCACGTGTACGCAGTGCAAGCACGAGTTTTGCTACGGCTGTGGTAAACCTTTCATGATGGGGGCGAAGTGCGGCGTTAGCGATTATTGCGCGAAACTGGGACTTCACGCCCACCATCCCAGGAATTGCCTATTCTATCTTCGGGATAAAGAGCCCAACGAATTACAACAACTCCTAAAAGTATGATGAAATGAGAGCGACGACCCGGGTCTAATTTGGTTTATAGGAGCATCAGATACCCTTCGATACAGAGGTCGCAAATGAAAGCTCGACAGCCATCTTGAAATGTGTGGTGTTGTTACAGAAGGAAACACCTGCAGGGCTTGTGGATACGATATGTAGCAATGAAGTTAGTGTAGGGCAAGCGGGACTTTGTCGGTAGGTTTTTTCAGTAGAAAACATCCATCTCTTACTCTATAATTGGCGCACCCATGAAACAGTGTGTCCCAGATCGGGTGAGATTGCATGGGTAACTTTCTTATTGTTAAAGATAGAGAATGGGTTAAATGGACTATGTTTTGCAGTTTTAGATGCTTATTTAAAATTCCCTTATGGGTTACTGTCTTTGATACGCTTCATTTAGAATTGATGTTAAAAAAAATTCAAGATGGCTACTTTTGAGGAACATTTACCAACTTCCTAAAGTTAAATAGGCGCCATATTGGATTTTAGATCATTTGATAGATTTTTTAATTCTGTTTTCAACGAGCTATAAGATTGAAAATAAGATACCAGTTATATCAACGGTTTTTATATTTTAATCAAGTGGGCTGTGATGAATTAAAAAAAAACAAAACCAAATCTATTCAAGGCAACACAACAATGAAAATAATTATCAGAGGGGCGCACTCATGGAAGGGGGGTTTGGGCGTTACAACTCCCTCCAAAATGTTATATAAGTAGGCCTAGAAAAATTTTTAGACTTTTATGACGTCACTTATTGACTATCCTATTATCCGTACTTACATACCTACAAAATGGTGGTATAACTACAAACTATCCCCTCGAAAAAATGTCACGCCAATATCCAGTTAAACACATTTCAAGACACTTCGCTTTACTTTACACAATGATGCCATTGAGGCATTGTCCCCATGTCACATTTTGTAGGTGGTTTATCCGTAAGAATATCGAAACTAACTGCAGTTTCACCAGTTAGAGCTCGAGTTAGAGTATATGGGCAGATGAGTCTAATTTTTCTCTGCGGAGTGTTCAAATCGACATAATGAACATTACTCAGCACAGGAAAACCTACATGTTGCCGAAATGAAGTTATGTAATTGGACCGGCATTATTTACAAATTCTCCAATAAACTTCCTTACAGGATTTTCGAGACAACATATGTTTCACTGGCTGCCCAGGTCACAATTCACGAATTGTGTACATTGTACAGGGTGGCCAACTAAGAATGCGAGGTACTGTATCTGAGAATCTATCCATCGTAGAGGCTTGCTGTAAAAAAGTCGACGATAATCTGAACAATTTTTGTTTGAAAATTTTTCCTGTATCTCTAAAAATGAAGTGGGGGGGGGGGGTATTCAAAGGTTTCCGTAAAGAACACCCTGTATCTCCGAAACGGCTGAGCCGATTTAAACAAACTCGGGTTAGTTCAAAAGAGCTATTCTTCAGCTACAACTATTATACTATTTGAAGTTTTGTTAGTTTCACATATCACCGCTTGAGGGCTTTTTTCGACATTCCGACAGAAATGGTTCATTTTCTCAAAAAAATTAAATGCATTGTTTCGATTTTTTTTTCATGAAAAAGTAGCTAAATGATGCCTAAACAAACTAGCGAAAACAGCATCTTGATATCTTGAGAATCCACCTTAGGGCCACAAATTATATAATAAAAATAATTCCGGAAAAATTAGCTTAAAAAAATAAAATTTTGAGGGTATAAAATTTTCTTTGGCCTAAATTTTAGGTTAGGAACAAGATATCGAGATGCGGTTTTCGCGAGCTTGTTTAGGCATCATTTAGCTACTTTTTCATGAAAAAAAATCAAACCAACGCATTTAATTTTTTTGAGAAAATTAACCATTTCTGTCGGAATGTCGAAAAAAGCCCTCAAGCGGCGATATGTGACACTAACAAAACTTCAAATATTATAATATTTGTAGCCGAAGAATAACTCTTTTTAATTAACCCGAGTTTGTTAAAATCGCCTCAGTCGTTTCGAAGATACAGGGTGTTCTTTGCGGAAACTTTTGAATACCCCTCACCACTTCATTTTTAGAGATACAGGAAAAATTGTCAAACAAAAAAGGTTCAGATTATCGTCGTCTTCAAAGACCGGACTATTTGTTAGGTTAATATAGCGGAATTCACAGAAACATCACTTTTTTAGATTCCAGATTGCATTTACGCCCCCTAGCGGTCATTTCAGAAACTTAAAAATATTTTCTAGATTTTTCTCGTGGCCGTTTTAGTAATGATTTTTTTACCGCAAGCCTCTACGATGGACAGGTTCCCAGGTACACTACCTCGCATTCTTATTTGGCCACCATGTACATTAAAGAATAAAATGGAAGTAGCTACAACTATAATAAAAATAGGTAATAACGTACACAACTGCGCGAAGCCGTTCTAAAGACGTGTTATAGTATCAATGGCAACACGTTGCCTAAAGTAAACTGTCTTGAAGTGTGTTTCACTAATAATGGCCAGTATTTTAAACATCTGATGTAATTATTTTCATTGTTTTGTTGCCTCGAATAGATTTTGTTTTTTTTTATTCATCACAGCCTACTTGATTAAAATATAAAAACCGTGGATATAACTGGTATCTTATTTTCAATCTTATGCTGTGATAGCTCGTTGAAAAGAGAATTAAAAAATCTATCAAATAATCTAAAAATGCAATATGGCGCCTATTTAATTTTACGAAGTTGGTAAATGTTACTCAAAAGCAGCCATTTTGAATTTTTTTTAACATCAATTCTAAATGAAGCGTATCAAATGTATATAAAACTTTTTTTTATATCTCTTATACTTTCTAAGATAATAAGACATTAAAAGAAATGACCAATTTTAGTTTTTTTGAATGTACGTGTTCGACATTTTGAACTTCCACAAGCAAATTTTAAATAAGCATCTAAAACTGCAAAACATTGTCCATTTAACCAATTCTCTATCTTCAATTATAAGAAAGTTACCCATGCAATCCCACGCGATCTGGGACACACTGTATATTAATTTTGTCCTTGACTTTAGAACAGCCAAATTTTGGGCTTCATTTCAAAAATCGAGCCCCAAATTTCGAACCAAAAGTCTCAAGTTTTCCAGCACTTGAATTATACAACTTTTACCGCCCGCACGTGAGTAAGGGAGGTATTGCCATTGAATTTATAGCTCAAATTCAATGGTATTGCATTGAAGTAAAAAAAATAACCTCTCCCTTTTTTGACGGAAGCACACGTTTTGAAGCACCAGAAATCCGAATGAAACAAAATCCCCGGTCTCATGGTGACAGTCACAATTGTAGGGAAATGGTAATTGAATTTTCCTTTGGAATACCTCCCAGGGCTCCCAGACACTCCGCGCCATGTTGCATTGTCTCCCAAAACCGTCTACCTCACCACTTCCTTTTTCGGTAAATTTTCGCGAAATTTGATTATTCAAAGTATCCGGACCAGTCAATTCCGTGTATAATTGGATTATTCACATCCTGAATAATCATATAATTGTCTCACTAGATGCGCTGCGCATCAAATATTAAAAAAAAACATTCTTCCTTGAAATGATATTCTAATTAAAGTTATTTAAACAATAAACTCGCGCAAAGGCAATTCTAACTTTAAATTCCTGATTCCAAGCAAAGAACGGTCAAGATCAAACTCCTTAAACTCCAAAGGGCCACTTAACAAAGTTTGAAAACACTTGAAATGCACTTTTGGCGCGGATCAATAAAACTAATCGTATTTGAGCATGAGATATCTCTCTGAATCGTTAAAGGGATCGAATAAACACACGACTTGCATGATTTTACATATGCAAAATTTTTTATACGGCCACAAATGAAATTAAACATAAATAATAGTTATTTGTACAATTAGAGAAAGAAAATGGAGAGAGAAAACACTTTTTTCACAAGTTTTACACATAATTTTTTCTGAAACTACAAACAAAATTGAATGACTATCGTATGCAATAATGTTTGACAGATTGTTTATTACTTTCCTCACTAGAGAGGAAAATTGCATTTTCTTCACCCTTTTTAGTGAGGAAAGCAGTTGTTTCTAAAGTAGTTTAAGAAAAAACAGTTGTTTTCTGATTAGAAAGCCACATTATCTCTAGACAGTTATTACATTAATCCTTTATCAAATAGACGAAATATCTAATAAATAGGGACCGGATTTATATGCATGAAAACACGTCAAAAATGCACATACATATACACGGTGTCCATTTTTCGAGTACCACTATGGGGATCTCACTTATCTTAAGAGATAGAAAGTTGGTTAAATGGGGGTAAAGTTGCCAATTTTCATGCTGAATAAGAAGCTGAAAAGACATTTCAAATAAATTCAATAGTTTTGAAGATATCTCAAAAAAACAAAAATGTCTGATTTTCGTTTTTATTTTTTTTATGATAAACTAATCGTAGTAGACATTTCTAATTAGCACATTATTCGGACACTTTAATGGAGATTTCAAATATGGCGTCCTGTTTTTAATTACGTTCAAGATGACGGAGAAACACGTGGCAACTTTAGTTTTTCTTATGGGCATGAATTTTGACATTTTGGGATTACGTCTTTTTTTCTCTTTACAACGATATATCACACATAGTGGTTCAGTATCACATTTTTCCTAAAAATACAATTTTTCATTTTTTCAGAAGAGTGCTTTGGAAAAACAAAACGTTCTTTTGTTGTCAACAAAAGTCTGACAGTTTGATCCATCTGTCTGGTTGCAGCGTTGTCAGCGAAGTAGCAATTCGATTTTCACCTCAACCGCTTGCAAAATTGCCTGCTCATATTAATTGGGTCTATCACCATATTGCTGTTTACATCTTTTAAAAGAACCATATTCGCCCAAGTTTTTATGCAGCAAAGAAAAATACCTCAAACTAGGTTGTTGCCCCTCTGGATAACGCTGCAAGTATGTTGCAGCAGTCATGTGGGCATTTCGATGAGAAGAGAAGTGTAGTAAATTTGGATCATATCTCTTTGATCTGCACTTGAAAAAGGCATTTTCGCATTACAACTAGCATAAACCTAAATGACACTACATGAAATAAGTCAACCTTTTGTTCACAACAAAAGAACGTTTTTTTCCAAAGCACTCTTCTCAAATAATTAAAAATTGTATTTTTAGGAAAAATGTGATACTGAATCACCATTGTGATATATCGTTGTAAAGAGAAAAAAAATGTGAAAATGCAAAATGGCGCCCATAAGAAAAACTAAAGTTGCCACGTGTTTCTCCGTCATCTGGAGAGTTATTAAAAACAAGATGCCATATTTGAAATCTCCATTAAAATGTGTCCGAATAATGTGTTAATTAGAAATGTCTACTACGATTAGTTTATCATAAAAAAAAATAAAAACGAAAATCAGAAATTTTTGTTTTTTTGAGATATCTTCAAAACTATTGAAGATATTTGAAATGTCTTTTCAGCTTCTTATTCAGCACAAAAATTAGCAACTTTGCCCCCATTTAACCAACTTTCTATCTCTTAAGATAAGTGAGATCCCCATAGTGGCCCCCATAGTGGCACTCGAAAAATGGACACCGTGTATATGCACAAAAAATATGGCAAAAAAGCATGAAGATATACATGAAAAATTAAATACTTAATGCACAAAAAATTATTGCAACTTTTTTAATTCAAACTATTTAAACATAAGCTGTATTAAAACAATTAATGATTACGTATTCTTCCAAGTGATCCATTTTAAAATTTGTGCGCCTATTACTTAGTACGTGGTTATACACACAGATGCATCTTTCCGCATCGACACGGGTAATTGGAGCGCACTTTAGTTGAGGTATCAGACGAGGTTCTACATTTAAATGTTCAACATTTTCCCCAGCCAACATTCGTCATATCATTTGTTGAACTTGAAAATTTGCTTGCATTATAAATTAATGCTGAATTGAACACCGCTGACGTTTTATTATTTAACAAACTTGGGTGCCATATTTTTTTGTATATCATTTATTTTTTTCCTTTTTTCTTTTTTTTTCTTTTTCTTTTTTTATTGTTTTCTTTTGTTCTGTTTCTATCTTATAATTGTTATTTTATTTGATTTATTATTTGTTTATAATTTATAAATAAAAATATAATTGTTGCAATTAGTACCTACCACTGGAAACTTGTTTTGTAATAAAAGTAGGTCAAAAAATTAATAAAATACTAATATATCTTCAATTTACACAAAAACCCCAAACTATTTTCTTTGCGCCAATATGATTCATTTTTGTTAGTTCGTGTAAATTATTGCTTTATTTTGAGCTGCATACAATATTTACGTAATGCATAAAAGCATGAAACCCGGTCTCTACTAATAAATCAAGTCGGAGCTGTCACAAATGCATTAGCACAACAGAAATTGAGATAAAAATTTGTCTTACCCTCAACAATTCAAAGAAAATACTCTTACTTTTATAATGAAATAAATAAACAAAACATCAGATACACAAATTCCTCTTGTGTTTATTCGTAAATAATCTCCAGAAATTGATTAACATGAGTTGTAATGAGCATTTGATTAATAATTAGACCACCCGCACATCATCCCAAGCGCCTGGATCAGTCTATGGTGGACCTAAACCTCATCAACGTCCCAAACCGAGGTTGTTTACATAGTAATATATCAAAGTGTTCTTAAGTTATCGTGCAAATGGACGGTCGGACATTCAGAATTTATTGACTTAAACTAATTATGTTACTAGATTTCAATCTTCAACTGACTGGATAACTTTTTAAATCTTAACCAATCAAATTTCTTTATTCAGCCGGTTAACTGAACTGAGATAGAACTATTCAGCCCCAAATGCATGAAAACCGAGCTGTGGTTTCTGCACTGTTCAAAACCCTTCCTTTCCCATGGGTGCGCCAGTGCTCTTTCTCTATGGTGAAGATTCTAGAATAATTAATATTTTGGCCCTATCTACCCATGGGGCCGGTATGTTCCAACATCCGAATTTGTTTAATCATTTATCCCTTCTAATTTCATTCAAATACAAATGCAGACGCACTCTGATGTGAAAAAATATCGGAGTTTAAAAACGACAGTTCTGAATGACCAACCAACCTTTTTTTTTTTTTTTAATAAATTGGGGATTTTCAAATACAGGGTGGCGCAAAAAGAACGCATGGATTTTAAATGGCTATAAGTTGGTTAATTTTAATCACACCAAAACAATCATCAAACAACCCAATTTGAGAGTTGGGTGTTAATAATAAAATTATAAAACACTTAACTAATTTTTAAAAATAACATCGGAAAGATGGCGTCCTCCTGCATGAATACACATTACAAGTCTCTCTTCAAAGTTTTCCATAACTTTGTTCAAAGTGTCCTGTGATACAGCGGCAATTTCTTCACTTATTGCAGCCTTCAATTCTTCGAGTGACCGAGGTTTACGACGGTAAACTTTGAATTTCAGGTGCCCCCATAAAATTTTCGTTGAACAGTGATGACAGATTCAGTTGATTTGAAATAGTGTTCAACAGCGAACACTCGATGCTGCACGTTCCACTGCTCCATTGCTACTAAAACTGGATGGAGGACAAAATGGCGTCGCTCGGCGGTCACTGACCGCTCCCCTCCACTGGTACTACGTTACTCAAATCCATGCGTTCTTTTTGCGCCACCTTGTACTTCCGATCAAACAGAAATAGTGGTTGGCCGTTAAGAGCCGTCGTATTTAAATAATACAAGCTTACGTTTGGAATTTTTCAGGATGCACTACTTAGAGTATCTTAGTTTATTAATAAGACAGCACAAATTAGAAACTATATCAATGTTATCCGCCGACGATTTAGAAACTGTAGTACGCCGAGCGGCGAAAAGGTTACCCCCTAACGCGTGGGGTACACCGAGAGAAATGTATCGTAAACGATTACTGCAGGTATCACCTTTTTTTCATCTGGTGTCTCTGTTGTGTATAGGCTTCACTACATCGAATATTTAGTTGGGCTCATTAGCAGATATAAACTGGACCCGGTCACGATTTTAGACTTGGTGGAGGTTAGTCAAGAGATACGAAGACGAGGCAGAGAGTTGCCCGACCGACCCGAAACATGCTCTGATCAGCAGTATTATAACATATGCGCTCAGGTAGGTTGTAGCTATTGTTCGGTCTGTCTGATCTGTTAATGTGCCCAACTAGACGCTTTGTAACTTTCTGCATGAACTTACTCATACCGTTGTGCTGCATGGAGATTAATACTGAAAGTTGAAGACAATGCAACCGATTTCTTCAGTGATCACTCACATTTAAAATGTGCATGGATGAATAAATTTTGGTTAACACAAGCTTGTTTATTGCGTTTCAGATTGTGAAAGATCAAATTCCACTGGAGTAATGCAAGATATGTCGGTCAATTAGTTGAATTCCAAAGTATATACCGGGCTGCTGGATGTGAGATTGCTTTTTTGTTACTGATGTCACTCATCATATAAATAGATGTTAAAATGTATTAACAAAACACTTTTATAGAATGATCTGTTGTACCCTTATAAATTATTACAATAAAAAAATACACAAAAAAGTTCCAGAGGAGACACAGTTGTGATACCCTCCAGTAAATTTTTCATCCCTTTACCCCTTTGTGAAAGAAACCTTTCAAAATTCCTCGCTACCCGTGGAAATTCGAGAGATCATTAGAAATTACTAATGATCCATTGAAATCTCCTTCAATAGGGAATATGCATGTAATTTTTTTAATCGCTGTTAGAACAATTCAATTTAACTTGTAAAATAATATTTAAAACGTTGACTTTATTCGATGTGTTTAAACGCCGCCACATTTTCAGCGGGCCTTGGATGACGTCACAAGCCAAGGCCAGTATTTGTTGCTTTTAGATCTAAGCATACACAGATTGCTAACCTTATGCATTTTTTGGGAAACAAATTTAGGTATACTTGAAGGCGCCCTCTATTGTGGAGCAGTATAAACATGTATCGTTTAAAACTGTAATGTGACGCTTATGGATTTATGCGTTAGATGTTGCTGAAACAAAATTAAAGCGCTAAAGTTTGCACAATTCGAATTCCTTAATATTCGTATTATTACAGTGATATGCAGTTCCAAGATTGGGCTACTAGTTCAAAAGCTACGGCCCTTTGAATTTTCTTTCGAAATTGGTTTCTAGTCTATAACCTTTGATTGAGAAGTCTGATCGAAAAAGTACGAATTGATTTGGATTCTACGCACCAAAATGAATAAGAAAAAGTTTTTTCCCGAGAAATTTTGGTGTAGTCGATTTTTGGTAAAAAAGGAAGGTAATACACTGCCTTTTTTTGAGCCCCGAAAAAAAAATTGTCTCAGATCGATGTATGTGTATGTGTAGATCTGTGCTTTTAGTGTTGATTTATTTAAACAGATTTTCAGTTGTAATAGCTATTCAGACCATGGAAAAAACTAAAAAACCATTTTATAGGTATTGTCTTGTACAAAAGTGCAAAAACACTATTAGAAATATTCCCGATAAAGTGTATTTTGCAGGTCCAAAAGGACGACTCCCAGAGCGTTCTCAATTTTTTTACAGTTAGTGAACCCTAAAACAACCTTTTTCAACAATTGTGCCGTTGATTCTTGCAAATCCACGGACTATGCAATTTTGTTTCAAAATCCGATGAATTTTCTTAGTTAACAAATGGAATAATTTCCAATATACCATAAGAAATTTAATCTATGGTAGGCGAATGGAAAGCCCTCGGAAACACCTACATTAAAAAGATACGTCCAAATCCGAGTTCACGAGAAATCAGCTTTTGACTTCGGACTTGTTTTCGACACAACAAAAAATGATTTTGCAAATCGGATCGCATCGAACGATTCTTTAAAGGGCGAGCTTTTTAATGCTTCTATTTTACCAAAATGTATGATTTTTACTAATCAGAACACCAAGGGCCTATTATAGAGTTACCTTCCTTGTTATATTTCGGGAGTTATTCATTTTGTTAGTTAACTAAACAAAATTCCACAGTGCATCAATTTGCAAGAATCATCGGGACAATTTTTGGAAATGGTTGTCTTAGGATTCCACCATCTGTAAACAAATGTAGAACGCTCTGGGAGTCACCCAGTTTAAAAGACCAAGTATCGTTTTGTAAATTTGTTTATTTAATTATGCAATAACTATATCAAATCTACGGTGATCGGGTTTGTTATATTGTTTTGTTATCAAAAGAAGTGGATACAGATTTTCAAAAAGATCAGATGAATTTTACTTAGTAATAACCAATTGAACATCTTCGGGATTGCTTTTTTATATTTTTCCATAAAAAACAATAACATGTGAAAATGAACGTTTCATACCCATTGTATCTTATAGAAAATTCAATTCTAAACCAATTCATTTCTCTTCATTTTTTCCCTTAGAGTAATAGTTAACGAGATAATTGAAGTCAAATGCGAAAAGAAACGACATCTTGCCATTTTTTCTTCGTTTTTTGTTTATACATAACAATATCTTCCGGGAGTTTTCGGCTAGGGGGGCTATAAATTTCGGATTCAGCGGATCTTTTTAAATAGAAGACACTTGATTTCGTTGAGTGAAATGACAACACCCAGCTCAATCTGCCCAAACTGTAATTTGACTGCACTAAGTACTTATGAATATTGATTGACACAACAAATGCGATCGCGTGGCAATTCCAAGACATGAATGATAAATAAAATAGAAACATAAAATTGATAAAATACATAGAACTGTAATAAAAAAAAACAAATATTGCTTTTTTCTTACAAGTGTTTTAATTCTTTTTTTAATAGCTTATTTAAAAATTTCATGGCACCCATTTTGAGAACCACTGCTTTAGTTAATAATAAATGGCGAGATAAATGGAATAGTTACATAAACAATGAAGTTTGCGAGTGCCAAATTCAAATTTGAATCAAGCAGCTTCAATATAACTTAAAAAACAAAAACTGATAAATTTTGAGTTGAAAATCACTCCTAATTCGAATCCTTAAATAATTTCAAACTGTAGGAAATTTGTTTTATCTCAAAACTCAACTGAGGATTCCAACTGTTGATCCTTAAATCCAATATTTGATCTAACATGGGAGTTCATGATTAAATGTAGAGTTTGAGCGTTAATTCAAACTTTGTCAGTTCAAACCTACAAAGGGACTGAATCGCTCATTATAAAAATAAGTGTATGAACAAAACTTTTATATACATTACCTATTAGAACAAAAGACAGTTAGATGCTATACAAAAATTGCTGCAGAGAGGACTCCGTTTTGATACCGTCGAGTAAATTCTTTAATTTCCTGTTTTTGTGCTTCAGCGATCCACTGTTAGGTTTAAATGCCGCAGTGTTCTTGGCAACTACAATTTTAGGCGCACATTCTTTCTGTTGTACCGATGAGACCGCAACTTCATCGAGTCCGGCAAATTTATCCTTCTTGCGACGTTTTTTATTTCGTATTGGCACAGGAGCAGGCTGTGCACGTTTTTTTGCGGGTTTCTTTATGTCGGTGGTTCGTTTGTTCGTACAAAAGCTACATATTTCGGTCTAAAATGTAAAACACATGAGCCAACAATCACGAAATTGTCCGAACTCACAAATGTGTTAAAACCAAACTGGGTCTTGTTTCGAATACTCCTCAAGTATTGCTTTTGGTACTTTGTCAGCTCCTTGCCGGTCTCGCGTTTTTTCACCAGCTTACGAGCAAACCTCCTAGTGATCCTCGATTTGGCTAGTTCACAGGACTTACCACGGCAGTCATACTCGATAAAGCAATGCGGACATCGTACTCGTGAGTTGGATACATCTGGCAGCTTCATCAGCTCGCGTTTTGATATATCGCAACATCTCGATCTGTACACATTACTAAAGTTTGTTTACAACAAATTTTATTTGACTTACAAATAAAAAGATTCTAAAGTTGATTTTGCGGGTGCAGGTAGCGTATTTAATAAACTGTATAAATATCTAACAGAATTTTCTTGGTGTAAATACGATCTCGACATTATCGTCAATGTGAATAAATGAGGTTAAGTTGCGAGTAGTTCCATTGTCCATTGTAGTTCTAATCCTATTAGTTTATTTGTAAAATTCATAACCTAACAAATTTAAAGTGTCTTTGAAAAAAAAAATGTCAAAACCAATAACATTTGTAACTGGAAATGCAAAAAAATTGGAAGAAGTAATCGCAATACTAGGCCCCTCATTTCCACGAGAGCTAATCCACAAAAAAATCGACCTACCGGAACTGCAAGGTGAACTTTCGGATGTAATCTACAAAAAGTGCCAGGAGGCCGGTCGGATAGTCGGAGGTCCCGTGATTGTCGAAGACTCGGCACTATGTTTCAACGCACTCAAAGGCTTACCCGGTCCGTACATAAAGTGGTTCCTCGAAAAACTGGGCCCCGAAGGTTTATATCAGATGCTGGAGGGTTTCGAGGATAAAACCGCCGACGCTGTTTGCACGTTCGGTTTTTCTCCCGGAGGTTGTGATGAGCAAGTGGTGTTGTTTGAAGGTCGTACTGAAGGGGAAATCGTACGTCCGAGGGGTCCACGAAATTTTGGTTGGGATCCGTGCTTTCAACCGAAGGGATATACGCAAACTTATGCTGAATTGACTAAGGAGGAAAAGAATAAGATTTCGCATAGATATAAAGCTCTTGATAAATTGTTAGGGTATTTTAAATAATTTTAATAAAGAAGAATAATATGTTCATTATTTTGTTAAATGTTAAATATAAGGAGTAGGTATCCCTACACTATAACTCGAATGAAGGTATTATCTTATCATCACTGTCTTCAGAGGGATGGTGGAGGGGGGGGGGTTCAACTAAGATTATGTCGTAAATAAGCGTGTCCATTTGAATTTAACTTGCCTAATATTCATATTAAATTACCTACATGCCTACATATTTTATAGCAGTGAAGGACGATTGAGATTATTGGTAAAACTGCTCTTAGAAATTCAGCCTCATTTTGATTCACGATCAGATTCAAATAGAAATTTTGTATCCCTACAAGAAGATGGCAACGTGATTACACTATCAGTACCCTTAACAACAGACCTTTTAAATGTAGAGCTTATTGCTATAAAGTCTCGAAGGTATAGCGAAGACGACAAGAAATTTATAAAAGAAGAAATACGAAAACTGTTCATGGAAGGGATAATCGAAGAAAGCACCTCTCCCTGGAGAGCTCAAGTTTTAATTACGTAGAATGCAATTCATAAAAAGCGCCAAGTTTTCAAAGAGTTATTGATTGGATCATTAGAGAGGAAGAATTGCAAGGAACATACGTCTATTTGGATGATATAACCATTTGCGGCAAAACTTTACAGGAGCATGACAAGAATCAAAAATCTGTTTGGTGTGTCAATTTAATTTTATTATCTAATTGCAATTGTAACAGATTATTGTTACAATATACAAAGGTTGAACGTACCTACACCTCTTGTTCGTACTACCTATATTTAAAATTGGTTTCCTGCTACAATAACAAATTTTGTCTAAGAAACGTACATCACTTAACCGACAGCTAGCTCCCATGCAAATTCTACAGGCGTTATGAGCCTTTTCTGTTAAGTCTGAAACAAGAAAACTTGGCGCTCTGGTCTGAGTACAGACAAATAAATATAAATTTAAAAGAGTTCGTTATCTTGCTTCCACTCCACTACTCCCCCCCCCCCCCCAGCTTGAGATCGAATCATATTATTTAAAGAAATGCGCTCGTTGTGCGCTGACATGTCACCTATAATAACTTTGCGCCATTATCGATTTTTAGAAATCCAAAAATACATGGGGGGGGGGGGCAAGTATACGTCGCCCCTTCCCCACAACGTATTTTGTAGCTGATACATTTGGTTGTGAGCTTAACATTGCGCCACTTGAATTTAAGCAAGGGCCATCACGGTTAAGTTCTGACAAATTTTCAAAAGGGGGGGGGGGCAGAACTATATACGCTACCGAATACATAAACTATAAAGAATGAACTAAATATCTTGAAAATTGTAGGAGCAGCTAGGGCCTCGAGCGGAAAAAGAATATGGTGAGAAATTTACCAAATAACTTATTCATTTGAAACATTCAAAGTTATTATACCTATACGATATTTCGTACTTTTAGGACACCCTGTATCCAATAAAGGGTTCTTAAAAATGATGTCTATCCAGATGTACCTAGGTGGCATATACCAGCGACGAAATATCTAGAGGGGGAAGCTATGTATACTTGTCCCCCTCCCCCCAACCTCCTATGTATTTTCGGATTTCTGAAAATCGATAATGGCACAAGAGTTTTTATCGGTGCAACGAGCGCAACACTTTATAATAATAAGACTGTCAAATCTCACGAGGGGGGGGGGGGGGCGACAACTTAAGTGCCCGGCGCTCCTGATGTTAGATTTAAAATATTCATAAGACTACCTACTATACTGCGTTCGCACCTCCAGATGCAGTATGGGGCCTTAGGGGCTAAATGCCTCTCTCTCTAAATTTGCGTCATTCTTCGATAACGCTATCCTTGTTCCTCGCCGCAATGTTGCCAAACTGACATATGATTGACGTGAAGTATTAAAAGTTAAAACACAACATAATCTCCTTGTGCCGTCATTGTCACGGAATCACGTACTGTATGTCCATAAGTATCATAATGGACAATACTGCATCTGGAGGTGAAAATGCGCTATAGAATAACTTAATTTTTACCACCCGCACGTTAGTAAAGGAAGTACTTACATTGGAGTAAAAAATGACCCCCCACTTTTTAATGGAAATACACGTTTTGAAGCACCAGGAATCCGAATCAAACAAAATCTCGACGTCGATCGGTCTGTCTGTATGTACTCTCATTTCCGGGTCAATGACCGAACCGATTGGAACCAAATTTTGTCCACATATTCTTAGAAATAAAAGGGCAGAATCGCGCATGCGCAGGATGGTATCTGTGCTAGCCACAGAAAATGTTTTGAATATGTAAGAAAAAAAATTTGTTGTGGCTAGCAGTTCTTTCTTTTATGTCTAAGAATAATATGTACCAAATTTGGTTCAAATTATATTTAATGCACATATACAGGGCGTCCCAAGTCCCGGAGCTGAGCTATAACCTTTGAAACGATCGAAGAAAAAATCTGAACATTTCGGAATCAACAAAAGATCATAAAAACTATATTCGATAGACCGCTGAAAACTTTCTTAAAATGGGGAGGATAATAACCCCAAAATTTTTAAATTATACAACCCTTGTCGGGTTTAACCTTAGACAGTTTTCTAATTTTAGTGTTTGATGAAAGCTGGATATCAATCATATGGGTAGGTGCAACAAGCACAACGATGCCGTGCCCCCCCCCCCCCCCCCCCCCCCCCCCCCCCCCCCCCCATTAAAAAAAAATCAATTTTAAAATCGATAGATGATACAAAACGGTACGACCATGTTGGAAATTATTGCGCCCCAAATGTGAACAATATAAAAACGAAAAATTGGATCTCCCGGGGAAATACTGTTGCAATTTCCTTGACTCGTACGATTACTTTTTATTACTTTGTTGATGAAAGACTCCATAAGTGTTTGAGTGATTGCTTATTGGAAAAATGAACTGAATTGATACTGTTTTTATTATTATTTTTTTTTATTTATTTATTTCATTTTTTTTATTTATTTTTATAATAAAAACTGTTTGAGACTCAATTCACTTCATTTTTCCAATACTTTTTATTATATTCAACAATTCTAGTGGAAGGACTGTACTCTATGCAAACGTGCGCGTCTGTCTCCTTTCCGCCGTATGCTGCCATGCCAAAACAGAACCACTGCAAAACCAAAACCAGCGTCCCTTTTTCACCAATCGCAAGCCCTCACTCTTAATTTGCCTTATTTACGTTACCGCGGATCTCCATATGGAACCGATCCGAACTTGAAGACGCACTTCTATCTTTGTTCAACCTACGCTTTTTAAACGCGCGCGACTATCGGTAATAAACCGACTCGTGACTACAATTCGTATAAAGCGGTACTTATGCAATTTTACACTATAAGTCAAAACTTTTCTCAAAAGGCTACCCTATGAATATCGCATTAACATATTTCACACAGTAGCTTGGTTACTATAATGAGAACCGTACTTTATTTGAAGGATGTCGCGAAAACCCAAAATCCGCTAGGAACCCGGTTCCAAAGCTTGAAAGTAGCTATAAGAGTATAAGGTGAAATCGTTTTGATTTGTGAACTAAAAAAAACACTATTTTGGCATTTGTAAAAAGTTAAATTCAATTTTGTGCGGTCGGTCAGAGAGTATACAACAGTGGTTCTCAACCTTTTAGACATTGAAACGTCTACAATAGTTGTTTTGTGTTTCATTATTAAAGAAATAACTGTAGCAATAATTAATCTCCTTGTACTTCGCGCCTTCCAGAGAGAACCGGTTGAGAACCACTGGGACATTTGTCGACGAGACAAAGACAATGTAATTTACAGAATGTAGAGAGTTACAATAATCCAAATATACAAAAATAAATATGAGAGTAATGTAATAAAGGGTTAATCGACCTCTTCAACCGTAGGTCCCGCTTTACCTCCTGGACCAGCTTGAGCACCTTGATGCAATTTCGTCATAACCGGACTGCAGTCTTTCTGCAATTGTTTCAGCTTATCCTCAAACTCGTCCTTTTCGGCCAATTGATTTCCGTCCAGCCAAGTGAGCACTTCGGAGCATCGGTCCCGTACCAACTTCTTGTCGTCTTCGGTTAGCTTATCGGCTGGAGCATCTTCGGCAGCCTGAAACGATGCTTGTTACGCTTAATAGTTTTGAGTTAGAGGTTGGGTACCTGTTTTGCGTTGAAAATGTAACCTTCCAGCTGGTTACGTGCGATGATTCGCTCGCGCTGCTTCTCGTCTTCAGCCTTGTACTTCTCCGCCTCGGATAACATGCGGTCAATTTCGTCTTTGGACAGTCGTCCCTTGTCGTTTGTGATTGTGATGCGTTCCGATTTGCCGGTGCTGCTGTCCTTCGCCGAAACGTTCAAGATGCCGTTGGCGTCGAGGTCGAAGGTGACTTCGATTTTGGGAACACCGCGTGGCGCGGGTGGTATGCCGGATAGGTTAAAGGTACCCAAAAGGTTGTTATCCTTGGTCATGGCGCGCTCGCCTTCAAACACTTGTATGGTGACGGCGGGTTGGTTGTCGCTGTACGTGGTGAAGGTTTGTTGTTGCTTGCAGGGGATGCGAGAGTTGCGCTCCACGAGCTTGGTCATAACGCCGCCAGCCGTTTCGATGCCCAAAGACAGGGGCGCGACGTCCACTAATAGGACGTCTTGGATTTGCGAGCTGGTGTCCCCAATTAAAATGGCGGCTTGCACTGCCGCACCATACGCAACCGCTTCATCCGGATTTATCGACAAATTCAAGGCTTTGCCGCAGAAGAAGTCTTGCAGCATCTTCTGAATTTTTGGAATTCTCGTCGAGCCACCGACGAGGACGACATCGTGAATTGTGCCCTTGTCGAGTTTCGCATCAGTCAAAGCCCGTTCGACCGGTTGCAGTGTTGAACGGAACAAATCCATGCAAAGCTCCTCAAAACGTGCTCGCGTGACTTTTGAGTAAAAGTCAACGCCATCGTGCAAAGCATCAATCTCCAAACTCGCTTCGGTGCTCGAAGACAGTGTCCTTTTAGCCCGTTCGCAGGCAGTTCTCAGGCGACGCAGGGCTCGCGTATTACCCTTTAAGTCTTTGTGGTGCTTTCGCTTAAACTCCTCAACGAAGTGGTTTACCAGACGATTATCAAAATCTTCGCCCCCCAAGTGAGTGTCGCCCGCCGTCGATTTCACTTCAAACAAAGAACCTTCGTCGATCGTCAAGATGGAAACGTCGAAAGTGCCACCGCCCAAATCGAAAATGAGCACGTGTCTCTCCCCTTTCAAATTCTTATCTAAGCCATAAGCCAAAGCGGCCGCGGTGGGCTCGTTGATAATACGCAAAACGTTCAGGCCGGCAATCGACCCCGCGTCTTTCGTCGCCTGACGTTGCGAGTCATTAAAATAGGCGGGAACGGTGACGACAGCGTCGGTTATTTTACCACCTAGAAACGATTCGGCGATTTCGCGCATTTTGACTAAAACCATGGAGCTAATTTCTTCGGGTGAAAACTTCTTAATCTCCCCCTTGTACTCGACCTGTATTTTAGGTTTACCGCCATCATTGACGACCGTAAACGACCAATGTTTCATATCGTCTTGGATTTTGGGATCGTCGAATTTTCGTCCGATTAATCTTTTGGCGTCAAATACCGTATTTTTAGGGTTCATCGCCACCTGCAACACAACATCATCGTGAAATGTAATTAACCGCCCACGGTGATGTAAAAATAGTCCATAAATTTACTAAGCGTATAGTAAGAATACCATAAACGATTTTCTCGTACTGTTTTAGTCATCAATTGCTCAACCTTGCCTTTTTCGGTGAAGGTTAATAATGTCTCTTGGTAAGTGTCTCACCTGGTTTTTAGCCGCATCCCCGATCAGCCTTTCTGTGTCGTTGAAGGCGACGTAGCTGGGCGTCGTTCGATTTCCTTGATCGTTTGCGATAATTTCCACTTTCCCATGTTGAAAAACACCGACACAGGAGTACGTGGTACCCAAATCGATACCGATCGCAGGTAACTTAACCATTTTTGGTCTTTTGGTGAACGCGCGTCAAAACTGAACTGATCGCGCGTTTTCCTCAACTTCGGTTTATATTAGTAAGAACTCCCACTAATAAGTGGGAATCTAAATATACTTGAGTTATTAAAAGTGGGACACCGTGCTTCATATCTAAAATTATAGTATTGGTGACAGATTATGCGATTTATTCATTCGGTAGGCAAATTTGAAATGATCATTCTCTAACATCTGTTCCTGATTTTATTCCCTCAGACGACTACCCATACTATAGTACTCGCAAGCTCCAAAAATGGTATAAACACTCGTTCTATCTAATGGTTCTTTTTTTCTCAAGATTCTACTATCACAGTACAATGTTACTGAAACATATGCTGTAATTGTAAACTGTAAAAATTGGTTTGCAAATATGTAAAAGTTATAAATTATGATATGAAAGATCGAGTAGAAAATGTACGAACAAACAAAGAAGATACCTAATACAAAAAAGTTTATCTACTTCCCTAGCAATGCACACGAAAAGATACGAAGAATTGCATATTTTCAGTAAGGGAATTTTTTGCCGCTCTGCTCGAATTCGGACCGGACTTTTGATTCGGCTCATATTAAATAGCACTGATCCTTGAACCCGTAGAAATCGATTGGCGAAAGTTTGACATCGCTGTCTCTTTTCGTTCTCGAGTTAGACAAAGAACAGACGGACAGAACTATCACAATAGCTCACCAAACTTCCTTGGAAAATGCGCCAAAAAATATTTCTACAATTAAGAAAGTTGACAATGCGCCTCCCCTGTCCTGCCAGTCATTCTGTGTACTGCCGGGTATGACTAGGTACTGCTAAGTCCTGCCGATGTATTGCAATGTACTAACCAGCCTTGCATGTGTACTGCCCACGAAACGAAGGACCATGTTATTAACATTTTTTAATTAATGCAACACTAAAAGATACTATATGATTAAAGGAACATCTAATTGCCTTATATTTGTTATTTATACAGGGTCATTCAACAGTGCGTCTGTCTGTCCTAGCCCACACCTCGTACAAATGTAAAAAAATCTTATGTGCAAATGTCAACTGTAGAACTATACTATAGAAATTATTTTGGAATGTACAGGGTGTCTCAGTTTAATTGAGTAAATAGATGATTTTTTAAATAGAACACCCTGTATATTTTTAGTTGTTTCGATATCATTTGTTGATCTCTACAATCAATTTGGATTTAGTGATTCAGGGGGTTTACAATGAAAGGGTAAAAGTGCCATAACTATTTTTTTCAAATGGAAGTGGCACTATTTTATTTTATTATTCGATTGTCTTTTGTGTTCTTTTCAACTCTTATAAGGGGTGCCCAGTGTCTATACGTCGTAGTTTTTAGGTTCTTTAATATTTTCCACAAAAGTACCTATCCATTAAGTACATGTTTTTGCACCGGAGTAGGCTGTGATAATAAAAATTTAAAAAATGGCCGACGGTAAATAGTAGCGCAAATTCATCCTTTGCTGCAAGTGTACACCGTATTTCGTAGTATAATAAGAACTACGAGGCTAAGGCAGAGGACGTCTCTTATAAAAATTGAAAAGAAACACAAAAGGCTATAGAATAGTGAAATAAAGTAGTAGTAGTTCTATTTTAAAAAAAAAGTTGGCGCTTTTAAATTCGGAAAATTTACCATTTCATTGTGAACGCCCTGTATCACTAAATCCACTTTCTCATTATCAAAGTGTTGCCCTTTACTCGGATTAACATAATTCTTGCTCAACGATACGATTCACGAAAGTGCGGCTTGCTTATGGGGAATTGCCCGGAAAATATTAATAAGATGGCAACATTTAATATAAAAAAATACAGGGTGTTCTATTTAAAAAAATATTTACACCGTAAAAATGGGACACCCTGTACATTCAACAATAATTTCTATAGATGCGCAACCATCTGACATTTGCACAAAAGGATTTTTTATATTTTTTACCAGGTATGAGCTAGGAAAGACCAACGTACTGTTGCAGGACCATGTATATTAAATCCACAATTACAGTACCAGGAGTGGTGAACTGGTGAGGCATCAATATATGAGATTGCGATGCAGTAGATATGGGGCCAATTATTACAGTCCTCGCTTTTTAAACAAATTACTTAGCGACGTAGTCAGGCTACCATCCAAAATTTTCAAAAATAAAATTAAAACATTTTTAAAAAAACAAAGTTTTTACGACATTAACGAATTTTTGAATTGTCAATGGTCTTCATCCGATTTCAATGTAAATTAGTTATTAAATGTATTTGTCCCTTGTTTTTTATCTTTTCCAAAATTCACGTTTGTAAACAAAATTTTTTTTGTCTTAACAACAATAAAGGTTTATTATTATAGTCGGTGTTTCTTGTGAGAACTCAGGTCTAGCCTGGTTAACTAATCGCACGGATTAAAATCAAGTAACGATTAGTGTCTGTGTCTGTGTCTGGTAAGGTTATGTAGGGTCCTATTATTATTATTATTATTATTATTATATGTTATACGGGGTGTCAATTTTAAAACTTGCAGTCGGCCATATTTTCTAAACTAAAGAAGATATTGAAATCGCGCAAAACTATTTCGGGGGTATCGAGGGGGAAACAGAATGACGTTATAAGTGGCAATCCCCCACTCCCTCTTCCCCCCCTCAGTCCCCCCCCCCTTAAAAAATCCTAAATGGCAACTCCATACTTGTGACATACCGTTGGAAAGCTACTGAAAAACGCTTCCCAGTGGCACCAATAAAGTCAATATTCACTAAGACAATTAATAACAATTAACAAAGAAAACTAAATGTTGACATTGAGGGATTTATGGCAAATTGGCCAAGAACTTCAACCTGAGCTGCTTCATTAAGCAATCTTGGTTGCTTTCTTTTTTTATTCATAACAGATCCCGTTTCTTCGAATTTAGCGATCAAATCTTAAACATAGACATGGTTTAATTTTTATTTTTTTTTGTTGATTATTAAATTTTTGTTAAATTGTCTTAATGAATATTGACTTTATTGGTACCACTGGGAAGCATTTTTCAGTAGCTTTCTAACGATGTGTAACAAGTATGGGGTTGCCGTTTAGGATTTTTAAAGGGGGGGCTGGGGGTAAACGGGGGGGTGGGGGGGTTCACATTGTGCAATTCACCACTCCTGGTACTGTAATTGTGGATTTAATATACATGGTCCTGCAACAGTACGTTGGTCTTTCCTAGCTCATACCTGGTACTCATAAAGTCATTCTGGTTCCCCCTCGATACCCCCGAAACGGTTTTGCGCGATTTTCAATATCCTCTTTAATTCGGAAAATATGGCTGACTGCAAGTTTTAAAATTGACACTATATGTATATATTATGTACCAGATTATTCATTTATCTCGAGGACGATTTAATAACTTTTGGGATCATATTTTTTGGAAAAAAGTGTCATACAACAGATGTATAATTCTAACGGGGCTAATAGTTTAGAGAATATGCGATATGCATGTCTTTACTAGAGGAATATTTTGTTAAAATTAAGAAGATATCTGCAGAGATAAAAAAAGTTCACATTGTGCAATCTGCCTATGCGCATATTTAATTTTTACTATGTGCGATATGCTTGTCTTTGCTAGAAGTAAAATTCCTCCATAAATAATAAAGATGACATTGCGCAGTTTGCGCATGCGCGAATTAATCGTCAAGATTTTTTTGGTTCAGATGCCAGAAAAAGAACGAACTAAATAATTTGAAAACTATAAGAGTAGTTAAAGCTTCGGATGGACGGACGGAGAAAGTTGCCATAATACTTAGCGTCTTCTAACATGAGTTGGGGTGATTTTTCGCATAGCATGGGGAAAACGCCGTGTTTATTTTATTGACATTACGCCACGCCGTGTTAGAAGAAATTTTATTTTTTTATCAAACACAATTTTGACGATGTCGGTCTGTCTGTCTAAACGGCTGAACCGATTGGAACAAATTTTGGTACAAAGATTCTTACGACATAAAAGAAAAAGCTGAAAAGTTCACAGTACGATAAGCGAAAATTTATGATAGCAGATAAAGTGCAGTACGTATAAATGTGAGTGAGGGCAATGAAAAAAAAAAGCATTCGTTAACGGGCTGCCGCAGACGCTGAATTTGCGCCGGTCATCATCCACCAGGGAGGTTTCCGAAGAACGACAATCAAACCTAGAAGAGCGAAATTACGCCGAGAGTCAAATATCATCTCCATAGAGCCGTAGCTGCGATCGGACCAAGATTCCAACAGCATTTTCGATATAAGCGAGGACGTGAATTCTATAATCGGTCCGTGCGCTTCGAACCCTTTTCAGTATTCAAGTCCCGTAGGTGGAACCAATTCATTCTACATCAAAACAGTAATCAAAAAGCATCTAGAGAACTCCTAGTCCAGGTTTCTTTGCCATCCGTCGTAGTATTACGGCCGTTGTAGCTTGCGTCGTAGCCATTTTAGTTCAACGATATCAGTTTATATATAGTAATGTAAAAGTTGTCTTGCGCGTTTTGCCGTCAGTTTTTGAGAGGACAAGAGAACACTGTCACAATTAAGCTATGCCGGTCAAAAGTGCAACGTCGGTCGTGCGTTTTCAAATGTGACATTGTTCTCCCGTCATGGGATGGAACAGAGAAGTGTGATCGAGCTCCTGACATCATCTGCCTCTATCCAAATCTCTTTACCTCCGCTTCACGTGCGGAATACCCGAAATAAACCGATCCTTGCCTTCTGACGACGTTGGTTGCTTACTTTGCTGGGAGTCTCAACGGCCCGCTTTCGAGTGGACCATCGGGTTTTGAACACGAGCGCACCTGGGGGATGGTATGAGTACCATATTGCGGTCACGAAACTGTCTCGCCTTCGCTATTTTGGTTCAATGATGATAATTGTGGGTATGAAAACGCACGTCTACATTGTTACAGCACGAGGCGGAACCGAATGATGGACTATTACGAGCGGTGCAAGCACATGAGTGCGTTACGCCTGTTCAAAAAATTGCGATTCTAATTCTAATTGTTAACAGGCAAAATGTTGCTAAAAGGGGCCATGCCATCAATGCGAATTGTATTGGCTCAATTAGGACGAACCGATTTTGAATGCTAATCTAATCTTACCGCGACGGTATTAAAGCAGTAGATAAACTCAATAGCGATTATAGAATCAATGATAAAAAAGTAAAACCATTACTCATCAGTACACCTACACGTCTTGTTTCTGGCGGAGTATTTATGACAAAAACGGCCTAAAATATGGAAAAGGGAGGATTTGTGGTGGTACGTGATTAAAAAAATGTATAAGTGATAGTCTTTCATTTCCCAACAGGGCGACTACGTATGGATTCGGCCCATTAGTAACGATCCTTTTGAAATACCGACAGGAGGAAAAATCGTATCAGCTGATCCAAAACGGATTCGCGTTCAAGATGACAAGGGCGCGGAAGTATTTATTAACCCCGACCAGATTTTGAAGGCCATGCACGACACGTCCATTTTGGGCGTTGAGGACATGATCAGTTTGGGGGACCTGCAGGAGTATGCAATCTTGAGGAATTTGCAAATTCGCTACTTTAACAGACTGATTTACGTACGTTTCCGAAATGTTGACGCTCGAGATCTTACTCACGTTTTCAGACGTACACGGGGTCAATGCTGATTGCAATGAACCCGTACGAAGTGCTTCCGATTTATACAAACGCGCTAATAAAGCAGTACAGGAATAGGAAAATGGGCGAGCTTCCGCCTCACATTTTCGCAATAGGGGACAGCAGCTACAACAACATGAAGGCGACGCAGGGAAACCAGTGCGTGGTGATTAGGTGAGGCGAGCTTGTAATCTAAACTGGGTAGGTACCTAATAACTATTGCAGTGGAGAAAGTGGCGCGGGCAAAACTGAAAGTACAAAGTTAATCTTGCAATACCTGGCGGCGATTAACGGCCAACATTCTTGGATCGAGCAGCAGATTCTTGAAGCAAACCCAATAATGGAGGCGTTTGGCAACGCAAAAACCGTACGTAACGACAACTCTTCGCGTTTCGGCAGGTACATCGACATCTTCTTCAACAAAGCCAGTACTATCGACGGCGCCAAAATTGAGCAATACCTCCTTGAGAAAAGTCGCATTGTTTCGCAAAGCCAAGGGGAAAGAAACTATCACATCTTCTACAGCATGCTCGCCGGTCTTAGCAAAGAGGAGAAAAAACGTTTGGATCTTGGAAATGCGTCAGATTACACCTACTTGAAGCAAGGGAACACGCTCAAATGCGCCGATAGGAATGAAGTCGCCGAATTTGCAGACATTCGCGCCTCGATGAAGGTGTTGAACTTTTCCGAGCAAGAGTGTTGGGACATCTTCCAACTGCTCGCCGCCATCCTCCACTTGGGAAATATCAAGTTTAAGTCGACCACGATAGCTAATTTAGACGCATCCGCCGTGCACGATCAAAGTTTCGTTGGGAAAGTCGCCACGTTTTTAGGCGTGGAAACGCAGCAGCTCGTAGATGCTGTCACAAAGAAGACAATTTTCGCGCATGGTGACCGAGTCGCGTCCTTGTTAGGTAAAGATCAGGCATCGGAGACGCGGGATGCCTTCGCGAAGGGCCTGTATGGGAAACTCTTCATAACCATAATTGATAATATCAACTCCGCAATTTCAAAGACGAAGGTTTCAGTTAAGAACTCGATCGGCGTCTTGGACATTTTCGGTTTTGAGAGCTTTCAAGTGAACAGTTTCGAGCAGCTTTGTATTAATTACGCGAACGAAAACCTGCAGCAGTTCTTCGTGCAGCATCTCTTCAAAATGGAGCAAGAGTACTACACCAAGGAAGGGATTAGGTGGCAACACATAAGCTTCGTCGACAATAGGCTTGTGGTGGAGATGATCGGTAGCAAACACCTGAATGTTATGTCACTAATCGACGATGAATCGATCTTTCCCAAGGGTACAGATTATACGATGCTCACGAAACTGCACGCGAATCACGCCGATAACGAAGCGTACTCCAAACCGAAATCCGATCTGGTTCCCGGCTTCGGCATTCAGCACTTTGCCGGTTCCGTTTTTTACGACGTTCAAGGCAAGTATACTCTCTGCTAAAAACCACCTGTAACACTCTCCTAGGTTTCTTGGAGAAAAATCGAGACACCTTCAGCCAGGACCTCAAGGAGTTAATACAGCAATCCACAAATGCCTATTTGAAGAAGGTGTTCGAATCGGAGCTTAAGAGTAGTGTCTCGTCGAGGAAGATGGTTACCTTGTCCTTTCAGTTCCGCAACTCCCTCGATACGTTGATGAAGTCGTTAAATGCGTGCTATCCATTTTTTATTAGGTGCATTAAACCGAATGAGACCAAACAGGCTCAGGTAAGGAAATAGCTACCCACTAATTTTAGAACCCCTAATTGTGCGTTTTCATACCCCAAGTATCTAACAATATTTCCTGCAAGTCACGCAGTGCTGCCCTCTCGAAAGGTTGCCTTGAATATTTTGCACTGGCTCGTGGGAAAGAGATGGCGAAACAAACAAAAAGTCCTTTTAATGTTTCAATGACCAAGAGTCTTCGATGATCATGATATGAAAGAATCCGAGTCAGAAATCAATCAAGTGTAGAAAGGCAAGATTGTTGTGAGATTTTATGTTTCGTTGGAATTTTATAAAATGCGAAAAAAAGGGAAAGAATTTTGATTCGGCTCACAAAAGCACCAAAACATCGATAGTCTCTTTTTTAAGTCAAACTCGGCGTATAGGCTGGCAACATTTTAAGACTTCCCTAGCGTGAGTTTATTTCACACAAATTCCGCCGAAAATCGGATTTTTTTTACGTTTGTGTTTTTAGTTTTTCGGCGAAATAGACCTATTCGCTTTTGGATACTGTGCTATTTTATTTCGTTGCATGCGATAGGCGAGATACATACATTTGTTTTAACTGTACAGGGTGGCCAAATAAGAATGCGAGGTACTGTATCTGGGAACCTGTCCATCGTAGAGGCTTGCGGTAAAAAAATTATTACTAAAACGGCCACGAGAAAAACCTAGAAAATATTTTTAAGTTTCTGCAATGGCCGCTAGGGGGCGTAACTGCAATCTGGAATCTAAAAAAGTGATTTTTCTGTAAATTCCGCCATATTAACCTAACAAAAAAATGTCCGGCCTTTGATGTTGACGATAATCTGAACCTTTTTTGTTTGACAATTTTTTCTGTATCTCTAAAAATGAAGTGGTGGGGGGTACTCAAAGGTTTCCGTAAAGAACACCCTGTATCTTCGAAACGACTGAGCCGATTTTAACAAACTCGGGTTAATTGAAAAGAGTTATTCTTCAGCTACAAATATTATAATATTTGAAGTTTTGTTAGTTTCACATATCGCCGCTTGAGGGCTTTTTTAGACATTCCGACAGAAATGGTTAATTTTCTCAAAAAAATTAAATGCGTTGGTTTGATTTTTTTTTCATGAAAAAGTAGCTAAATGATGCCTAAACAAGCTCGCGAAAAGCGCATCTCGATATCTTGTTCCTAACCTAAAATTTAGGCCAAAGAAAATTTTATACCCTCAAAATTTTATTTTTTTAAGCTAATTTTTCCGGAATTATTTTTCTTATATAATTTGTTGCCCTAAGGTGGATCGATTTAAAAAAGGAAGCTTTTAATGCCGCCGTAAATGCTCGAAATGCTGGCCATCACGATATAAAAAAAAATATATATATATATCTCAGATATCGAGATGCTGTTTTCGCGAACTTGTTTAGGCATCATTTAGCTACTTTTTCATGAAAAAAAAATCGAACCAATGCATTTAATTTTTTTGAGAAAATGAACCATTTCTGTCGGAATGTCGAAAAAAGCCCTCAAGCGGTGATATGTGAAACTAACAAAACTTCAAATAGTATAATAGTTGTAGCTGAAGAATAGCTCTTTTGAAACCTAAACCAGTCATTCGAAGATACAGGAGTTGTTCTTAAATCGCTCACAGTCACGTTTCAATCAAGATATTGCAGGGCCCTTTTGTTTTCTCTACGGAAGACAGATTCTCGATAAGTACCCCTCACCCCGCATTCATTCTAACTAGAGATGTCATACATTCGGACTAAAATTCACGCCTCGATCTACTAAAATCAACCTGATCTCAAACGGAATCGGTAACGGACGGACGGACGGACATCGCAAAATTATAAACTCGCTAGGAGCTCGTTAATAAGAAAGTTCCCTATTGCACATGCATTTATAGGCAATTCGATTTTAAAACGCGCCCGACTGTATGTGACCAATGTAAAATTGCAACCTTCTAGTCCTCTGCGTTTACGATAAACCCAAAATATGAAAAAGTGGTATACTACAGCAATTTGGGGGGGTGGGGGGTACATAAACCCTGAATGTAAATACTACCTCTAACGCTTATATAGACCGTTAACACATTTCTCGGCTTCACCTCGCACATTCAAATAGCACCCTCGAACAACGAGGCCAACGCAAACAACCGCAACTCGATATGCTCCCCGTTCCCCCGCTTCGACCTCACCACTTTCCCTCCATGTCGCGGGGTAGAACGGGGAGAAAGTGGGGGTGCGACCTCGGTAAATGGCGTAGTTCCGTTTTCCCATAACGCCTATTCCCGTGGGAAAACCCCCAAAAAGAGAACTTTTTCTCGAAAATTTTCCACGCGCTCCGCTTCGCGCCGCACGCCCCTCCATTCATTCACCAGGCTAATCGCGCGCAACTTACAGTTTTTTCGTATCTCCCCTCCTTTGACCGCTACGAATTTTTAAACTTGGCACTTTGCCTGAAATCGGCCTAGCGAGCACACTTTGCGTCCTCATCCGGGGGAGGAGTCGAGTCGGATCGGAAAAAAAAAGATAAGTGCCGAACCCCGATGGCTACGGATTCCGAAAGTATCCGAAAAGTTGTTTTTCACCTCTTACACCAACCCCCTCCCCGCGGGGGGGGGGGGCAATAAAAAAATTATAGCCTACCCGATACGACGCGTCCATTCTCGATGTTTTCCCTAATCCGCGGCGGCGCGGCGTCCACGTAAATCTTACCGTTTGCCCCTGGGAGGGGATTTTATGGGGAAAACACGAACACGGGGGTGCCTCTGGAGGGGGGGTCAGCGATTTACTTCTACGCGTGGTTTCTTTATTGTATTATGTTAACTTAGCGTAGCGCAGTCTGCGCATGCACACACCTGATGTTAAAAATATGCGATATGTTTGCTTTTACTACGAGAATATTTCTTTAAAATTCCAAAAAAGCCGAAGAAAAAAATCAATTTTCACGACGAAATTGATGTATAAGATCGTTTCAGGTTCTCGATCGCGGTTTGTGCGTCCGTCAGCTACGCTACTCCGGCATGATGGAAACGGCGCGAATTCGAAAGGCCGGCTATCCCATCCGTTATTCCTACGCCGAATTCGTACAAAGATACCGGTTTCTGGGAAGAGGAATACCGCCTGCGAACAGGACCGATTGCAAGGAGGCCTCTAGGACAATTTGCGCGAAGGTCTTCACTGCCGGCGAAGACTACCAGTTCGGAAACACGAAGATATTTCTAAAAGAAGCTCAAAACGAATTCTTGGACAAGGAACGAAGCTTGGTGGTGCAACGAGCCGTTTTGATATTGCAAAAAGCGGTGAAGGGTTGGATATGCAGGCGGAGATATCTCAAGGTAAAAGCTGCAGCGTTGGTGTTCCAAAAGCATTTCCGAGCGCGGGGTTATCGGTCGAGGTACTTGATGATGAGGAACGGATATCAAAGACTGCAGTCGGCAATTCGATCACGCGTGCAAACAAATACGTACCAAAAAATGCGTAGTTGCGTATTAGAATTGCAGAAGTTTTGCAAGGGGTATCACGTTCGACACCATCAGCAATGGGGTAAAATTTACGCCGCGGTCAAATTGAAGAATGAAGAAGCGGTTCTGATGAAAAAAAGCGGAAACAAGAACTACAAACGTTTGGCCGAGGCAAACATGCAGAAGCGCCTAGCTGAGTTGGACAAGGAGTACGTTCTGGTAGAGGAGGAGGTTCGCGACGACGCAGACAGTTTGAATGTTGACGACTTTGTCAATCACGAGTTTAACTTTCTCGACAGAGACTTTCCTGTTTTCGGAATGAGACAGAACAGAAACGAAGTTCTCATGGTAGGTTTAGTGTTGGTGAATACTTTGATTACATCCGCATTTTTAGGGGATGCTCAAAGATGGAGCCGATCACGAATTGCTTCCGGGATACCTCAAGGAGGTGGACGTGGAGGACCTGTCGGCGTATAACTTTAAAATCTTCGCAGCTACTTATTTCGTACGAAACAACAATCCGCAATTCTCAAAGAAACCGCTGAAGGAATCTCTGCTCGAGCTGCCGACCCCTGACGACGTTATTGCGGCCCAAGCCATTTGGATTACTATTTTGCGGTTTATGGGCGATTTGCCGGAGCCTAAGTACGAAACTTCCGTGGAAAAGGGAGAGAATGTGCTGAACCGCTTAAATGAAACAATCAGTAGGGGTTTCGCCAATCGCAAGGAGTTCAAGGTACCTATAGGTCACTAGGTTCCGTGAAGTTAGAGGTACCCCATAAAGATATTCAATCCATCGTGATCCATTTGTGATCATTTTGTGCCAATTTTTGCAGTGCAATGCAAATTTTGTGCTCAAGCCGTAACGGATAGCTCTAGGGCCGTTTTTAGATATAGAGGGGCGTTCGACAATACCACTTTAAACGATTAAAATTGCAATGGAAAACAAGGGAGTACATACTACCGTGTGTAGTATACAGGGTGTTTCATAACTGAATGTCAATAATTAAAGGGGCATTTTAAAAAGAAAACTTCATATGAACCTATGTCCCAAACATCTTAACTTTTGAGATACAGGATGGTAAATTTTTCAAAAATAAATCATTCATTACTAATATCTGTAATACCACTTTAGATATTACAATGAAATTTAGCATGTATGTACAGGGTGGCCAAATAACAATGCGAAGTAGGTACTGTATCTGAGAACCTGCCCATCGTAAAGACTTGCGATAAAAAAAGTTATTACTAAAACGGCCAGTTTCTGAAATGACCGCTGGGGGGCGTAACTGCAATCTGGAATCTAAAAAAGTGATGTTTCTGCGAATGCCGCTATATTTTTTTTCATGAAAAAAAATCGAACCAATGCATTTAATTTTTTTGAGAAAATTAACCATTTCTGTGGGAATGTCGAAAAAAGCCCTCAAGCGGTGTTTTGTGAAACTAAAACCGCAAGCCTCTACGATGGGTAGGTTCTCAGATACAGTACCTCGCATTCTTAGTTGGCCACCCTGTACTATGCATCCCGAGGCATTTTTTAACGTACCACATTTTTTTTAATTTCCACCAGTGGCGTTCGTACGGAATTTCACATGCCCTTTTTGGCAGACATTGTGGTACGCCACTGATTTCTCTGAAAATAAAAATTATGCACGGTTTTCGCTTAAAAAAATAAAAACTCGTCAACATAATAAATTGTGACAGGCGCAGCCTACTACAATGAACCTATGTCCTATGTTTTATTTAGCTAATTAGTTTTGTTAATGTTTTATTGAAAAAGTTCCAAAATTCGATTTTAAAAAGAAAATCTTTTTCGCTGCATGATATTGTCATGATCATGCAGAGAAACGGTTTTTATTTTTTTAAACCAAAAAAACAAAGGGATCAAATTTGCTTAGAAATGATTGGGGATTTCAAGAATAATTTTTTTAGAGAAACCAGTGGCGTACGAACGCCACTGGTGGAAATTAAAAAAAATGTGGTACGTTAAAAAATGCCAAATTTCACTAAAATATCTAAAGTGGTATTACAGATATTAATAATAAATGATATTTTTGAAAACTTTACCTTCCTGTATCTCAAAAGTTAAGACGTTTAGGACATAGGTTCATGTGCCATAATTATGGTTCTCATTTTGTGCAAATTTTACCTATACCTACATAAAATGAAATGATAGCTTTCAGAATTGGTATTTAACTAATTTAGAATGTCTAAGGAATTGAAGCAGATTTGCGATGGCACGAATTTTACAAAGTCGAAAAACTGATGTTAAGTCAATTTTCACTATACAGGGTGTAAACGGACCTAGGGAACGCGATTTTTTTCCGAAGTTATTACAAAAAAATCTTTCAAATAAAATTTTTAGTATTTCTGGTAATCTATATAAATTAATGTAGGTAAATTAGAAAAAAATATTTTTATTTTCGGAGATATACCCATTTTTTAATTTTTTTTAATGGTACGCCCTGTATATTTTTATACTATTTGGTAGGAAATAATTTTTGCTTTAAAAAAGTTTCATAAGTTATACCTTCTAAACTTAATATAATTCGAAATATTAAAGAAAATATTAAAATAATTTTACTGGAAATTAAAGCTGGCTATGGAAAAAAATTTAACATTTGTATTAGTTTATTGTTATAACTTTATGAAGAAGTTTATTGAATTGATAACTTAGATTATTGTTTAGTATCTCCTATGCGAGGTAGCTCTAGGGCCATTTTTAGATATAGAGGGACATTTGACAATACCACTTTAGAAGCGATTAAAATTGCTATGGAAAACAAGGGAGTACATACTACCGTGTGTAGTATACAGGGTGTTTCATAATAGAATGTCAATAATTAAAGGGGCGATTTTTGGGTCCATTTTAAAAAGAAAACTTTATATGATACAGAGTGGTAAAGTTTTCAAAAATAAATCATTTATTATTAATATCTGTAATACCACTTTAGATATTTTAATTAAATTTGGCATGTATGTACTATGTATCCAGAGGCATTTTTTAACGTACCACATTTTTTTAATTTCTACCAGTGGCGTTCGTACGGAATTTAACATGCCCATTTTGGCAGACATCGATTGTACGCCACTGATTTCTCTGAAAATAAAAATTATTCCTGAAATTCCAAATCATTTCTAGGCAAATTTGATCCAGAGGCATTTTTTAACGTACCACATTTTTTTAATTTCTACCAGTGGCGTTCGTACGGAATTTAACATGCCCATTTTGGCAGACATCGATTGTACGCCACTGATTTCTCTGAAAATAAAAATTATTCCTGAAATTCCAAATCATTTCTAGGCAAATTTGATCCCTTTGTTTTTTTTCAATCGGATGCAGGATTATCGCTTAAAAAAATAAGAACTCGTCAACAGAATTAATAATTGTGACAGGCGCAGCCTACTACAGAGGTAAGTAATGCTTCGTTTTTACTTAAGTAGTTTTGTTAATGTTTTATTGAAAAAGTTCCAAAATTCGATTTTAAAAATAAAATCTTTTTCGCTGCATAATATTGTCATGATCATGCAGAGAAACGGTTTTTATTTTTTTAAGCGAAAACCGTGCATCGAAATGAAAAAAACAAAGAGATCAAATTTGCTTTTTTTTCAGAGAAATCAGTGGCGTACCATCAATGTCTGCCAAAATGGGCATGTGAAATTCCGTACGAACGCCACTGGTGAAATTTTTGGTGTACACCAAATTCAAATTAATTTACGTTAATTCACGTTAATTCCTGCAATTGGCACAAAATTATAGCGTATCAATGGATTGAATATCTTTATGCGGTACCTCCAACTTCACGGACCTTTGGTAACTTCTTTACCACGTAAAATCGATTTCCAGGAAATTGTGTTACAAGAGAAAAGGCAGTCTTCCAGTAAGGTAGATCGAGTTAAGCTTATCAATATGACCTTGAAACGCAAAACTAAACTATTGGACGATCTTCGCCGAGGCATGGTCGAGGATAACTCATCAACTGAGTACTACGCGGAGTGGTTAAATTCCCGACGAACAACTAACATAGAGAAACTCCATTTCATCATTGGGCACGGAATTTTACGCTCAGAATTAAGGGACGAGATCTTCTGCCAGATTTGCAAACAACTAACGAACAACCCAACGAAGCCATCTCACGCGCGCGGCTGGATTTTGCTCTCGCTCTGCCTCGGCTGTTTCTCTCCGTCGGAGCGGTTCGTAACTTATCTTCGCTCGTTTATACGCGACGGTCCGCCGGGCTACGCGCCTTACTGCGAAGGACGACTGTATCGCACGTTTAGAAACGGGCTCAGAAGTCAGCCTCCGAGCTGGTTGGAGTTGCAGGCGACCAAAAATAAGGACGCCATCAATTTGAAGGTGAGCTTTATGGATGACGAGGTGCGGACGATCGAGGTCGACTCGGCCAGTACGTCCGCGGAGGTTTGCCACAAAATCGCGCTGAGCATTAACTTGAGGGACGCCTTCGGGTTTTCGCTTTTAATAAGTTTGGGGGATATGGTGATGTCGTTGGGGAGCGGTGCGGATCACATTATGGACGCCATCTCGCAGTGCGAGCAGTACGCCAAAGAGCAGGGGTGCCCCGAACGTGCGGCGAGCTGGAACCTGATTTACCGCAAGGAGATCTTCACACCATGGCACGATCCCGGTGAAGACCCAGTTTCGACCGATTTGATATATCACCAAGTGGTGCGCGGGTTGAAGTATGGCGAATATAGGTGTAACACCGAGGGAGATGTTGCCGCCCTGGTTGCGCAGCAGTACTTCATTGACAACGGTACTGAAATGAACCAAAAGATTCTGCACACGAGGCTCGGGGAGTACTTACCGGGGTACTTGTTGAAACAAGGCGAGAATGTTGAACATTGGGAACGAAACATAATTGACGCGTTTGGGAAAAGCGTGTGCGTAAAGCAGAGGTACCCGGTTATTAAGGTGAAATGCGACATAGTGAGGTATACTAAGGCAGTTTGGCCTATGCTTTTTTCACGATTCTTCGAAGCGATCCAGATTTCCGGGCCGGAACTGCCAAAGAACAAGATGATAATCGCAGTTAACTGGACGGGAGTGTATATGATTGACGATCAGGAGCAGATTCTGCTCGAGTTGCCTTTCGTTGAGATCGTATACGTCGGGTACGAAGAAGCGCAAGGTACCAATTTGCACAAGTTCACACTTAAGACCATAAGGAAAGAAGATTTCGTTTTCCGTTGTCCCGACGCGGCGAATTTAAACAAATTGATTGTGTACCTACTGGATGGTTTAAAGAGCCGATCTACTTATTGTGTGGTCATAGAGGATTATAAACACCCAGGTGAGGCTGCTTCATTTCTGGTTTTGAAGAAAGGCGAGTTGGTCATTTTGAAAGACGGTACCACTGGTGAATCCTTGATGACATCGACCTGGGGTTATGGAGAATGCAATGGACGTTTGGGAGATTTTCCGACGGAAGTTGTACAGTTGTTATCGGTTATAGAAGAACCATCAGAAGACGTTATCGCAACATTTAAAAAGGATGGGGCTTTTGCTAGCCAAGAGGAACCTCCCCAGACAATGTCAACCGTACAGCGAATGAAGGTGCACACTCTCGCTCTTTACGCGGATGAGCACTTCAGAATCGGGAAAAAGTCTACCGCCAAGCAAACTTCGCTCCTTACAGCTGCTAAACGGGGCTCACACGAGGAGTTATGGAAATTCACCAATCAACCCATCCTCCAACCACTCTTGCGCCAACTCACCTCTAACGAAGAGGCCAGCCGAGACGCGTGCAAAGCTTTCAACGCAATCCTCAAGTACATGGGAGACATACCGGCCCCGAAACCCAAAATGAGCAACGAGTTCACCGACGAAATCTTTTCGGCGGCTTTATCAAATGACTTGTTACGCGACGAGGTGTACTGCCAAATTATGAGGCAGCTGACCTACAATCGTTTAGCTCGCAGTGAAGAACACGGGTGGGAGTTGATGTACTTCGCTACCGGTTTGTTCGTGGGTAGTACATCCCTTAACACCGAACTGAACAAGTTCTTAAAATCACGGTCACATCCATTTGTTGAACCGTGCCTATCCCGTCTGCAAAAAACCGAAAAAGTAGGTCCACGAAGATATCCCCCATACACTATCGAAGTAGATGCCATACAGCATAGGAGCATGGAAATTTACCACAAAATTTACTTCCCCGATGACACCGACGAAGCCGTTGAGATAGACTCGTTGACCAAAGCGGGCGATATCTGCTCAGTTTTGGCCAGCCGCCTGCAATTGATTTCTTCTGATGGCTTTAGCCTCTTCGTAATGATCGGCGATAAGGTATTCTCCATTCCACAAGACACCTTTTTCTTTGATTTCCTACACGAGCTCATTGCGTGGATGCGCCAAACCACACCGAGCTGGAACTGTAAGTATCTCAACTTTTTTCAGTGGTTAACACGACACTTTCAGCCGCGGCTCCAATTCAAGCCCAATACCAAGTGTTTTTCATGAAGAAACTGTGGGTCAATACAGTACCTGGTCGCGATCGGAATGCCGACCAGATATTCCACTACCACCAGGAGCTGCCAAAGTATCTACGCGGCTTTCACAAGACCAGCAAGCAAGACGCCATAAAGCTGGCCGCCTTAATCTATCGCACCAAATTCGGCGACCAATTCTCGCAATTGGCCCAACTAAACGCGAACCTCCTCAACGAATTGGTACCATCTTACATAATCAAAGTGAACTCCTCCTCCCAATGGAAAAAGGACATAATCGCCGCCTACCAAAACGACGGTACAATGTCCGCGGAAGACGCCAAAGGTAAATTCTTAGAAACGATCTACCACTGGCCCACCTTCGGCTCGACGTTCTTCGAGGTGAAGCAAACCGTCGACCGCACTTACCCCGAAATCGTCACCGTGGCGATCAACAAGAACGGAGTCAACATCATGCACCCTCAGACAAAGGTAGGCACACGGATATAACTACAACTTCAAGACGCTCTTTTACAGGATATCCTGGTTACGCACGATTTCTCGGAGTTAAACAATTGGTCCTCTGGAAACACGTACTTTCACCTAACCATTGGTAACATGATGAGACCAACGAAATTTTTATGCGAAACTAGTCAAGGGTACAAGATGGACGACCTACTCACGTCTTACACCGAGTATTTGCGTTCTAAAGAAACTTAATAAATGTAATGTTTTTTACGAAATATACCGCTTTAATTTTGTGTTACTAACATACTTTTTCGATTAAATCAAAACACACGCACATTTGATTTTTGCAATATGCGATGTGCTTGTCTTTACTACAGTAGAAAATTTGGTTAAAATTTCAACAAAATGTCTCTATAAACAAGAAAGTTCTCATTGCGCATTCTGCGCATGCGCACATCTGGATTTTGCAATATGCGATAAGCCTGTCTTTAGTAGAAGCATCTGTGGTTAAAATTTCGAAACAATATCTCCGTAAATATGAAAGTTGACACTCATGCGCACACTAATCGTCAAGATTTTTCTTGGTTGAGGTGCCAGAACTATAAGGTACCGAACGAACCAATAATAGCGCCTTCCAATATGAGTTGGAAAATGCACTAAAAAGACACTAGTGAATGAAGATATACATCTAAAATCCCTTAGTTCAAAGTTCAAGACTCAAAATTGTTAAGGAAACATACATATATTTCGTATCAATTCAATTTACTTCTTCTTCTGGTTAATTAAATTCGGTATGGTTCTTGTTATATAATTATTTTAATATGTCTCGGCTGTTCGTCGGTTAATAACCCTGTTCTGGTCTCATGGATAAGGGTAAAGGGATAAATAATACCTTAATAATCTTTATTAAGCGGCAGAGCAAAGCGATGCGAGCTTTATAGGGGAGTCGATGGTGTCCGTCTGTCCGTGAACACGATAACTGTCAAACGCTTGGACCGATTTGGTTTAAACTTTGCACAGTTAACATATATACCACATGTAACAAGCCAATTGAAAATGAGTCAAATCCAATGACTCCGTGGGGTCATACCGAGATGCTTTGCTGCTTTTTTAGTCGCTCTTTATGGGTTTATTAAGGATCCTCAGGTCCTTTATAGTTTTGTATTGTCGTCCGTCCGTCCGTCCGTCCGTCCGTGTGCGCTCTAACTCTTTTTAAAAGTGGCCGATTGTGTTGAAGTTTGGTGTACGGATACTTTGGACATTAAGGACGGACGCTATTGATTTTCAGGAAGCTGGTTCAACACAGGAACAAAAGTTATAGGACTCCGAGTGAATCGGGAACAGGAAAAACTGCGGGCTCAAAATCAAAATATTTCATTCCCTAGGTCATGTATCGAGTTCGGACTTTCGGTACATTATTCCCTATGACTCTTAGATGTGTATCAATGTGGTATAGGTCAAAAGTTTTAGAGCAGAATGTACCCAAAATTATTTTTTACACATGAATTTGGTTTTAAAAGTTTTGAAACGCATCATCTTGATGCTGAAAGAGTACATCACGTGCACATTTGATAACCGCATGTGTGTGATTCAAAGATGTTAAATTATTTTTCTGAGGTCACATGGATTTTGATCAAAATATGTCAAAATCGTTATTTAAGCACCAAGATCGTTGGGAAAAAGACTCTCAATGCCCAATATATGAATTTACTCTTATTCAATTCAATTTTTTGAAAAAAACATAACAATTAGATTAATAACATTAATCCAGATATCCTACATCGGCTACATCAAAATAAAACAAATGAACGTGTACGTTTCTTATTAAACCTTGAAGACAAAACGAAATTAGCAATAAAATGGTTGCCATCGCAATGAATGTTCAATATGTTCACCATTAACTGCCATATACCAAAAATAAAGGCAAAAATAAATAAATAAATAAATATACCTATTACAAAAAAGTTTGAAATAAACATTTATTTCTTCTACACGGGTACTAACGTGTTACGTCATTGAAAATGGAAAAAAATCGCTATCAAATGAGCCTAATGAAGAAGTGCATTGCAATTTAAAAAAATTCAATTGTTTTTCTTTATTCATTTGTTTTCTGAAATAAAAACAATGGAATTGAAAATAGAAAAAAATCGCTTTCAAAGGAGCCTAATGAAAAGGTGCATTGCAATTTAAAAAAATTCAATTGTTTTTCTTTATTCATTTGTTTTCTGAAATAAGAACAATGGAATTGAAAATAGAAAAAAAATCGATATCAAATGAGCGTACTGAAAAGGTGCATTGCCATTTAAAAAAATTCAATTGTTTTTCTTTATTCATTTGTTTCCTGAAATAAGAACAATGGAATTGAAAATAGAAAAAAAATCGATATCAAATGAGCGTACTGAAAAGGTGCATTGCCATTTAAAAAAATTCAATTGTTTTTCTTTATTCATTTGTTTCCTGAAATAAGAACAATGGAATTGAAAATAGAAAAAAAATCGATATCAAATGAGCGTACTGAAAAGGTGCATTGCCATTTAAAAAAATTCAATTGTTTTTCTTTATTCATTTGTTTCCTGAAATAAGAACAATGGAATTGAAAATAGAAAAAAAATCGATATCAAATGAGCGTACTGAAAAGGTGCATTGCCATTTAAAAAAATTCAATTGTTTTTCTTTATTCATTTGTTTCCTGAAATAAAAACAATGGAATTGAAAATAGAAAAAAATCGCTATCAAATGAGCCTAATCAAAAGGTGCATTGCCATTTAAAAAAATTCCTTTGTTTTTCGTTACTCATTTGTTTTCCGAAATAAAAACAATGGAATGCTTCCTTATGGAAAGTAAAATGTTAAACAATTTTCATATAAAAAAATTCTGTATACAGTCGATATTTACCGAGATTGCCGTGTTCATTTCGTCTGGCAGGATGAAATTTACGAACATCCTAATTAATTATGAAATTAACATTTGTAATTAAATTTTATTTATTTGTCTCTGGTCTATATGACGGCACGGAGATTGTTGTCATACGAGAAAGCGGTTAAGGTTGTTTTTGTTTTATTTAACCTAGAATTTCCGGGAATTTTGTTTGCTTTTATCTATTATCAATTGTAAATACTTAATTAAATTGATAGGTGGATGTGATTGATCGCCTTTTCTGTGTAGTTAAGAGAGATGAATTTTTATTTTTCCTAGTATATGTCTCTTAATGTCTGATAAGAAATTGTTTAGTAAAATTATTCGACCTCTATTATTTTGGTCTTTTAATAAGTGAAGGTAAAGAGCTACCTAGGTTATTTTGTTTTGGTGTTTTGTGTACGGTTTTTCTGGCCTATGGATCAGTGCAACCAGCAATATAACGGGCGATCAAAAATGAGTTGCTGTCGAGTCGCCTTTGGAAGTTCAAGTGAAGTACGATTTCCCATGTAAACAAAAATTCCAAAGGTGACTCGACAGCAACTCATTTTTGATCGCATAGTACTATATTCTATACATAATGGGCACCCTGTATAATACTTAAATGACCGTTAGGTGCTACGAGAAAATTAATTATATTTTTCTTCACATTCTGTATATATAGGACACATGATCCTATTTTGGTTGAGACTGGGGTGTATCTCAGCTGTTTTTAATGATAGGCTTGCAGTTTTCACGACCCTGCTATTACCTAACTCGACTCAGTGCCGGATTCAACACCTACCACGGGGATTGCGACACCCGACCCACTATTGATGATATCATCGCTCCTCAAACTCTGTAACCCTGATGAGTTGTGAACAGGCTTTAACGTTTCTAGTAAATCAAACAGTAACGTAAGTTATTGCTCTATATTCACCCAACTTCTACAAGTTTCGCAAGTTTTGCTTAAAATTTCACTATAAAAAACCCCCGCATTGACATAGACAGCCTCCAGGCTCCTATGCGCCAAACCAGTGGCGTTGATCCGAACTTGCAGCGACACGTTCGCGCTCTTTCCCACTTGAACAACATCCAACTTCGCTTCCAACAACAGTTCATCACGGCTAATGTTGTAACTCTTCACCTCTTGCCAAATGTCAGCGATGGGGTTAAAGAATCGCATACCACGTTGCAAATTTTTAGAAATGCGATATTGCCTCGCGACGACAATGTTATATTCATTGTTAGTCCGAGTATACGCCACCTTGCCCTCATTTTGGTAAAACACGGACTCTAAAAGATCCGCTGCTCCCGGGATACCTAAACTGGTACCGAGAGACCTTTGCTTGTACACGTTGTAGTTGATGCGTACCGATTTTGGATCGGTTAAGGTGAAAATCGATTTTATCTTTTTCAAATTGAACAAGTTGCAGCTGGAAATTTGCACCACATGGCAACCTTGTCTGAAGATCAGGTCGAATTTCGCTTCGTGAACATCAGCAATGGTTAGTGAGCGTCCGGAAAACATCGCCTCGTGGGCATAAACCGTGAGAGCATACGGATGCAAACTCGTCATCTGGGAATGGAACTGGAAGTCTAGATACGTGAAGGATCTTAGCGTGATGGTTTTCAGTTTCATTCCACCCGAGTACTCGTAGTAATTGGACAATTCCTGTGCGAAAAGTGATTCGGTATCATTCCTATGCGTCATTGCGAAGTGGGCGGCTCCTCTGATCTCGTATGGTTCGGAGGTATTGGTGAGTACAGACCGAAGTATCTCGTTAATCTCAGATTTGTCACTATCCACTGATGTGACAGCCCAAATCGCTGCCAATCGTAATTTAACTTCGTAACCATCTCCTTGTATGACAGAGATCAAGTGGCGACTGTCGGCCTTGCCCGTGTTTAATATAGCGGTTAAATACAGCAATTGGTTGTCGTAGTCGGTGGAGCTTTGGAATCGTCCAACCAGGTCCTCGACGTAGCTCGAACTGCTGTTTGGGCTTGTCGCGATCATGTTGGAGAAGCAAAGTACGGCAGTCATCTGTAGGTCTTCGCCGAATTCGCTACCGAGGTTCAGCAACGAGCTCAAGTCCTCCAAATCTTGTTCGTTGTGGATCGCTACGTTAAGTGGTAAATGCTTGAGCATTTCTACGGCGGTTTCTTCATCCGTTGCCCTAGTTAGCACTAACTGTACAATTAAAGCAGTTGACGCTCGATTTCCCGTGTACGGGAGTAGCTGGTGAAATATCTCCAGTTGGTTTTTACTATCAAAAGACCACTCCTTGAGCTTCACGTAAAATTTAGCCAGTCCGTCCACGGAAAAGCTTCTAAGTAAACGTAAAATATTTTCGATGGAAACTCCGCGCTTTAACGTTTCTTCCAAAGCGCCGAGACCGTTGCTGTCCATGTCCAGTGAGAGGGATTTAATTTCATTGTAAGTCGACGAAACCGTAGCTTCAAATCCTCGATCGTGGTACTCTTTCGCACCACCGAAAGACGCAAGTTCGTTCACAGTGTGCATTAATGTAGTCTCGGAAAACTCTTGGTGAAGTTGGTAACGCTCTGAGATAGGTTCGATACCGTCCAATGTTAACGTTTGTGTTACGTTGAGCAAGGTTGGAGAGAATGTAATTAGCTCAGTTGCTTCGATCTTTTCCACGAAACCTTCTCCAATGGTGTATTTTTGCTCGTTTTTGTGCACACCGTGACCATCGATCCATTCGTCTATATGGGATTCTTTTCGTATCAGAATTTGATCGCTTGAGTTGGAAACGGTGTATGATACGGTGACTTTTCCAGATATTAAAAATTCCTCCGCCTGGAATTTGCAAGATTCGTTTTTGCTTCTGATGTCGATTTGAAGAATTGAGGCAATCGCCTTTTTAATATTTCGTGCCGGTGTTAACTCTCGCATTTCCGTTGATATACCCGCGACTTGCCCCGTTGCATCGTAATCTATTTGAAAAATACGGAGCAGATCTTCATACTCGGTGGGGATGGGAAGTTCATCCAGAATATCTTCGTACTCCCCCTTCAAAGCACCATTATACAGTTTCATTGTTAAACTTGATAATCGCACGAAAAGTGTATTCGCCATCCGTTGGATGTGCAGTTTTCCGTTCAAAAATGATTGGGAGGCGTAACGGTCGGAGACATTGGTAGTGGCGGAAATTGTCGCGCTATAATCATAGACCAATTCTTTTTCTTCGGAAGCGTAGTTGTAGAAACATTCGCCAAATGGATATGGCCATGGTACTGCAACGAACCAGATTAGCATTGGTCGCATGGTACTTCCAAATATTTGGCAGGTTAGGCAAGGCAGAGTTTGTGTTCCCTCAGTTTTTAGAGTCTTACCTGTCAGAAATATCCAAAGTAGTTTGCCATGATTCATTCTTGGGCTTTCATTAAACCAACGCGATTGTAACTTCATTTGCGTTTGAAGTTAAAAAATCTTGCTGTCGATAACTAATATAATAGGACACTTGTTATTAAACATTTTTTACGAATCGGAAGATAAGGATTAAGTGGATCAGGTCAATTACTTTGGGGTTCAGATACTTTTTTTCAATGAGTGTATTTATATAAGGAAATCGTGTGCGCTATCCTCCTTCAGGATTGTAATCTATGCTTTTAGAGAAATGCCTTTTTACCCTCTCTTTTGCTCTCCGATAAATAACTACATTAGCTCTCCTTTGCGTCACTTCCCTCATATCTCCCTGACGCTCCCTCAATTTCCATCCCCACTCCGTATCAGAATCTCTGCAGAACTTGATTTCTGAAGAACCAGTAAATAAATTATCTGCTGCAAGTGTACTCCCTATTTCATAGTAAAATAGGTAATATTAATTAAAAAGGCGAATTTCGAAAAAGATGAACTAATTTTTATAGATAATCTAATTTTACTACACAAAATAGGGAGTACACTTGCATTAAATAATATTTATTTGTGACACTTGTTTACCTTCTGGCATTCTTTTGTTTTTTATTATCTTGGCCTACTCCAGTGTATAAACATGTAATTAATTAATAGGTATAGGTACTTTTGTGAAAAGTAGGGAATAACCTAAAAACTACGGGCTTTAGGCATAGGACATCCCTTATAAACATTGAAGAACACACAAAAGACGATCGAGTAGAAAAATAAAATAGTGGTAGTTCCATTTGAAAAAAATGAAACTTTGAAACTTGAAACTTTACTGTTAGTTTTTGTGAACACGCTGTATCACTAAATCCAACTTTCTTATTACCAAGGTGTTTCCTTTTATTCAAATTCAAATTATTGATCAAATGTATTTCCTAACTTTAAAATCAAGGTTGCTACGATTTATCAAAGTGGGGCTTACTTATGGGCAATTATTCGGAAAAAAATTTGGTAACATTGACAAAAAACGAAAAAGTGAATAGATTTCCATGCAGAGGTTAAAAATTGACTTCGAAACAACTGAAAATATAGAGGGTTGTTCCATTAAAAAAATCAGCGGTCCATTGACACCGTAAAAATGGGACATGTACAGGGTGTACAGGCTGAGTCAACGATTGCACGGAGTAACATCCTTGAAGATAAGATTTTTCGATAGAATGCTTTTGTATTATATGATATGGTTGAATATTCTCCACATTTTAAAAATATTTGGAATTATACAGGGTGCGCCCACAGAGTAGGGCGCCCAAATAGTACATTTTTTAAATAGAACCCCCTGTATTTGAATGCAATATTGAAATCTACGTGTAATTGTACGTCTTTTTTTATTATATGGTTAATTTCCGAAAAGCTAGTAGTTTTAAAGATAATTCGATTTTTAAGAAAAATTGGGCATTTGCAAGCGTCAGTATATATTGTCAAAATTATTACTTAAATTTTGATTCCAGGTCTTTTATCCTGGGTTAAGCAAAAGTCAAATAAATACATCTACTATCAAACATTAAAAATATACCTTACAGGGTGTTTTTTTGGTAGGTCCTTAGATGCAAAACTTCATTTTAAAAATCTCATTTTTTTAAATGGATCACCCTGTATACTTATCTGTCATCATTTAGCTCCTCTAAAAACCTTCAACATTTGATAATAATGTCCTATACCTATCTCTGATAGTTTTCGAAATATCTTGGTTTTCCTGGGTTTTATATTCTAACCTTAAATATTATATGTAATTTACATAATAATGAGGTGAACATACAAAAAAGGTAATTTTTATCTATCTCGTCTAGAACGAAAATCATATCGATTAATTTATTTTTCAAACAATTTATTTTAAGTCCAAAAACTGGAGAATAAGTAAAAACATTTGACTACAAAGGAAATTTAATTTAACTCCTAATGTCATCCTGTCAGTGATATTAGTTTCATTTTTTTTCATATTCACCTCGTTATTATGTAAATTAGAACTTATTTCAGATTAAAATATAAAAAGTAGAAAAACCAAGATATTTGTTTATGTTTTTACATACAGGGTGTTCCATTTAAAAAAAGTGAGATTTTTTAATATGAAGTTTTGTAACTTTGGACTTACCAAAAAAACCACGCTGTAAGTTATAATTTTAATGTTTTATAGTAGATGTATTTATTTGACTTTTACTTAACCCAAGATAAATCCAGAAATCAAAATTTAAGTAATAATTTTGACAATATATACTGACGCTTGCAAATGTCCAATTTTTCTTAAAAATCGAATTATCTTTAAAACTACTAGCTTTTCGGATATTAACCATATAATAAAAAAGACGTACAATTACATGTAGAATTCAAAAATGCATTCAAATATAGGGGGTTCTATTTAAAAAAATGTAACATTTGGGCGCCCTACTTTGTGGGCGCACCCTGTATAATTCCAGTTATTTTTAAATGTGGAGAATATTCAACCATATCATAATACAAAAGCCTCGACAAAAGCACTCTATCGAAAAATCTTATCTTCAAGGCATTAAGCTACTCCGCGCAATTGTTGACTCACCCTGTACAATCGCTTGAGTATTAAGTTAAAGGCAAAACTTAGAAAAGTAAGAAATGAACAATTTGAGCAATATATAAGTATACCCAAACTAACTAGAAGTGATAATTATATATAGAAACCAATGAAAAACTCCAGGAAGCCTAAACTAAATGTACCACCAATAAGAAAAAATAATGCTGAACCTTGGCGAAGAGTGACAAAGAAAAGGCTAACCTATTCGCAGAGCACCTCACCACCGTTTTTCAACCTCTAGCTAGACAATGAACCAGATCATGAAACTGAAGGAAATATATTCACTCCTTTAGAGCCACATCGATCAATTAAACTATTTACCCCAAAGGAAATAACTGCTGAAATAGAAAACTCAATCCCAAAAAGGCTCCTGGTATTGATCAAATAACAGCCAAAATGCTGAGTGAACTTTCATTATTATTATTATTACTATATAAAATCAAACAAACACTCCCTACAGTCTATTTTAATATACTAAAATCATACCTGAGCGAGAGAACATTCCAAACCAAAGTAAGTGAAGAATCATCAGACCACTTTCACATAAATTCTGGAGTGCCCTAAGGTAGTGTTTTAGGGCCATTGTTCTACATTCTGTACACAGCAGACCTGCCAATGACACAAAACACAACAACAGGAACAATTGCAGACGATACCGCAATCCTATCCAGTCATGAAAACCCTCAAATAGCATCAGATTATATCCAGATTCCCTTGTTTGAACTACAACAATGGCTGAACAAATGGAAAATTAAAGTGAATGAGAACAAATCGGTGCCTGTAACATTTGCCCTCCGTGAACAATTATGTCCAGCAGTTGTGATAAATAATGTGCATCGCATACCACAAATGGAAACAGCAAAATACTTATCAAATCAAATATAAAAAAAAAAGAAACAAAGCAAGAGAACTGGTTAATAGGAAGAAAATCTACACTATCAACAGAAAATAAAATTCTAATATACAAGGCAGTCATCCAACCTATCTAAACCTATGCGAAATAAATAGATATAGAAATAGATGTAGAAAAAAAATAGACCAGAGCGTGCACATCTACACTATAGCAGAAAGCTTTAGTGAAAATTAGAAACCTCTAGCTATTGTAATTGTTGAGATATTAGCCGGACAGCCAGCCAGCCATAACGAATATAATAGTCTATTTTTATTTTAAAATGCGTTAAACCTACGAGGAGAATTTTTAAAGAAGGCGAAAATAAGAATTTTGGCGATGTTGATTGTACAGCGAGCGAGTGGACGGACTTTGGTGTCTAATTTTTGTAAATTAGTTCGGATAATAACCTCCGTTGGGATAATGTGTTTTTGGCTGCCTGTAGCAAATTACACAAAATAAGTTTAATAACTAACTCAAAACCTTTGAGATTTAATCATTCCATTTGGAAAATTCCACCTTTATTATTTGATTGTGACAATTTTCGTCAAAATACTAAAATTTGAACTTCGGGTATTATATAAAGAGGTAATAATTAATGTAGATTATTTCTCTCACAATATTTTTTTTTAATGTGCATTATAAGGTCAGGTTTTGAAGTCGCATAAGCGTAATGAATTAATTCAATGACGTCAAAATCCTTCGTGAAATATTGCTAGATTGTATGTAGATGCCTATTAATTGTAGGTAAGAGTCTGTCGAAACATACGAAAATTTGTTATTTGCATGCATTTGGTGTCGATCCTATTTAAGTAAGGAATAGTTATAAACAAACGCATTTCAAGTGTAAACGTAGCTAGTAGCATTACAATAAGTCATGCTGAATTATACGTTACGGTTGCGGAGGGTGGCCCAGACAATCTGGCTACCTTGCAGATATGCCAGTGAGGCTTTCACAAGGAGGTTCGAAGGAAAAATTGCAGTTCTCACGGCGTCGACTCAAGGGTGAGTAATCGCTAAAGAAACAGCCCAATTGATTGAGGAATGTAGAATTGGACTGGATACAGCAAGAAGATTTGCCTTAGAAGGAGCCAAGGTGCTGATATGCAGTAGAAAGCAAAAAAATGTCGACGAAGCTGTACGAACGTTGGCCAACGAGGGGTTAGATGTGAAGGGGGTTGTGTGTCATGTTGGCAAACAGGAGGAGAGAGATCATCTTCTGAATGAGGTAAGCTCACCTTTTTTACATAAGTTTCATTGCCGAATTTTGTATCGAGAATTGGGATGATTAGGCCCATAGCCTTTTTTAGTAGGAATTGACTAACTGAAGATCTTTTATTAACATTAATCCACAAACAATACCTAATGCCACATTGGAAATCAGAAATTATTATTGCTCCATGCCCTTATCTCAATTATCACTTTAGGCTGCCAAACTGGGAGGGATAGACATATTATTCGCAAATGCGGCGGTGAATCCGGTACCAGGACCGATCGTTGAAGTAAATTTACCATCAAATACGAATTTCGAAAACACTTTCGATTATTTTTAGTGCACCGAAGGCGTCTGGGATAAAATTTTCGACGTAAATTTGAAATCGACATTCTTCCTCGCCAAGGAAAGCTTGCCATTGATGAGGCAACGTCAAGGCGGATCAATAATTTTAATGTCGACACAATCGGCTTACGTACCCGTCCAAAACATTGGCATTTACGGCGTAAGCAAGACCGCCCTGTTGGGTCTAACGAAGACGATGGCAGACGAGCTGGCCGAGTACAACATAAGGGTGAATTGCGTCTCCCCGGGTTATATCGACACCAATTTTGTTCAAATTGTAAGTGCTTGTCGATAATACTAATCAAAAATACTGATGAAGTATTTCAGTTGATGGATGATATGCCAAAGGTTTTGTCGAGAATACCATTGCGAAGGTAATTGGGCGAATCAGCTATCTTGAAGTTTGCTTATAATATTCTTTTTAGGGTTGGACGTCCAAAGGACGTATCGGGAGTCATCACCTTCTTGGCATCGGATGATGCCGATTACATAACGGGAGAAAGTATTATAATAGCAGGTGGGATGACTTCCAGACTGTAAATTTTGTTCAGCACCCTGGATACCTATCATCGTCTAATCCATTCAGACCAAACTTTACTATCTTCGTTCATTTTTATAAATAGAGATAATTGACTGAGGATGTACCCCTTTTATTGCGCTTGCCTATTAGCTCTGATAGAAGGAACTTTTGTAGCCAGTGGTAAACAGAAGGTCTATACAAATACAATTAGTACATTTTATATAAATTTATAATATATAATAATATTATAACAAAATACTTGTATGTATTTTTCTCTATCTCGGAATATATTAGGACAGCAGAGGCTTAAAACTGATCATTAAAAAATGTCACCATTATTTTTAGATTTTATGAATGATGTGAGTATCTTTGAACGTCCTTATAAATATTGGCCCCTTTCTTTAAATATACAGAGTGGCCCAACGAGAAGTATACAGAGGGCTTTTAGGGTATTAAATTTAGAAATTTCGAAAAATCCTCGAACACGTCAATTTTGTATTCGAGGGTGACAACTTTTGGAATACAAATCACGAACCCAAGTTTTCACCCCTCTACGTAGGGAGCTTAACCCCTAAAATTTTAAATGGAATCCTATGGCAAATGGCACGTTATTTGAAATCCAATTTAATCGTGATTACTAATCTGCTTTGCTTTTTAAATTCTATTGATTCGTTTCGGAGATATTCGCATTTGAAATGGTTTTTCGAAATCTCTAAATTTAATACCCTAAAAGCCCTCTGTATACTTCTCGTTGGGCCACTCTGTATCAGTGGAATGGTATATTTTATTTTACCAATTAATAATAATTTATTGTCCTAACAGACTATCCAGTCCAAATTCATGACAAACTTAAATATTGCTCAATAACAGTAGCGCAGGAATATACAAAAATTAACATAAATTGAATTTAATTAGCCGCCCACTGCAAAACATATGTCCTTTTCTTCACAACGGGTTAGATAAGAGATGAAAATATAATAGCATAATTTGAGGACAAATCACAGGCGATCAGATTTGCAATGGACGGCTACCTGCGATGATTGATGTGACTGTTTTTATACTGGAAGAGCAATAATTGTTTGATTATACAGGATGATTCAAATTCGAGGGCCACCATGGGGATCTCGGGAACGGTAAGAGATAGGTACGAAATTTTGCAAATCGTTTTTATTTTTTACTGGTTATTTGAAAAGATATTTCGAAAGAAAAGATACATTATTATAGCCACTTTTGTTTGAATCAGGATCCTGGTATGATCACTATACCAATAATGAGAAGGTCGAAGCTTACCGTAGGAATCACAGCAATCAGGGATTCTGGGGAGAATGGTAGCGGCCAACACATACCGGGTAACCCAATAAGACTGTTCCTCGGCCATATCTCGAGAACCGTTCATCATATGTCTTAGGGGTAAAAAAATTATTGGGTAAATCGGTCATGAAGAATCGTTGGAAAATACTTTCAAATTCTAAAAATGGCCAACAGAAGGCGTAACTGCCATCTTAAGTTTTATTAAATTTATTTAATAAATAAATAATAAACTGAAAATTTTTTTTCACATTTTTAAAGAAAACCAGTTTATCAATCATTTACGTAAAAACAAAAACTCAGTTATTTCAAAAACAAAGATGGTGTGGGGCGTTCAATTGTTTTTGCAATAACCCGCTTTAACTTCTTAACCGTTTGGCCGATTTTAACAAATTTGGTATGGTTGAAAAGAGCATACCTTGGGCAATAATCAACCAATATATAGTTAACTTAGTTGAATCCTACTCCGCCAGGGGGTTAGTTTTGACACTATGACCCCAAATCCTAAAAAAATCAAATGGAGTGATATGACTTTTTTTGTTATGAAAAAGTAGCCAAATATCATCCAAAGAAGGCAATGAAAACCGTTTTTCAAAATCTCGTTCCTAACCTCAAATGCTTAAATTGTATCTTAAATTGACTTTTTACGTATTTCCGGTAGTTGTCGATGGCGCGAAAGGAAAGCACCCTACACTTTTAGGTAGGCCTTTGAAAATTAAACAAATGAAACACGATGCATTATAAAATAATAAAAAGCCGTAATTTGTAAATTATTCTGCTGTGTTTACATTCAGAAAGTGCAGTTTTTTGAATTTGTAATCTTTTCTAAAACGCCGATTTCTAACCAAGAAGCATTTAATATGCTGGCGATATATTTTGAGTATTTTCAAAATGCAACCATCGCTGCCCGCATCTTCTATTTGCGTTATCTGAATCGACCACGAACCATCGCCGCCAGCGTATTAAATGCTTCTTGGTTAGAAATCGGCGTTTTAGAAAAGATTACAAATTCAAAAAACTGCACTTTCTGAAGGTAAACACAGCAGAATAATTTACAAATTACTGCTGTTATTATTTTATAATGCATCGTGTTTCATTTGTTTAATTTTCCAAGGCCTACCTAAAAGTGTAGGGTCCTTTTCCAAACAATCAACGTGAAATAAGATACAATTTAATTAATCAATTAATTAATCTCGTTTTCCCAATATTTGAGGTTAGGAACGAGAAAATATTTTCCAGCGATTCTTCATAACCGATTGACCCAATAATTTTTTTTACCCCTAAGTCATACGACGAACGGTTCCCGAGATATGGCCGAGGAACAGTCTTATTGAATCACCCGGTACAACAGCCAGGTAATGGTTTACGAAGAAGGGTGGAAACGTATCATAAAACCGCGAGCTATAATAGGGACCACACGGCACTGATACATAGTATATACAGACTACAGACCACTATGACAGCGTGGTAAGGACATGATAGGGCAGGTAGAAGAAGAGGAGGAACTCAGGAGAACAAGGGTGCTGGGGGAATACGAGGAAGCGAGAGGAGCTGCCGTCCCTAACGAACATAGTCTGAGCTGAGCGTGGTATCCGGAAGGAATGCCCCGCCGAGGAAAAGCGGAAATCACCAGAATGCAGAAGGATGCAACAGTATATGAGGGTAACCACGTGGAACATGGGGCAAACGACCCAAAGAAAAGTAGCATAGAAATAATTATCACAAACACAGTAGGAGTATGGGTCAGAACAGTAGGATCGGACCACAAAATAGTAAAGGGGAAGGTAAGAGAGGGGGGTCGAGCGAGGAAGAAGGAAAGGACAGAAAGCAAAGCGGGAGAACGGAATGGTGGGATGTGATACTTCTGATAGGGGAGAAGAAAAGTGAGGAGTATAGAAAGGAGAAGGACGAGATCAGGAACAAAAAGGGGGAAGGGAGACCATCTTGGAACAGGATCGCCGAAACGCTCAAGGAAGCAGCAGGGAAAACACTTGGGAGACATAAACCGCCCATGTCATCGAATAGGAAGCAAGCCATGGACAGCAGATCACTGAAGAGGTTTGGGCGAAACGGAAGGCACGAAGGATACTGATGGAAAACAGCAACCTTACAAAAAGGCAGATAAGGGAATTACTGGAAAGAAATACGATCACCGAGACAGAAAATGAGATATTGGGGGCATATAAACAGGAGGAACAAAGACCAAAATCCATAACATTGTTTGGCATATGTCGCGACCCAACGCAATGGAAATAAAAGTGGTGGATATGCATCCCTGTTAGTTAGTTTACTATAAGCGATATGTTTGCCTTTACTAGAAGTATCTGTGGTTAAACTTTGCACAAAATATATAAATAAGTAAAAAAGTTGATATTGCGCATGCGCACATTAATCGTCAGGATTTTTCTTGGTTCGGGTGCCAGAGCTACCCAATTTAAAAAGATCGAATTACATGTATTGCAAACCGTAGGAGTAGTAAAAAGCTCGGACGGACCGACGGGCAGAGAAACTGACTGGAATAGCGCACCCAACTTAGTTGGAAAATGCGCTAAAGATAGGCGATGTTGTTGTGAATGGACAGACTTTAGTGCTTTTGCTGCTCGTAGCAAATTACAAAAATACGTTTAATAAGTAACTCAGGACCTTTGAGATTTAATAGGTCCATTTGAAAAATTGCCTTGTAAACACATTTATTATTTGATTGCGACAATTTTCGTCAAGGTACTAAAATTTTAACTTTGGGTACAAAAAAAGGTAATAATAAATTTCTCTCACATTTGTGTAGGCTAAGGTCAGGTTGTGACGACGCATATGCGTAATTAATTGATTCAACGACGTCAACATCCTTCATGAAATATTACCTATAGATACGTACTGTAGGTAAGGATCTCTCGAAAGATAAGAAACTTTCTCATTTGCATACATTTGGTATCTATTCTATTTAAGAAGGATAAGTTATAATCAAACCTATTTTAAGAGTAAACGTAGCTAGGTAGCGGTTACAAAGTCATGCTGAATTATACGTTACGGTTGCGGAGGGTGGCCCAGACAATCTGGCTACCTTGCAGATATGCCAGTGAGGCTTTCACAAGGAGGTTCGAAGGAAAAATTGCAGTTCTCACGGCGTCGACTCAAGGGTGAGTAATCGCTAAAGAAACAGCCCAATTGATTGAGGAATGTAGAATTGGACTGGATACAGCAAGAAGATTTGCCTTAGAAGGAGCCAAGGTGCTGATATGCAGTAGAAAGCAAAAAAATGTCGACGAAGCTGTACGAACGTTGGCCAACGAGGGGTTAGATGTGAAGGGGGTTGTGTGTCATGTTGGCAAACAGGAGGAGAGAGATCATCTTCTGAACGAGGTAAATTCACCTTTTTTACATAAGCTTCAGTGCCGAATTTTGTATCAAGAATTGGGATGATTAGGCCCATAGCCTTTTTTTAGTAGGAATTGACTAACGAAGATCTTTTATTAACATTAATCCACAAACAATACCTAATGCCACATTGGAAATCAGAAATTATTATTGCCCCATGCCCTTATCTCAATTATCACTTTAGGCTGCCAAACTGGGAGGAATAGACATATTATTCGCAAATGCAGCGGTGAATCCGGTACCAGGACCGATCGTTGAAGTAAATTTACCATCAAATACAAATTGCGAAAAAACTTTCGATCATTTTTAGTGTACCGAAGGCGTCTGGGATAAAATTTTCGACGTAAATTTGAAATCGACCTTCTTCCTCGCCAAGGAAAGCTTGCCATTGATGAGGCAACGTCAAGGCGGTTCAATAATTTTAACGTCGACGTGTGGGGTTTACGCATCCATGCCAAACATTGGCATTTACCGCGTAAGCAAGACCGCCCTGTTGGGTCTAATGAAGACGATGGCAGACGAGCTGGCCGAGTACAACATACGGGTGAATTGTGTCTCTCCGGGTTATATCGACACCAAATTTGTTCAAATTGTAAGTGCTTGTCGATAATACTAATCAAAAATACTGATGAAGTATTTCAGTTGATGGATGATAAGCCAAAGGTTCTATCGACAATACCATTGCGAAGGTAGGTGGGCGAATCAGCTAACTTGAAGTTTGCTTGTAATATTCATTTTAGGGTTGGACGTCCAAAAGACATATCGGGAGTCGTGGCTTTCTTGGCATCGGACGATGCCGATTACATAACGGGAGAGAATATTATAGTAGCAGGTGGTGTGACTTCCAGACTGTAAATTTTGTTCACCTCCTTGCATCTCATCGTCTATTCCATTCAGATCAAACTTTACTATCTGCATTCGTTTTTATAAATAGAAATTGATCCCATATATTGTGGTTGCCTATTAGCTCTGACAGAAGATACGCAATATCAGAAATAAAACCTAAAAAAGGTTTTTGAAATTTTTGTGATTTCTGAAATAAATAGTTACATAGGAATATGAGTTTAATTTAAAGCGCATTTTTCTTGTAAAACATCTTTAATGCTATGGAAGAGTTATAACAAGCGACAATTCGTGATGTGAAGAATAAACCTGTTATAATCCACCAATTTTACATGTAAGTCAATTCCTGTACTAGATTTCTTATTATAATAGTTTTTTGTTTTGCCGTTAGAGATCCTGCCAGTGTTAGAGGTTTTATGTTTTATTCTAGTACACAATTACTTTTCTGATTTCGTTTTATGCTTTTATACCCCGACGATTGTAAGGATAAGCCGTGGTTGATCAAAATTTCGCTTTCGCTAGTGTAAAGTCATTCGAATTATTGATTCGTATTGAGTATTAATTACAGTTTTCATATCCGATTGCCTCCGTGTCAGACGTTAGCATTGCTATTCCGCAATATTTTATGAGCGGCGCGATTCACTACCCCTTTTATTTGTTTATTGTGTTATTGCCTGTTACATATTTGCAGAACGCGCCCTTCTGAATTCAGACGACCGCTACGATCAGAGTTCAAAGGTAAATTTTATTATTTTAACGTTTGTGGTTTTTGATACAATAAAATTGTAATTATTACATTTGCTTGATATTCATTAACGATTATAGCGCCGTTGTTTTCTGCGGAAGCCTGGTTGTATATTAATATTGTCTCTGACTACGTGTTGGTCTCCTTTTTATCAATCTGAATTCAAATATTGACATTGCGAATCTATACAGAGTGCCTGTTTTTCGAGTTCTCCAACATGGGGATCGCGTGGTCATTTGAAGAGATGCCATGTTGTTTAAATTGGGGCAATTTTGCGTATTTTGGTGCCCAATAATATGTCGTTACGAAAATTCGCATGTCTTCAGAGGTTGCCGAGATTAAAAAACCGAAATGTTCAATATTCGAGTTTTATTTCGAAAACGACAAAAAATGTACGTTTTATTTAACTAAAACATTATTAAAGCACTGTTTTATGAGGAATCCAAATATGTTATCGAAAAATGCAAGACACCCTACACTTGGAAGTTACGGTAGAAAGCCCCCCCCCCCTCCCTCATAAATTATTTCCTGAGATACTGTTTTTGAAAGTAAAACGTACCGGGTGACCCAATAACACTGTTCCTCGCCCATATCTCGGGAACCGTTCGTCGTATGACTTGGGGGTAAAAAACATTATTGGGTAAATCGAATATGAAGAAATTTTAAAATTATATTTTCTTTAAATTTCGCATAATAAACTAAACATTCTTTTTTCACATTTTTAAAGAGAACCAGTTTATCTATCATTTTCATAAAAACAAAAACTCAGTTATTTCAAAAACAAAGATGGTGTGGGGTGTTCAATTGTTTTTGTAATAACCTGCTTTAACTTCTTAACCGCTTGACCTATTGTAACAAATTTGGTATCGTTGAAAAGAGCATTCCTTGGGCAACAAGAATCAAATATAGTTAATTTAGTTGACTCCCTCTCCGCCAGGGGGCTAGTTTTGACACTATGATCCAAAATTTTAAAAATATCAAAAAAATCAAATGTGATGATATGACTCTTATGAAAAAGAGGCCAGTGAAAACCGTTTTTCAAAATATCGTTCCTAATCTCAAATATTGGGAAATTGAGATTAATTAATTAATTAATTAATAAAGATGCTTGTATATTATTTGACGTATTTCCGGTATTTGTCGATGGCGCGAAAGATTGTTTGGAAAAGGACCCTACACTTTTAGGTAGGTGGAAAATGAAACAAATGAAACACGATGCATTATAAAATAATAACAGCCGTAATTTGTAAATTATTCTGCTGTGTTTACACGTTCACAAAGTGCAGCTTTTTGAATTTGTAATCTTTTCTAAAATGTCGATTTCTAACCAAGAAGCATAACTAATAAGCATAATAAGCATAATAAGAAATTAATAACGTTCATGACCGATTTACCCAATAATTTTTTTACCGCTAAGTAGAACGGTTCTCGAGATATGGCCTAGGAACAGTCTTATTGGATCACCCGGTACATAACTTTTACATGCGACAATCAATTGGTCTCAGACTTTGCATACGCGTGCCTTTAGTGGTACCAAATAAACTTTTTGAAAATGAGGGGGGGGGGGGGGAGGCTGGAAATGGGGATATACACCCGTTCTACTCTTCGTGGTATTCTAATGAAAGGTATCACCGAAATGAATTGGTTTTCCCAAACTATATTTCCTGCGTGACTTATTTTCGAGATTAGTAGGTGGCTGGGTAGAGGGGCGAGGGGGTAAAAACTAATTTGATCTTTCATGGTATTCTAATTAAAGGTCTCAACAAAACGAATTGTTTTCTGCCAACTACCGCCCATCTTTCTGAATCCTTATCAAAATAATGGGGGGGGGGGCTGTTTCTTTGGACTGCAAGCGAATTCTTTTGAGAAGGAAAGTCATTTTAGAATGGCGGGAAGAAGGATGCTAAGTCAGTCGCTTTGGAGAAGTTTATGCGTGCTATCCTACTATTACATACCAATGTTCATTAAAGTGTTCAGGTTTAAATTTTTGGAACCATTCGCCGTCGAATTTCTCACCGATGTGTTCCAAAAAACGATTACTGAAAGAGAATCTTCTCAAACACGACGAGGGGATTTTATCGATATGCTGATAAAGCTCAGGAACGAAGCTCCTGGACCTGGCAAGTTTGGTATTGACGCAAAATCATGGCCCAGTAGTACCTAATTAGAGTCAGTTGTAGATGATTGTAGTTTAATCGCTCAAGCAGTTACGTTTTTTTCTGCTGGTTTCGAATCGTCAGCTTCGACCCTTGCATTCACCCTTCACGAGCTGGCGGTCCATGGAGACATTCAATGTAGACTACGAGCGGAAGTGGAAGATGTAATTCGTGAACGCGGGGGATTGGACTACGAAGCAGTGAATGACATGCATTATCTAGAAGCCGTTGTAGCTGGTGAGGGTTTCTTTTAGAGAAATTTAATCCACGACGAATAATTTAAAATCGTTAAGAAAGTATCCAAAAACCTCCTTCATACACCGGGAGTGCGTTGAAAATTACGTAGTTCCTGAAACGGGCCTGCTCATAGAAAAGGGAACCCCAATTGTAATCGCTCAATATGGTCTGCATTATAACAGTACTTTTTTCCACAACCCCGATCGTTTTGAGCCTGAAAGGTTTAACAGAGCTAACCTAAGTAATATTAAGCCATGTACGTATTTACCGTTTGGTGACGGTCTACGGAATTGCATAGGTATGTGGCCCTTTTAGTAAATTTATCTTTAACTGCCAGTTTTAGGACAAATGTTCGGTTTGCTTATTGTTAAAATTGGCATAATTCAAATTTTGCGCAATTATGAGGTGATAATGAACGAGAAAAGCGTAGAACCTGTGATCTTGTCACCATTTCCCATCATACAAGCCAAATACAATCTCAACCTAACGTTTCATCGTTTGAATACTGACTAAGATGAATTACAATTATTTAATTACTTAACTTGCAACATTTCCATTTATCATTAATTAAAAACCTTTCGCTTTGTAATAGGGGATGGCTATGATTCCATAGTCATACAATTTAATACAAAGTAAACTTACTGGTGCTGCGAGAGATACCTTTCGAAGAACCATTGCAGTCAATTTTGTGGTACCAAGAAAAACAGAAGATTTCCGATATTCACTTTTAGTTGCACTACACACTTCACTTTTCCCCCACACATATAAAAGAAAAATCCTACCTTTATAAGACTGCTCTTCCAGAATCTGTAACAAGAAAAAATTAAGTTAAAAAAGGCCAAAATGTAAGTATTTAATTTTAAAAAATTATGCTGAGAGGGACTTTAGTTTTGTTTATTTAAGGAGACGACAAAAGTTAGGGCACGTTTTAACGTTGCATTTGCTATTACGTCTTAACAAAGAGGTGAAAATTTACCCTTTAGCCTTATTAATCCGGTTCGTCCTGACGATTCACCATAGGAGTTCACGACCGCGAGCTACTGGCATGGATTCTTCTCGAACGCCATTACCAATAACTGAAAAGTAAAAAAAAAAACGCTATTATGTCTTGTTTTTGTGTAGAACAAAAAATCAGAATTTATATTATTACTTTTAGATTTAGACTAATCTTTGCGGTACAATTCTATTGTTAATAATTTTTTTATACGCTACGTTACGTGTGAAATCATTTACTACTCACCTCGTTTGCGTGAACCATGTGTTGAATTGCTCTGATCCATTGCAAAGGTCGGCCGCAACGCTGGATTAAGGGTGAGACTATGGGGGCTACAGACCTGGAAACCTAGGGGCTCCAAGTAAAACTAATTTTATTCATGACATTAAATTGGAATTTTTTTTATTATATAGGGTGTTCCTAACTATGATGAAAAAAGGCTTTTTTTCTAAAAGTCATAAACATAGATCCCGAAACCCTTCGTTACCGATCTACAGGGTGTTTACAGAGATTATTAAAACCAGGTCCAACTGAACGCTACTTTCATTTACCTAACTACCGAAGTGCTTTTTATCTTTTTCTTGCTAAAGGTCGCAAATGCGAAAAAATTACACGAGACCGAAAAGTGTCCAAACAAACCAGACAATCAATTTTACAATCTACCAGTGGCGCACTGAAGAAAAAGTGTAGGGGTAGAAAATGGAATATCGAATATGACATCTGAAAAACAACACCCTATACCAATGATATAAGCCCTTTAGCATAAGTTTGAGCAAAATATCTCAAAAACTGCTCGAGATTTTGAAATTGTAACACACTATAGATCGGTATCGAGGCGTTTAAGCATACAGGGTGTTTCGAAATTCGCGCGCACGGACTGTGGGAATGGTGTTATACAACGAAAACCGAATAAAAAGTTCCTCTACCAGTTTTTGATCAGACCGGCACTTTTTTTTTCGACGTGCTGAAGCTTGTTTACTAGCAGGCGGCAGACATTTTGAACAACTGTTGTAATTACGTACTCGTCATAATTATAGTTTATTTTGAACCTCCTTTTTTTTTTAAAAAAAGTGTTATTATTAAGTTTAACCAGTGGCGTAGCGTAGGGGGGGCGGAGATTTTTAAAACCGCGGTGAACTTTTTGTTCAGTCTTTGTCGTATAACACCATCCAATAGTCCGTGTGCGCGAATTTCGACACACCCTGTATATGAACTTTTAGTCATAAAGTAAACCAAAGAATTAGCCCCTTTCGCATGTACATCGCATTCAGGAATTCCCCGTATATATATATATATATCAGAGTACGCCCTACTAGGCGTTTCTCCAAGTGGCGGATAGGGGAACCGCCTAAGCGAACGAGCGTAAGTGACAATGGCCGTTTGGCACACCTGCAAGGTATAGGCTACGTACTGCAAAAAATTCCAGGACTATAGGACCGTTTCCCTAGAAGTAGTTCAAAACAACGGAAGAGGTTGGTCTGGACGGACGGACGGAAGGACAAAACGAAAACAATAGCACATTTTTTTATTCTTAAAAAATGCGCTAAAAACCCCAACAAACTACTCTCGAAGCACCTGGTACTGGAAAGCCTATAACTCTCCGGGGCAGCGCGCTGGAAGCTAAAACAAGATGAGACAGGAACCAAGAGCTCTAAGCAACCTGACCTCCGATCTACTGAAGTGGGGCGACCTGGTAACGCGATCGAGACTACACGAAACACTGGGACGCAAAAGCAAATCGGTCTGATGACAACACTCCCAGCTCGGGGGGGGGTAAAGGACACCACAAACAACCTTTAGCAAAGCAGCTCCAGGCTTCAGAATTACTTAGATCCATGAAGACCTGGAAGGAACGTTATCGGAAGAGGAAACAGGGCGAATCAATGCCTGGATCCTTGCTAGAGTAGTAGATGCTTTGTCCATTGGGACGTTTCCCCCAATTTCACGGAATGTCGCCACCGTGAGGGAGCTAGTGAGAGAAGCTCCGTGGGAAGGGACGAAACTTCGACTCGAAGAACCTCCCAAAATTAGTAAGAGCACACGCCTGGAGCCCCAGGGTTCAAGTAGAACTGGAGCAAATCCCGAAAAGTATCGAAATTCAAAATGCTGGAATTACAACACGCAATTAGCGTATGATAGGGGGGGGGGGGACAAACTTTGATTGTCCTTATGGACCAAACGATAATTTTTTTGTACATAAACTAAGCGACCAAAAAGTTTCAACATTTAGTTTCTCGTTGAATTGTTTATTGACAGTCTTGACGATTGATTAAAAGTTTTTGAAAATGACTTTGTATATGTACAGGGTGTCCGAAAAGTATAGAATGCCATATACATCTTTGTAAATATCCATTTTATCCAAAAATGTTTCAAACAAAAGTTACTCGAAAAGTTATTTGGTATCACAACAAATTTTTTATTTTTTTTTTAATCTTTTTAAAACAAAAGCGCAACAAATATATTTTTTTTAAATTCCAATATATGTCTTTTGTTAACTTTTTTGATGGTTTTTTATTCGTTTTTCAAACATTGCACCGGAAAACCGCAAAAAACAACAATGCTCATTAGTCTAGCCACTCATAACTGTTTTATGCTCATCTAGATATTGAAGCAACTGATTGTGCCTTAGATCTGTGAAAGTAGTGCGCGAACTTGGAGTAAAAAGTTACTAATTTAGATTAGTTGTGAGTGAAATACGCTTTTAAAATAAACAGAAATGGCTCATTTATTCGAAAGGCAGCCTATTGAATTTTCATTATGCTGGGATATAAAGAAAGGAGGAGGAGGTACTTTCACTAGTTTCAATATCTACATAAGCATAAACCGGTCATGGGTAACTGTCTTTTTTGCGGTTTTCTCGATTTTTTTAATATTGCACATTTTTGAAAAGGGAATAAAAAACATCTTGTCATTAAAAAAAATTCTGTTGCGCTTTCGTTTTAAAAAAATAAAAAAATCCATGTGAGGAGAAATTAAATACCAAATAACTTATTTGAAACATTTTTCAAAAAATGGATTTTTACAAAGATATACAGGGTGTCTTAAATTGAGTAGGTTAACATGGTCATCTTTGTTATTATTATACTTACAGAATCGGTTAAATTGCAAAAGTGGTGTAGTTTTTTATGCTAATGGATATATCCGATGCCATATTTTGAAAAAAATAAAAGTGAAAAAGTGAAAATCATCATTTTTAAAAAGTTCAAATACTTATTTTAGTAACAAAGAGAGCTATTGAAAAAAGTTTCAAATAAAAGTTGCAAAATTCGATGGAATAAATTGAGTAAGCATAGGAAAAAAAATTTCAAAATGGCGGTTTTCGTGATATTGACATCAACTTCCTTATTTTACATGGACGCCATATTGGATTTTTACGTCACTCGATAGAGAAAAAAATTACAAAACCAGCGATACTAAACGGTTAGGAATTCATTTGGGAATCAACCTTGCATTATTGCCTCGAAGTTTACAATGTATTTCTTATGGTAATAATTCTACGGCCGTGGCGATGGTGACTATGCGAGACAATAAACGAATGAATTTGGTTTCAATCATAATCAGCCACGGAATTATTGCCATAAGAAATACATTGTAAACTTCGAGCCAAAAATGCAAGGTTGATTCCCAAATGAAATACTAAGCGTTTTGCAAAAATCCAATATGGCGTCCATTTAAAATAAGGAAGTTGATATCAATATCTCGAAAACCGCCATTTTGAAATTTTTTCTATACCCTTTGAATTTATCCCATCGAAACTTTTTTCATAATATCGCATCGGAATGTCCATGAGCATCAAAAACTACACAACTTTGCCAATTTAACCGAATCTGTTGTTGTTATCCTACTCAAATTAAGACACTCTGTATACGATATTCCATACTTTTTTCGAACAACCTGTATATCATACGATTCTATTGGCAGATAAAAGGCATACAAATAATAATTTAAAAATTTTCAACATGGCAAAAAATATTTAGTGCAAAAATTTTCTTCTAAATAAACAAAGGAATCAAAAAGTTTGAAAATTTAATTTTTCTTTGACAGTTAAGAAGTAGAGGAGAGGGGGGGGGGGTGTAGGTAGCCCCCTAGCTCAAAAACCTTAACCCGGCACTGGTCGTAGGCGTAATCCGCACCAACAGGTTGAGTGAGTGACGTCGATGGTGCTGTAACAATCGATGAGATTAGTTAGCGAGTATATTTTTTGATTAATGAAGTAATTCATTCATATATTATGAACGCACACTTACCTTTCTCTAAGCTGAACTTCGTGCAATAATAAACGAAGGTGTAACAATCCCCAAAGCCGTTCAGCTTGGAAACGAGGAAAACAGCCCCAATGTTTCTTTAGGCTTATTCGCAGAGAGAATCTGTTCGCTTCACAAAGCTGGTATGGCTGTGAACTCAGTCATACTCATCAATGTGAAGGAAACTGATGGACGTTGCGAAAGAGACTATTCTAAGAACCATATGGCAGTCAATCCTACGTTCCCAAGGTGACAGACAGAGAAGATTGTTGCAACTTGCGTAGGGCTATAGCACGAAACTCACGCGAAGAACAATTGTTGATCTTCTGGTTGTTATAGTCACTATTCACTTTTCCTCCCCATTACAAAAATATGACATGCAATACACCATGCAGAAAAGGAAAAATCCTACCTTTATAAGGCCGCCTGCCTGGAATCTGTAACAAAGAGAAGATTTATGTTGAAAATGAAATGAAAATATTTTGTATTTGAGTTTATAGTAATTATGAATTTTGACTGTGACATTGAAGTATTTGTTTCTGTTTGACCGTTTTCTTAAAGAAATTGACCTAAAAACACTTGCAATAAAAGAAATGAACACTTACCCTTTAGCCTCATTAATTCAGTCCCTCCTAAGAAGAACCATCTAACCCTGATGTAGAGATGAAACACTGCAGACCTTCTCCTAGCCCCTCGTTCGTCATGAACTGAAAAGTGAAATAACATTGAAATAAAGTCAATCGCTTAGTTAACTCAAAATTTTTCTATTATTCAATAAATTGATATTTTTTGAAAAGAATATCATCTGGGCTTGCGCACATTCGATTTCTATAAAATATTGATATCGAATTTTGATAAAGCAATGCCGTTTAGAAAAACAAAAAAAACTACTAAGTCTACACCGGGAAGGAGTTTAAAAATTGCCCTAAGCGTCTGGAACTCTTATTAATTTGTGGCCACCTTTCGCACACCTCATAAGTAGATGGCGATGTAAGCGTGTGAAAATTTTCATTCAGCGCCCCCTGTTATGTAGGACAGATCACTAAATTGGTTTACTAACGTGATGATTTTTTAGTTTTCTCCTATCCGCAAATCCGCATACTTTCCCATCCTTGTCTATTTTGTTTACTTTACCAAGAGCATATATTTTACTCCTTCTATACGTTTTTTTTGGTTATTATTCCTATTAGTGGAAAGAAAATTATATCTCTACGCCACTGAAGTGAGACGCTAATGATAACGGAAGTGGTGTGGTACTTTAATCACAGCTAGAGGCCACTTTTGGTTCCCGTGGTCTACGTCTGGCCAAGCATTTGATTCCCTCCATTAGTTTTCTAACTCAATGGACTAGTCTTGATACACGTACGTCACTGTTTAATTAACATTTATCATACAGTTTATTACTTATACTAGAATTATGATTCATCAATGTTTACTTTTTGAAAAAGCACCTGTGGATACTGAATTGTTGATTTGAAGTGAAAAGGAAATAAATTGTGCCGCAATGAGTAAAAGAATTGAGATGCGAATCCTGGTAACCGGTGTGGGCCCCCATGTCTCATTTTGTGAAACGTTTACGAGAGTAACTTGTTACTTGGTTTTCTTATGACTCGTTCTTCATTTGTCAATACTGTAGGTATCGAAGAATTCACATGTGAACGACAACAATGTTTACGGTTCCTGTTACTTGCCAGCAAGCGGAATGAAAGTAGTAAAATTGGGAAGATTCGTTTACGTTCTGAAATTGAGGCTGATGTGGGGGGAAGATTCCGAATCGGCTCCAAAAAGACAAACCGATGCAGTGGAATTGTTTGTAAAGCTGAGAAACGTAGGTCTAGAGCAAATCGAATGAAGTTTAACGAACTAACAGTCTCGACCGTAAGTACCAGCAGGATTTCAATGAAATTGTCACGATTGTGTTCTGCAAGTCCACTGTATTAACACGTTGGCCGCCACGTGCACAGCCGGCTGGCGTAGTTCATGCTATTTTTGCATGCCATGTGACCATTATGCACCAGCGAGACAGCCGGCTGCCGTAGGAGATAGTATTTCACCATGCCGGTGTGACCGTTTAATGCAAGTGTGACAGCCGACTGACATGCAATAACTGTTGTAGCACCAGCGCTCTGGTGGTTAACATGCTAAAAGACAACTTGAATGCATATATGACATTATAACCTACTTCTTTGGATTAATGTGAAGACGGGTAGCAAGATATTGGAGTGCGGTTATCGTACAGGTGCGTGAAGAAAATTTTCCTTCGTTACTGTTCAGCCTCCCGTTTTGCGGCTGATAAATGAATTGTGACCCTAACGTTTATACCGAATACTTTGAATGAATTGTTACCGTCGATACTAGGTATGTCATATCTTAAGGCTGGCGCAAGCATTATCGTAACCGTTGTTACCATGCAACTTTTAAAGGTCTACAAACTTACCTCAAATCAACATATCCTTGAAATCTTAGGCTTCTTGATTGCAAACACGAAAAAGATGCACAAATAGTTAAGTTTTTAACGCAAACGAACGATTTTAAAATAGGACGCCATTTTGTTCTTAATTTGGTAATCTTCAAACGGCACCGAAATGACCGATTTGCGAACACCTCCCCGTCGGTTTTTATTATTTTAAGGGTTGAATTTAATAACGAAATCAAAATTGACGCGATCGCGTCACGAAATCCAACACGCAAACGCCGGTTTAAATTCGAACCAAAAGTAGGGACGCCATAATTTTTGGTAGTTTAAATTACGTTTAAACACCGATTCACGTATTACGGATCGAAACGAACGACGTCCAACTATTTTCCGCGTCTTTTATTTGCCTTTTTTAAAGTTTATTTTAATATAGCACTTCGCAAATTAATAGAAAACGGAACAAATTCAACACGATCGCGGAACGCTTGCAACGACATCGTTTGTCACGTGACGAAACTGGTATTATGACGTCACGACTATCAGAGTCATTTCGATTGGACCATCTATTCCAAATTATTAACTACTCAATTTTCCATTTATCGCTATACGTATCTTCTATTAGCTACTGGACATGCCCTTTAATCCAAAACACTTTCATATGGAACCAAAATACAGCGCAAACAAACAATAGTTGCCTTAATTCCAACATTTTTCTTTTACGTAGGGCGTAGAAGAGGGACCTTCATATGGACGTTTTATTTTACACTCGATTTTACACCCACACTTTGCAGTCGTGAAATTTGGAACTTTCCCAAATTCTTTAAAAAGTTGATAGGCTTATACTGTCTTCAACGATATTTATAGTCCTAAAGCTGTAGTTACATGGGTCAATGTTTGCGCCCAACGGCTTCCCTGCTCCCCCCTGGCCTTCAGAGTCTTTTTCAGACCTCTCACACCCCAATCGGTTTCTTCCTCCGACTTCTCAATTTTTTCGGTCGTCCTCAGACCATTCTTAGACTTTTCTCCTTTTGTCCGATTCCTCACACTATTGAGCCCATTAAAGATTTATAAATGCGTCTTGATTGTCTTAAAGGCTTCTCAAGGTTCATCTTTCAAACAAGATCTCGAAAGCTTTTTGGAAACTTTTCGAGATTTTTAACGTCTTTCAAGTATTAATAAGCTCAACCTTTGTATGAACACGTTTTTGAAAGCACTTAAGATCTTTAATGGTTCCTCTCTTGAAGAGAAGAGCCCCTTTTGAAGCTCTTGTAGACCCATGTAATTTTTTGTTCCAGAAAAGCTGCTAAAGACGGCCCACAATGTTCTTTCGAGGCTATCTTTAAGACCTACATATTAAGCAAATTAAGCATTACAGATTATGAAGGACAGTCAAATGCTCTACTTCAAAAACTAATTAAAGGTTCTCAAAACGTTTAAAAAACTCTAGACCCAATTTCAGACTCGGAGGCGATTCTAGTATATTCATAAGGGGAGCCCAACCAGGTAGCATGGAAGACTAATTGTGCCTACCCCCTTATACTAGGTTCAGAACCCGCTCCTCTGAATAAAAGGATAGGGCCCTGTTTAGAGTAAGTTGTTCCACCCTCCCCGCTTCCAGAACCCTGTCGCCAAGGAGCTGATGTCCCTCTCTGATCAAAGCGTAACAGTGACAGACCACATGCTCGGTAGTTTCATTTGCCACGTCACATAACCTGTACGGGGGCTCTCCTACAAGCCCAATATGTTAGACAGGTGATAGTTGACCATCCAGAGTGCTCTATGAGGACACATATGATCTTCCTAAGAAGTTTTAGAAGCTTAGAGGACCCAGATTTGCAAAGTCCACACTTTTGTTACCCCATATTCCGCACTGCGCTGGCAGCCAGATCAAGTTCACCCTATTAGACTTATCCAATTGATCTAGAGCCTGCAATCAATCACCGTAGCCGATCTGAACGTGTCTGCTGATAGGGCCCTCAGCGCCACCTGATTGTCACTACCGAGCTCACTGCATATGTATACATACAGTGATATTCACGTAGAAGTAGACCATTAGACATAGGGATTTCCTATATCTACTATCAAATGATAAAAAGTCTTCTAAAGGACGCCTAATTTTATGCAACGAAAATACCTTCTTGAAACAAATAAGGATCTGGCTGTCATATTAATTTGAATATTGTTGCTTGGCTTCACAGAAATAAATCTCAAACTTCTCTAACTGTCTCCGGCACTATACCAATTGGAAATATCAACTTTTTCTTTAGTTGACATCACACACGAACGAATACGGAAGTCAAAGCGATAAGGTTCAAATTAATTAATATGACAGGCAGATCTTCATTTGTTGTAGGTAGTTATTTTGGTTGCATAAGGTTAGGCGTCCTTCAGAAGAATTTTTATCATTTCAAAGTAGACATAGGAAATCCCTATGTCTACTTCTATATGAATATCACTGTATATGCGAGTATACAGGCTGTTTCACGCAAACCGTTACCTAAAAGTATTCAGACTCCCATTAATAATTGAAATTTGAAAATGTGCACACAACATAGTAGTTTTTTATAATCAAATACTATCGAGGGTAGTCTTTGCCATAATCTATAGAAAGAAAATATTATCATCATTGTGTCACTTGGATGTGGATAGGAACTTTCTTATTTTAAATAGGAACACCCTATATTTTATTGTATTTTGGGAATCTACATGAAAATGACGTCGTTTGATAATCACATTTTCCTATACCCAGCATCAAAGGTTTTCAAGCTATTCAGGATTTTTCAAAATCCTTTGACTGCTTTTCTTTAGCGGAGTGTACTATGGCACTGTTGATTTGAATTTCAAAAAGTCTCCCAAAATCAACAATACTGACGTGATGCTACATGCGAATGATTGAAGTTTTGACCGCTCTTCTACAGGGTGTTTTAAAACGTTTTTTTTTTTCAATACTTAATAGCATCCTCTGATTAACTCCGTTAGTCACCTCTCGAATTCCTACTCCATGTCATCAAAAGCTCTTCTCACCCTAACTTCCAGTTCTTCACTGGTGAAAAATTAACTTTGTTTTTTATAAGACCTCACAAGTCTTCAAAAATGTTCAAAAACATAGAAACTTCATGGGTGAATTGAACCGGCGCTCCGTCAAGTTGAAATCAATAGTTTTCCCCAGGTATCGTTTCCATTTTTTTCGACATTTGAAAGTGCAAAAAAAGAAAGCAGGTTTCATCAACTTTTTAAGGTTTGAAGTTATTAAAATTGACCATTATAGTTTTAAAACACCCTGTAGCAGGGCGATCAAAGTCTACATTATTTTCATGTCAGGACCTATTGTTGATTTTGTAAGACCTTTTGAAATTCAGGTCAACGGAGTCATAGGTACAGTACAGGGCCCTAAAGAAAAGCAGTCAAACGTCAAAAATTTGGAATAACTTGAACACTTTTGAATTTTGATGCTGGGTATAGGGAAATGTGGCATCAAACGACGCACATTTTTATGCAGATTTTGAAAATGAAATAAAATACAGGGTGTTCTATTTAAAATAAGAAAGTTGCTATCCACAACCGGTAAAACCAGAAGTGAAACGATCATGAAAAACTATGTCGGTATGCAAATTTTTAGATTCAACTTACCTATTAAGGGAAGTCTGAATACTTTTAGGTAACGGTTTGCGTGAAACAGCCCGTATATGCTTATTACAGTGAGGTTCTCTTGTGCACAGGTCCTGATCTCTACCTGGAACAAGGTGCTACGCTGATCAAGGGTGATGCTGATGTCAGCTCTCGGTCGATCACCATATATATCCATACTCGTTCCCCTTTCCGTTAGCGGTCCGTCTGTAACCACACAAGCCCCTCAGATTTGAGGAACGGGCCATCTAAGTTCAGCCACTGCTTCCTTTTCGGGAGACTGACTTTATAACTCTTTGGTCTTAGTAAGACAGCCTGAATCACGTCCCTTTTCTTGCGAGGAGGGGATCAGATCTGAGGGTTTCCTCCCAGATCTGCCCATGCCCAAGGCTGCCTCCATCTTTTCATTCGTCCCAATCGTTTAGCCATATAAAAACCTTCAGAGCCCCTGCTTTCAGAGCTATGTGTAAAGGCGACTCCCAGACAGACGGGTCTCTGTACTTTACTTAGCTACTTCCTGTAGGTGGCCCAGGACAAGGCAGGTCACTATAAAAGTGTACCGGCATTATCACTACAGTATAAAGCCATAATATACCAATCAAGGGTTCACGCCCCACGTACCGCCGAAAGTCCTTCTACTGGATGCCCATAAACATGCAGTGACCTTTTTGCTTATTCATTCAATGTGCCCTTTCTAGGTCAGACCCTCGAAGAGTGAATCCATCAAGGTTCGCCCTCCTTCTATTCGTAAATGGAACAACCTCGGTCATTTCCGGGTCAATGGA